GGCTGGCGTCGCCGCCGGTCACCTTCACTCGACGCTTTTCGACCTTCGGGCTGGGTCGGTTGTAGATCTCCGTGTGGGACTTGAGTTGGAAGAAGAGGTAGCAGCCGTATACGACTAGCAGGATTACGCTTGTTCCTGGGGATGGCGAGCGACGAGTTAGGGTTGTGGGAGGGAGGCACCATGAGAGAGAGACGTACCTCGAGATAATTGCGCGACGGCAATGTCACCGGCTGTTGCCTGTTAGTTGGGGTCTACAGCGGTGGATGACCAGGAAGTCGACGTACCTTCAGACCACTCGTGGAAAGCAGTAGGGATGATCAGACTCGCCACGGCCAGTGCCAGAAGACTGGCGGCCGTCTGCGCGACGACCGGGTTAAAGTGCTGCTCAAGACGATTCACTCCGCCGAAGAAGAAGCACATCCCCATGACAAGGAGAAGGTTCGACAGCATACTTCCGATCAGCGAGGTCTGCACAATGATGACCTGCTTGTCGACCAGGGCGATGATCGCGACGATCAGTTCGACGGCGTTTCTATCAATGTTAGCTGTGTCGTCTGCAAAGCATACAGGGGACGACTCACCCGAAACTTGCGTTCAGGAGACCACCGATCGTTTCTCCGGTTCTGACAAGTACTGAGTTAGCTAGACCCGATGACACGGTTCGAACGGGTTTGAACATACCGCAAGGCAATCTCCTCCGTCGCGTAACTCAACATCGCTGCCAGGGGAATGATAGCGATAAAGTTCACGACGAAGACAGCGACCGGGTCGACATTGACATAGTTCAGCGCAACTATTCGCAGCCGTCAGCAAAGAACTTCCTTTTCACTCTTCATCCCAGAGTAAGATTCAAACATACTTCCCGCCGGCGCCGCCAACAGCAGCACATTAATCCACGAATTCAACACCGTCGCCTTGAACTGCCCGACAGCCGTAAACTTCTGCTTATCCGCGACCCCCTTCGGATCATCCGACGAATCTCTCGACATCTCTACATCGTCGTCGCCAAACCTGCTCGCAAACGTGCGCCGCTTCCGAGGCTTCCCGTCCTCATCCACATCCATCCCATCGCCATCGCCATACGAGACATTAATGGGCTCGTTGCTCCGCATCGACGGTTCCGGCCCGGCCTTCTCCACGCTATCCGCTTCCCCAATGCGATCGGTTCCCGCCGACTCTGGGGGATATGTATCGGCGTGGCCGGGGCCATGTAGACCATCGGTCATGTCTCTGCGACGACGGCGCTCTTCGGAAAGACGCACATCTCCGGCGGTGCGGACCGGCGTGAGTCTGTTTTCGAGCTGGATGGAGTTCGAGCGGCGAGGGCGCGCCCGGAACTTCTTGAACGGGTTGTGGCTGGATGGTTCGCCGTCGTCGTCATACCATGCCAAGTTCCTGGCTTGACGGCGATAGATATCTGATATGGAAAGAAGATGGGATGTTAGCGGGGCGCGGCGAGAGAGGAGGGCGGGCAATAGACAACGAGGGGAAAGGGGGAAGGAAGACATACGCATCGCAAAAAGGTCGGGATACTTGATTTTGCCGGTTGAGTTGGATAATTATACTACTTCTGACACTGGATCACGATCAGAAGAGAAGCGCATATGAATACAAAGGAGAATATGATATCGGCAGGGGCAAGAGGCGGTGGAAGGAAGATTGAGCACGCGCCCCTTGCCAGCAGATCGGAGAAATAAAGCCGGGCAGTGGCGATTGCAAAGACGCAAGCCAATAAGGCAACAAAGAGAGGGGACCTACAAGTGACGTGGTGAATGTTTCGATGTGTAGAACTATACAATGAATGTGGCTGGAGCGATGGATCTCTGCGCCTCAGGGCCACAGGACAAGAGATCTTGATGCTGATAAGCTTCTCTCGGCAGTGGTGCGCAGCGGACGATGGTCTGGCGAGCTCCAAAAAGAAGGATTAGGATAAATAAACAAACCGGGAAAAATTAAGTTCGGATTAGAATGAAAGAAACCGAATTAAACCAAGAATGGATCAAACGAATGGACAGAATCAGAATTCCTCGAGCATGACAAACGAGCGACGTCAAAGGAGAGATCGGGAGAACAAGAAAAAAAAAATTACATTAAAAAAAATCCGAAAAATAGGAGGTCAAAAACTGCAGCAGAAAGATGGGTGTCAATATGAAGTAAGCCCTCAAATCTCCAAAAAATCCGCTAATAAGAATTGAGTGTGAATTAATTGTGAGGGAAGAAGTTGCAGGACAAGCATCAACACAGCCACACTCCGTCGTCGTACATCACGACCCTCTCCGGCCTCAAATCCTGGCACCGGCGGACTGAATGGTCCTTAGCGGCCAATGATGCGACACGAGAGCCCGTACCATCACTCTTTTTGGAACCTGAATTCCGAATAAAGGGCCTGATGGCAGCGCATTATGCCCGATTGAGTCGCCCTTCTTTGGGCGCCAAGAATCGGACGCTCTGCAATCCTGCACTAGCGCTCTCCGTACTATTTCCCTTAGGGTTATGTGCCAGCCGATCAGAACCAGAGTTGCTGCAATTATAAGATTAATGTTTGCATTGCTGTTGTTTTCTTCATTTCTCCTTCTCGTCTTTCTGAGTTCAGCTGAACTTGGGCTGTGTCTTCTTGCTTGAGTTCAATAGTCATCAACTATTGAGGGCTGAGTTCACCGGGACAGGCGAAACATCCCGGTGGTTTGTCTCGGGGCCATAAATCTGTCATCATTTGGAGAGTAGCCCCTGGCTGCGGTCGATGGTGGGGTCGAAGCACAGACAGAACCAAGAATGTCTTCTGTATCCCGAAAAGAGAAGTTGTCGATTGGGGTTGCACTTTGCAGGTTGGAGCGATGAACCTGAGTCCGAAATTTGGATCTTTGTGGCTGGTGAGTTGTCTGCGCCACAACTACGCCACACCCATTTGTCTATGTTTGTTTCGGGATAGAAATAGCTGTGTCCGGATTGCCTGTACGGATTAGCCCTCCTGTCTTCGCATGCACAGTACTGTGTACATGTCTGGACCAATGGACAGTGTCAGTCGCGAAACCTTGTACCACACGGTCGGCCACCGACACCACGACCGGGGGCCGAGCAGTGCAGTCTCCTTCCATACTCACTCCAGTCTTTCCGACTGGATAGTTTCCTGTTTTTGAGATTTCCCATGCAGTCACCACTTACTAAGTAGCATTACATCAGGACAATGTTCCTCCACGCTGGCAATTCAATGGCGAAGACAAGAGTATCGCCATAGAGGGGCAAGGAGATAACGATACATCATCGATCATCTCCTTGCTTGAGCTGGATTTACCGTCGGGTTGGATTGACGTCACTTATGGTCCGTCGAGAATAGACTTGTGTGCACCGCATGTGGTGGCGTGTCGCATTTCCTGGAGTTGGCGACAATTTCAAATCATCGAGGTCGAGGAAGAAAGGGGTTGGCTCCGTTGATATAGAAGCAGTTAATGATGTCAGTAGAAGTGTTGACCCCCCCGAGGTCATGGAAATTATTATCATCCTTCAACCTTTGAGAGCGGATCCCGAGGACTCCGTAGTGTGTGTTTATTCTTGTTAACAAGTAACGTACGGAGGACAGCTGATTGCACCTCCCTTTTATCGGTCCATCGACTATTTTTTATCGGCCTCTTTTAGACCATACAAGCTATGTCATGGTGCATCCACTCTGATCAATAGAGCTTATCCGCCATCCGGAGTACCGACTAGCATTCTAATAATATTATCTGGCTCAATGTGCGGTATTATGGTTGTTGGCAGGCTGTACCAATCTTATGATACTGATACGGGTCATCATAATAATATGATGCAAAGTTTGAGTGTTTCAGTGCGCGGTGGAGCTTCATCCTTACCATTCCGAGGCAGCCCTAGTTGTTCCACCCGTAAGACCCTGAAACCCCTGGGATTGGGGCGGCGTAGAATTACGGCGGGGGCCGTGTTGCCACCAACAGAGCGCACTGCCTCGATGGAAGGCGAAGGAGCTGGAAGGAATGCATCTACTATCTCTAGAATCTAGATATAGATATAGATATGATAGATTACTGCAGAATGCCGTTGACATGTTTCACCTGCCGTTCCCAAAGATTCGGTTGATTGACAGTTGATCACTCTGTGTATGGACTGTTTGTGGTCTGAAAGGGGACAATTCAGGACAACTCTGGGTCTAACCCAACGGGGCTACCGATCCAGGGATGTTTCAAGGAACCCGACAGCCCCGTGTCCAATGGCTCTTCCGATGCGAAGCCTCTTGCTCCACTTGACAAGAAAGCACAAGCAATTATTGGCAGAGAACAAGAAACCCTGGCCAAGCGGCGCCAACAGATAAAACCAATTAACCAGCGTCTGTGGGGCTCTGGACCCAATCAGGGTACAGGGTCTCACCTGTTGTCGCCCGTTGTTCCTCCGTGTTATTCTTAGCAGTCGTCCATACCAGCGGTTTCTCCGGGATACAACGGCTGTACGCTGGAGGACTTGGCAATATGCTGAACTCGATCGACTATCTAGATCTTCGAGAGAAGAACGGTCAGACGGGTTTATCTAGGTACCAGCGAGGCAGGGAAGAAGTATAAGAGACCAATGAGAGAACCAAAATAGGAGCAGGTGCCTTCAATAGCCCCAATACCAGTCGATCGCTTCGACTGATCAGCAGGAACCAATTCAAGCACATTACGTAGGTCCCGTAATACAGGGGCCTGAAGTGTTTGCCTTAGTCTCGCCCCTTCGACTCCTCCTTTTTCCCTCCTCTCCTCCCTCTCCCTTCTCCTTCTCCTCTTCTTACTTCTTCCCCCTCATTCCCTCCCTTCGTTGCGCCGTTGCTTCGATTCTTCTTTCATCAAACTATTTCCACGGCGAAGTGTGTCGGCCGTCAGTCATTCGTTGTTTTAAAATCGACTTTTTTCCTTTCACCCGTGTTTATCTTTTCCTTACCCCAGGTTGATAATCCTGGTTTGCCGATCGTCCACGCGCATTCATTACCAGCGATCTTTTAACTCTCAATACACATCATGAAGTTCTCGACCGCCCTCGCCGGCGCTTCGCTGATGGGCAGTGCCCTGGCGAAGCTGCCCGCTATTGAGTCGAAGGTATGCCTACGCTGCCACTCCGTCCGGCGCATTTAGGGGTCGGTCGCATTGCAGCTACTAACCAGACGGGCTATGTAGGGTAACAAGCTCTTCTTCTCCAACAACGGCACTGAATTGTAAGTAGCACCTAAACCACCGTGCTCTCATCTCAATGGCCAATAGCTAATTGTTCTTCTAGCTTCATCCGTGGTGTTGCCTACCAGCGTACGTGAATAAATCGACGGGACTCCGACAGCCCCGGAAAGAAACGCGACACTAACCTTGTCCGCAGAGGAATACCAGGCCAATGGCAGCACCAGCGACAACAAGGACTACAAGGACCCCCTTGTCAGCCTTGACAACTGCGAGCGTGATATCCCCTACCTGAAGGATCTGCGCACCAACGTCATCCGTACCTACGCCGTCGACCCCAAGGGTGACCACGACGCCTGCATGAAGGCGCTCGACGACGCCGGTATTTACCTGATCACCGATCTGTCCTCCCCCTCGGAGTCGATCATTGACCAGGACCCCAAGTGGGATGTCGACCTCTACGCTCGTTACACCAGCGTGATCGACGCTTTTGCCAACTACACCAACGTCATCGGTTTCTTCGCCGGTAACGAGGTGGCCCACAAGAAGAACTACACCAACTCCATGGCGTTCGTCAAGGCCGCCGTTCGTGACACCAAGAAGTACATCAAGGCGAAGAACTACCGTTCGTCCCTGCTCGTCGGATACGCCACCGACGACAACGCCGACACCCGTGAGGACCTGTCCCAGTACATGGTCTGCGGTGACGAGGATGCTCGCATCGACATGTTCGGCTACAACATCTACGAGTGGTGCGGTGACTCCAGCTTCGAGCAGTCCGGATACAAGGCCCGTACCGAAGAATTCAAGAACTACCCCGTCCCCGCCTTCTTCTCCGAGTACGGCTGCATCGACCCCCAGCCCCGTAAGTTCGGCGACGTCCCCACCCTGTTCGGCCCCAAGATGAACGACGTCTGGAGCGGTGGTATCGTCTACATGTACTTCCAGGAGGACAACAACTACGGTCTGGTCGAAGTCGACGGCGACAAGGTCAGCACCCGCAAGGACTACTCCTACCTCTCCTCGCAGATGCAGAAGGTCACCGCCACCGGTGTCAAGAGCGCCGACTACTCCGCCAAGACCGCCGAGGCTTCCTCCTGCCCCAAGGTCGGCAAGGACTGGGAGGCCGCCGAGAAGCTCCCTCCTTCCCCCAACCCCGATCTCTGTGACTGCATGATGAAGTCTCTGTCCTGCAAGGTCAAGGACTCCGTCAAGGCCAAGAAGTACGAGGACCAGTTCGACTACATCTGTGCCCAGATCGACTGCGGCGGTATCCAGGCCGACGCCACCAAGGGCAAGTACGGAGCCTACAGCGTCTGTGACGCCAAGCAGAAGCTTTCCTTCGTCATGGACCTGTACTACCAGGAGCAGAGCAACAAGGAGCAGGCTTGCGACTTCAGCGGCAACGGTGAGACCCAGGACGCCAGCGAGGCCAAGGGTACCTGCTCTGCTCTCATGAAGGACGCTGGCAAGAAGGGTACCGGCTCCGTGACCGCTTCTCCCACCGCCGGTGGTGGCAGCGGTGCCGCCAGCACTGGTGACAGCTCCTCCACTTCCGAGGGTGCTGCCGGTGTTACCTCCCCCTCTGCCGTGCACGTCGGCAACTGGCAGTTCGGTGCCTACCTCGTCAGCGCTCTCGTCGCTGGTGCTGGTATGATCATGCTGTAAAAAGAAAATACAAATCCAGGCATTGTTAAGGTGTATAGACTGAATGAGTGTTGCGTTATGTGAGATTGGCAGTCTATGTTGTTTGTATGTGGAAGATGTATCATTGGAGGATCTAGAGTGTTTTTAGGAGTACATAGTTGCATCTTCATTCGATATTCCCATTCTTTCTTGACTCTATTATCGTATAGTTGGAATATAACAGTCTAGATTATACCGTTCTAGACCATGGAGCTCTGCACGCTTGGCTGACTAGTCCATCCAACGTGTTTGACGTGGAGGTGCCTAAAGCTCCACCTCGGCCAGGGAAGCCGAGCAGCTTGAATCGGGCTGAGACAGGCTCGGTCGCACAACGGGATGCCGAGCGGAAAAGAATCCGAATACCATATATAGCTCGATGGTGAGCTTGGTATTGACATATTGAATTGTAAATTTTCTATTCTTTCATTTTGAAGTTACTTTCATAAGGTTTCAACGATTTAACGTGCATTCAATTGAATAAATTTCCCATCGTACGGAGTATAAATATTCGATATATATTTCCCGACAGAGACGAAGAAAGTGAACGGTTACACCCGTAACCCTAATTACATATCCCCAACCAAGATGGGTGACCCGGAATCCCAAACAACAACAACTATAACAACAAGCACATTCCTCCAAAAACACCCCCAAGATGGCTACTCACTCCCGCAATGGCGCAAAAACATCATCCTCTTCGTCGTCAGCTGGATGACCCTGGCCGTCACCTTCTCCAGCACATCGCTTCTCCCCGCGACGCCCGAAATCGCCGCCGAGTTCCACACCACGCCCGAGACGCTGAACGTCACCAACGCCGGCGTGCTCCTGGCCATGGGCTTCTCGTCGCTGATCTGGGGACCCCTGAACCATCTCATTGGACGGAGAGTGTCGTTTAATATGGCTATCTTGGTGCTGTGTGGGTGTTCGGTGGGGACGGCCGCGTCGGTTGATATGAAGATGTTTACGGCGTTTCGGGTGCTGGGGGGGTTGACGGGGACGTCGTTTATGGTGTCGGGGCAGACGATTTTGGCGGATATTTTTGAACCGGTTTGTCCTATCTCTATTCTCAATTGTGTGGGGGGTTGTCTTGTTGATGAAGGTTTGATGATAGGTTGTTAGGGGGACTGCGGTGGGTTTCTTTATGGTGGGGACGGTGACGGGGCCGGCGATTGGTATGTCTTTCTCTTTCTTATATGATATGGTCATTCAAATACCTTATATGGGATCGAATCACCAAGGAAGTATGAGCTAAAAGTTGACTGTAATTCAGGCCCCTGCATCGGCGGCATCATCGTCACCTTCGCCAGCTGGCGCATCATTTACTGGCTGCAAGTCGCGATGACAGGGTTCGGTCTGATTCTGTCTCTACTTTTCGTGCCGGAGATCAAATCGCAAGGAAAAGCCGAATCTACCGACGAAAAGGCAGACCCGGGAACCGAGAAACTAAAGCCGAAACACACGTTTCTCTCGGTCATTTGCATGTTCAGTCCCGTACATATCGTGCGGTTGTGGAATTACCCTAATATTTTACTTGCTGTGAGTATCCACCCTTCCAATCCCTCCCCCCAAGAGATCTCCAACACCGGTCTAGAGAAAAGAAAGTTAATGAAGAGAACAGGATATAACATGCGGCCTCCTCTCCACATTCCAATACTCGATCCTGACCTCCGCGCGCTCCATCTTCAACCCCCGCTTCAACCTCACCACCGCCCTCGTCAGCGGCCTCTTCTACCTCTCCCCGGGAGCAGGCTTCCTGGTGGGCAGCATCGTCGGCGGAAAATTCTCCGACCGCACCGTCCGCAAATGGATAGTCAAGCGCAACGGCCTGCGTCTGCCCCAGGACCGTCTGAACAGCGGCCTGGCCACTCTCTTTGGTGTCTTGCCTGCCGCAGCGTTGGTCTATGGCTGGACCTTGGATCAGGAGAAGGGGGGCATGGCGGTCCCGATTGTGGCGGCGTTCTTTGGCGGTTGGGGGCTTATGGGGTCGTTTAATGGGTTGAATACTTATGTTGCTGGTTTGTTCCCCCTTCCCTTCCCCTGCCTTTTCTGGCTTCGACTTCGAATCTCGGATTTGGAGACGGTGATGCTAATGGGATATGTGAATGTAGAAGTCCTCCCGCATAAACGCAGCGAAGTCATCAGTGGGAAATACATCATTCAGTATATTTTTTCCGCGGGGAGTAGCGCTCTCGTTATGCCTGTTATTCAGCATATTGGTGTGGGGTGGACGTTTACGATTTGTATGTTCCGTCTCTTCCCTTTCTAATATCTATCTCCATTCCGTCCACAATGAGATAAACATACCAAATCTAGATACATACGCAGACAATTACTAATGCGAATATCTGAATACAGGTGTCATATTCTCCCTCATAGGCGGATGCCTGGTCCTTGTTATCACGAAATGGGGTATTGATATGCAGCGGGCTGTGGAGAGGAAGGTGCCCGTGAAATAATTTGGGTCAGCTGGAAAGAAGAATTTGCTTTTCTAGGATGTGTTAGCATTTGTTTTGCGTTGTTTCGGACATTCGTTGCATAGACTTTGTGCGTGCATTTCGGGCATATAGATATGATTTTGATGAATAAAGATAGATAGTATAGATTTTTTTTTTAAATAAGATATCATAATGAGCGATTGACTGAGAACAGGTTTGATAAAAGAAGGATGATTGGTAAGCTTTTTATGTACAATCATTAATACCATGGAACCGAACTTAGCTCCCCTGTTCAGCCATGCCCTAAGGTAGAGACACACCTCTAAGAAATCTGGCTGTTATACCTAGCCAATACCCACCTCATGCCAAACCACCAAACAAGAACTACAAACAAAACTAAATCCCCTGACTCGTATAAAAGCTCTCCTCACTCATAAAAGTATCCACCGGGTGCAACAACCCGAGATCGAAATCCGACTGCGCCAAAAAGTCCTGCATCGTCGGCTCCATGAACGCCATGGCTGTTGTGAAGCCCGGGATGGCTGGTGCGCTGGCCGCCGGTGCCGCCGTGGTGCCGGGCGGGAGAGCGTAGTTTGATAGGCCGAGAGGTTCGTCTTCGGGGGTCATTATGGAGTTGTTGTTGGTGTTGTTGTTGGGGATGGAGGTTGGTTGTGTGACGAGGGGGATTGGCGTGGATTCGACGGGAGAGATTGTTGAGGTGAGGGGAGAGTTTGTGGAGGGGTGGACGTGGGGATGAGAATGGGTATGGGACGTGTTGGAAGAGGAGGGATTTGAGGATGGATGAGCGTCACGGTATTGATCAAGACATTCCTTCACCTGGACGAGATTCATATGAAACTCCGCCGCCGCGAGGTTACCGTTCTCGCTCATAGAGCGGAGCATCTCGAGGCTGGTTTCGAAAGCCCCGAGATCCGACGGGCTGCCGATGGGAAGAAAGCTGGCCATGGCGAGGACAAGAGCTAGCGAGAAAAGGTAGTGGGCGTGGAAGTAGCCGAAGACGGGGAGGGAGCCGTTGATCCATTTGGTGAGGATGACGGAGTAGGAGTGGCGGGCAGCGTGAATGCATGCTTCGCCGAGTGTGAGGACCGGTTGGGAGATGTCGGTGGTGCGGTTGTTGATGAGGAGATGGAGGAGGGTTGGGCGAGTGGTTAGAATAACGCACTGTTGCCTGTTAGTATATAATTCCAGGAGAGTTAAGAATGGTTCTGTTCTGACTTGGTTGAAGGATAAATGTAAAGAGCTGATCGGTTTGCGGTTGACTTCGAGGTCGTCTTCGTTCAATCGTAAATGCTCTGGTAGGGTTTCCACCCAGTTCTTCAATGCCTTGAGCAGTTTTTGCACTCGCTGGAGAAAGGTCTCGCTGTATTTGCGGCGACTGTACAGTTTGGCGATGGTCTCGCCGACAATGCGCGCGAGCTTGATGTTAGCAGTTAGATGGTCGGTATCCGAGAACTGTTCGTCGTGCAGTTGGGCTGGTGTGATACTTGACGGCATGTCTAGGTGAATATCGTCGTCGAGGATCTGCGACGGCTGTCCCATTTTGGATCCCCACATGCGATCAAAGACGTAGATGGTCCACCAGATGCGCAGCCGATGCTGTCGTTCCACCGGGTCGATGAGCTGCGTCTCCGGGATGTTGTGGTTCATCCCGATGGACAGACCAAGGCGCATGGCTGTGCCGATCAGAACAAGGGACGAATGCCGTCGATTGAGATAATAGGAGAATAATGACTGCATTCATCAGTAAATTTCAATTGCCGCCTTGAATCTAGAGAACAAACCAATAAGAGCAAAGTCTCGAGATGCGTGATATTCGTCCGCTCTGGCGGCAATTGCACCAAACTCAGAGCACGAGCAAAGTACGTCGTCCCCGGAACCCTAGAACCCGTTGATGGTTCAGCTCGCATAGAGTATGCCTCCCCGAAAGCAAAGAGCGCAAAGAACTTGCACTTGTTCACCGTGCATTCAAAATCTCCTGTGCGATAGATTTCCTCCAGCTTCTCCAGCGTCGATTTGCGCAAGACCAAATGATAGATATGGCAGACCTGCCGCATGGCAATCTTCACCAGGAGACGCGCCTGCTGCAGACTCGGCCATTGCACGTCAGCCGTATTGGCCGCCGCGATGCAGTCGTCCTTGACGTACTGCGTGCGCGGGATATGCGCGGTGGCATTGTTCCCCGTGAGGAAGCGACGGAACCGCGTCGCGAACGCCGTACAGGCCGCCTCACCGATGTAGATAGGCGGCGTCGAGGGATCGTAGCGATGGAACCAGGCACGATCGCCGATCAGCGGATTGCGCACGCTGGTGTTGCCCTCGTCCGGCCCGTCCGTGGCGTCTGCAGGGCGCGCCGGGCCGTTCTCGGCGTTGTCGCGATCTGCTTCGGTGTGCGACGCCGAGGCGGACTGTTCTTTCAACCGTCGGTTCTCCGCCACGAGTTCATCCAGATAGCTTTGCATGCACGAGCAATTAGGTCATGGTCTGGATCAATTCGTGTTTGTGAGTCATATCCTGAACTCGTACCTTTCGTTCACCTTGACTTGCCGGTCTCGGGCCTCGTAGGCGCATTCATCGGCGCAACCCACTTGTCGACATTTGGCGCAGGGTAGGTCGCCTGAGCATTTGATTTTATGTGCATGACAGCGCTGGCATCTATATATCTTATATGAGATTGTAATTCCAATATTGTGAGTGAACGACGTAGGGATAGGGTAGTGGGTCACGCACGCGACAAACTTCCGCCGCTTGGAGAGCCTCTCACTGGGCTGATCGGACTCTCGGACTCGCCGGCGGTTCATTGGTGCGTGTATGGCGACCTTGCTTGACTATAAGCCAAGAGAGCACTCCGTAGGTCAGAGAATTCAAATTGATGCGCTGTGAGGAAGTTCAAAGACAGGGTTCGGCAAGAAACTCTCGATTGCCGAGATTCGGTATCAGTCGCCGAGGGCTGACGTAATGGCAACCAAGGCGACGGCCTTCAAAATCAGGCACCAACTGTTTGTTTTGGCATGTGATCGTGTTTCATCTCTACGGTGTACAACTCTAGACTTTCTCCTGGCATCCATCTTGAATCTCCAAACCCTCTATGACATCTCAAATAAGGAAAATATCTCACGAGGACGTGTTGGGCGATACGATTTATCCAACTACTCCGTCTGACTAAATCGCGATAGTCTCCAGCACTCTAGCTACGTTGGCATGACGCGGTGTCACTTTGATGCGGAATGGCACCGGCGATCGACCAGACTTGCCATCATAGTCCTTCCGATTGATAGGCTCACCCGGAATCTCGGTCATATCAAAAGCCCAGAGCATACGAGATATGGCTAGCCAGATCACTCGTTGCGCTAGATCAATACCGGGACACATCCGACGCCTAAAAATTAGCCAGACTCCTCAGGAAGGGCGAGGAAACATACCCGGCGCCAAACATCCAATGGTCACGTTTCATAGGGTCGGCCAAATGGGCACTCTCTGCTGATGTCAAGGAATCGTCGATATACCGATCAGGCTGAAAAACTTAGCGATCATCACCGCACTACATGAGTCAGGATGACTTACATTGAACAGGTCGGGCTGAGGATACTGCTCGGAATCGTGGTGCATGGTCCAGGTATTCAGAACAACTACTGTATCCTTGGGAATAAATTGACCCTGGTAGACAAAATCCTCGCTTGTCGCATGAGGCGTTCCCAACCAAAAAGGGTTGTGGACTCTCTCGACTTCTTTGACAATGGCACGACAGTATGGCAGGCTTTTCTCGTCGTCAATTGTGGGCAAGCGATCTCGTCCCACCACACGGTCGAGATCTTCATGTGATTTCTTCTGGACTTCGGGGAAAGTGGGAATCAATGCGGAAAACCATTGCAAGATTGCACCGAGCTATAGGTGATTAGGATCATTGGGAAGACGATTATCAGCAGATGACTTACGTTTTCGACACCAGCGAGCATGAAGGCTGAGGCCAGCATCGTCATGTCTAGCTCATCTAGTTGCTCCTTGTCCCGGACTTCGACCATGGTCCTGCCGAGACAATTTGGAACCGCCTTTCCTTCTTCCATTTGTTTTTCGACGTTCTTGAGAAAACCTCCGTATATCTCGACTAGTCCTCGATGGACCTTTTTGCCACGTTCGTACATCGGCGTCGGGAGATACTGCAGCAGGGGAATAAAATCGACTAGATTCGACACAGACCCAGTGCAGTTCCTTTGAACGAACAGTTAGCTGTTGCCCACAAGCCGAACCACTCTGACTGACATGAACTCGCGATGCAGTTTCAATATTTGTCTGACCAGAGGATGTTCAATGCTATCAATCCGGAAGCCAAAGTTGATCGTGGCCATGGTGTTGAACAAACAACGACCGATAAGAGGCTACGAGAGTATGAGTATATATACAACTGGGAAGGGATGGATCCATACATAAGGACGAACGGGAACATTTCCGTGGTCACTTCGATCAAAAATTGCCTTTGTCAAGGACATGGACTCGCGGTCAACGATCTCCGCGTAAGTGTCGACAGCCTTTTGGTTCAGCCATGATAATGCAATTCGACGATGTTTACGCCTGATTTGTGGGCTAGGTCAGTATATCCTGACGGAGGGTGAAGCGGTACCTACCATCGATCATTGTATGGCGTGGCGACAATGGCTCGACCCACGAGAACAGTCTGACATTTGATAAACATGTCTGGCCGAGATGAGAACACGCTGCCATTGGTGACCAGCAATTCTTTGGCAACACGAGGGTCCGACACAATTACGAACAGTTGATTGCCCAACCAGATCGAGTACAAACTCCCAAACTTCTTGGCCCAGTGATCAAGAGTCATCTCTGGATACTTGGTCAAGAAGGGAAAAGACCCTAAGATAGAGAATTAGAATTATTCTTGCTAATCCTTTATTGGAGTTGACTTACCCAGGACAGGCAGACCTAGCGGCCCTTTGGGAATCTGATTGCCACAGCTATCCTGCAGCGGTCGTCCGTAAAGGGTCCAGCCGATAAGGCATATCGCAAGCATCGAAGTCCATAGTAGTGTGGCAGAGACCGCTTCTAGGAGCGGGATCTGGGAGTGGATATGTTTTACAGAAGACACAGCAGTGAAGAAAGGTTCACTGTTGCTGATTGAGCTTGGCATGATAGCGAAGAAATTTCTGTCCAATGCTGGTGAGTCGCAAGTTCATAATTTGCAGAGGAACCTCCGACTTTTTGAATTAATTGAAACCCTGCCGAAACCTTCACACCGAAACCCCACAACTGAGGTTATGTGCCTTCGTACTTCACAGAGGCCGAAGAAAGCGTATTACCACAACGGGAAGGACACTGGCTGTGACGCCACACATTTCGCAGCAAATGGATCAGGTCAGGCCAGGCCATGATCTGACCTACAGGAACATAGCTAGCTACAATGAAACCTTCGAAGAATGTTCGCAAAGATGCCAGTTTTCACGGACATAATGCCTGTTATGGTGGAGGTCTGAACCGGTCTCTCAATCGAATGCACTTCAGTTGAACGCGTTCACAGTGGAATACGCTATCCCCGGTCTCTAATTGAGCTGCCATGCGACAGATGCGCCAGCCGAATACGGCTAGCGCTGGTATCCGACAACTGTCAATTTGTTGGCAGTCTCGATGAATCCTTTCTTGTCCGGGGACATATTATTTTGAAGCCGATGGTCGCAGCGCAGTGAGTGCCTAGCCTCTATAATTTTTTTTATTTTTTTATTCTTTTATAGAATGACCTCGACCACAGTCAGACACGAGGGATGGAGCAATTGGAAACATCTTTGGCCTTATCCGGGCGGCTGTAAGATTCCCCGGGATCTACAGATACTAGTACTACGACTAATTTTCTGTGTGCCGTCACCAATGCAGACCCGCTCGCCCGAACAAGTTGATTCCGCTGCTTTCCGACACGTCTGACACATCCGACAATGTTATCATGACCTCCTCAATGTCTGATTCTCGTCTATCGCGACTCCCTCCTTGGATGAGCCGCTGGCTTGGCTACCGATCCACCACCCCGAAGCCTCTTCCGCCGTACGCCACCTGGTTTTGGTCCTTCATCGCGGCCTTCTGTGGCCTGTCGGTGGTTCAGGCTGTCTTCAACTATTCTCAATATTTCCTTGATCGGGGCGTGCCCGGCATTATTGCCTCCTGCGTCAGTAACCTATATATTTTGTGTTTTTCTGCTACCCGAGAAAAGACCTACATAGCACGCATAGTCCTAACACCGTAGTCGCACTAACAGGGCGCATCGGCCTTACTATGCTTCGCTGCCATCGACAGCCCACTAGCGCAACCTCGGTCCCTCGTTTTCGGGCACTTTCTCAGCGCCCTGGTCGGCATCTGCATCACCAAGCTGTTCAGCCTCATGCCCGATGAAGAGCGATTCAATTCCCTGCGCTGGCTCGCCGCCTCGCTCTCCTCGTCCGTCGCCATCCTGGTCATGCAGATCACCCAAACCATGCATCCCCCGGCCGGCGCAACGGCCCTGCTTCCGGCCGTCGACGACGCCGTCTGGGACCTTTCCTGGTATTATCTGCCGGTGGTCCTGCTCTCCTCGACTCTGCTTCTGGCCGTCGCTTTGCTGCTGAATAATATTCAGCGGAGGTATCCGGTGTTTTGGATCGCGCCGGCTGCGCAGCCGGTGGGCTTGCCGCACGTTCATGCGAAGTAGTGGCTAATTTGGGACCGGCGGGTTAGATGTGATGAGATACATCTCTAAACGATAGGTATGTCGAGTCAAGCTGCTCGTCATGTCTTAGGTATGACTTGTCCAATACGCAGGGCTACTATAGACTACATTATACACTGGTGTAAATAACTCGATAGCGTTCATTTTGACATCCATATACATGCTGAGTACATAAACCAATACCCGAATTGAGTCGCTTGATATGATGTCCTCGCTTCGGAGTAGTCATCGAATTGACTCAACTCGAGACCAAAGGATTTTGAATTGGTTCTCCGTTAAAAAGGAGCATTCAAGCTATTCGCAGGAACCCTTCAGTCTGTCGGAGGCATTGAACGCACACACCAGAACCTTGATTTGAGTTTCCCAACTTTGATCCAAGGTCTCGAAGCACTACTACCTACAATCACAGTTGGTACTGTTACTGCCACACCAACACCAGCAAAAAAAAAAATATAAATCTCAGAAGAATTGCAATTCAAATCTCTCAACTAAGCAGTCTCTAATATCCACTCGATCTCATCGCAGAAATTAAGTCAGAGCCATGTCTTCCCCGTACAATGGCTAAAACTCAGAAAATGAATTATAACCAAACTGCTCATAATCCATCGCATGGGTGACCCCCTCAGAATGAACATTTCTAAGTCCTCCAATGGGCGCTCCGCATTGCGGACACCGAGCTTCTTCCGCTGGCAGTCCACATTGGCCTATGGTGAACTGTGATCGAGACATTAGCACACCACACAGATACGTTCTGTCATAGTCAAGTGGTCTCACAGGATGATAGTTCCGGCAGTAATACCAGTGTCCAATCCCCGGCAACTGAGTCGCCATGGCAAGGTAGACCTGTTTCTTTTCCTCCGTTGTGACAAAACTGTAGAATGTCGCGCCTTTCAAGAGTCCCTTTGCTTTGTCGATGTCGCCTTTCAGGAATCCCAGAACGCCCGGATTGTTGGAACGGAGGGTTTCGCACTCTTGTAGTATGGTTGATGCTTGTTCGTTGAGATCGTGGGTGGCATCAGTGCTTGATGTTTGTCCTTTTGTCTCGGAGATGGTCAGGGACAGCAGTGAGAATAATGCGTAGTATATCATTGCTTCGACCTCGTGTGCTAAGAGCTTCGCCGCACTACTGCTATGGCGGACGGATTGAGAAAAGTCGATAAGTTGTTGGGCTGGGGTTTCCGCCGCGTCGCATATCTTAGAACGCAAATTCGGGTCAACATAGACATTAGTGAATATCACCTTGTAGTTCCATAGGATGGCCCATGTGAGACGAAGGTGGAGAAGCTGCCCGCAAATTTGGAATCCAGTTTGAATCTTCGATTCCTCGATCTGAAAGATATGGCTTTTCACAGTATCCGTTCGAGAAGCCGAAGACGCGAGCAAAGCTTTTACTTTCCCATATGGCTGCTCTGAAGCGGCCGTTACATCGATGAACTTCTGGATTCTTGTTTGCAGTTCATCCTCTTTCTTTATCGATATAGTAGGTTTGTAAACATTGAGATTTCCGAGTTGTTCTGCCACCGTTGCACATTGGAGGAGGAATTCTGAACTGGTATTTTCGAGCTCCACCTCACGCCTTGAAACTGCACTGACGAGTGTTTGGTAAGTCGAGTTTGCCTTGATGATAAACCGCCTAGTTGACTGGTCTAGTATTGCCTTCTTCACAATCCGATTATAGCGGGGGATGTCTCGAAGGGGTAGGCGACACTCTGGACAGCCACGAAGCTTGGAGTCACCGATCATTTCTCGCTGCGTCCATTTCGGGCTGATGATCGTGTCCGTTGCAGGGTCGACATTGTAGAATTTCTTGATTTCCATGATTCCGTCGAGACTGGAAACTGCGTAGAAGTGCCCACAGGGGAGGAACACGCATGGGTCTTCGTCGAGGTTAATTTCCCTGTACTTATCAAACGTAATAAGATCGACCTTCCGTTCAAGAGCATCTGTATTGCCACATGTCTGGCAGAACTTCTGATCAGGGCATTTCTCGCCGCAGAGACTCGGACAGCGGTGTCCGCAGCCCAGTCTCTCGTCGCAACGCTTGTCGCAGGGGATTATGTCGCACGGAACTGCGCATGGCATATTGCAAGAGTGGCCCTGGCGATGAACGCAGCTCCAGCCGCACTTCTCGGCGCAAGGTGCACACGGCTCGCTGCATTTCATAAGACATATATTGTGCGAACAGCGCATCTCGCAAGGCTGATCGCACGGAGGGCAGGGGGTGGATGGGTGGCAGGTTTGATTACAACTGTGCGAGCAGGCGCCGAGGCGCTTTCCACAGACAGCAGTACAAGGGGCGTGACGACCCTGAGAGCCCTGTCTAACTGACCCAAAACACTCCCAGCATTGTCTCTGACAAGTGTGTCCACAGTCCAGCAGTTGTTGGCATGGATAAAAGCACCGTATCTTTGAAATGTCTTGATGGCACTGGGCTCGGTATTCATGGCCACATAGCGGACTCTTCACAACAACCTGCGAGCATTTGATCCAGAAAACTCCGCTTCTATCTCGACATTCAACACTGGTTGTATGGCCACACCGGAGACGGAAATTGTGGAATATCTCAGTGCATTCACCGCATTCCTCATGACATCGTTGTCGACAGCGGTGCCCACATTTTCTGACCCTCGCACACGCCTTCATGCACTGGACCTTGTCAAGACGTGTGTTGGAAAGGCAGTCGAAAGTGCAGGAGTGACCACAGGGCAATATACGCTCGCATTGCCCTACGCATCCGCCTGGCGGGGGATGATGTTCTGAGAGCCCTAAATGACCTCTCCCTGTGCGTCTTGGAAGGATTGGATATTGAATGTCCGCCATAGAATATGCCTTGAGTGGTTGATCGTGCAGTAGGAGAGAAGTAAGTTCATGGGGATAGCATGGAAAATGATGTAGATGGAAAGAATGGAAAGACGCGTCAAAGTGACGATAGATAGAGCAAAACCTGGAGAGGAACTGAGTGGTTAGGAAGTAAACGGACTTGCATAAGCCATGCCTGAGCCTGATACCTATAGTGGACTATAGTTCATGTTCCTTTTACCACGATCCAAGATCATTTGGTATATTTTTTACATACTGTAGATACTGTAGATACTGTACGTGCATATGTAGCTAAAGTAGACTAAGTAAGGCAGCCTCGTGTTCCCCGACGCAGCATTCAGCTTAATATAACCGCTCTGAGATTTCTTTATACCCCTCTAATTCCCCCTCACTCAACCTCTTTCTTCCAACAATCCATCACCATGGATGCGCCCAACCCACCCATCCACGAGCAGTCCCAGAGTCCGCTCTTCGCCCTACCAGCCGAAATACGCCTCCACATCTTCTCATTTGCCATCACCAAATCCCTCGATCTCGCTCACCCTTACAGCCCCGACACCTACTACTCCCGACCGGGCTACACGGCCCCGCGCCCCATGGATACCGCACTTCTCCACACCTGCAAACGCATCTACGCCGAGACCCGCCACTTCCCCTTCGTCAACGCCGACCTCACTTTCTTCCTGTGTTCTCACGCCCGCGCACCGGGGTTCATCCCTCTCCCGCAACTGCGACAAGTTCTGGCTCGCAAACAGACCATCCACGGCGCCCTCGAGACCTTGCACATCCAGATCTTCGCGCAGCTATACGTCCTCGAGCAAAATCGGGACTTTCAGGATGTTCTCGACGTGCCCCATCTCGATCCGAAACGCGTGACGCTGACCATTCGACACTCGGACTTTTGGTTCTGGGAGGATTGGCAGAAGCTCCGCATTGATGGACAGTGGGTCAACCGGGTCCGGTTTCCGAATAGCGTGGTGGAGTTCGTCATCGAGATGGAGACGATTGATAAACGCGCTGAGGAAGTGCAGTATCTGGCTGAGGAGGCGGTCGGGAAATGGTTCTTTACTCGCAAGGATGGGCGGATCCTCAAGGCGGAGAAGTCGGATACAAGGACCTCGACTTGGACTGGTAGCTCGGTTCTGGATGATAGGCGGTGGGTCAGAGATGAGGCGAGGCCTGGGGAGTTGGATTATCTTGTCGTTACGAATAGGTGGAAGCTTGTGTCTGCACTCGGAGTTGAGATGCTAGGGTTGGATTTGAGCACACCGAGACCGAGTCTGAATGTTCCGGTCGGGGTGGGCCAGGATCCGCCGGGGTTATACTGGAGAAGTTCGATTGGGATTAGAGAAATGGAGCGAAAGGGTGTCACAAAAGAGACGCCCGCGGGACAGGCTATACGACTAGTCAGTCCCGTTGGGCGGAGATTCCAGCGGAGATAGATGTCTGAGGAGAGTTGAAACTGAGGGTGATGAACGATAAGAAGGGAATCAGTGATTCGGTTTGAATAGGGTTGTATAAATCTGTGATATTCTTGGAGTTAGGCAACACAGGGAAGTTTTAGTGTTTCCTGTAAATGAAGATACAGCACGAGGACGCCTGATTTCAAGTCTAGATAATTGATTCCCTAGCCCAAATTTACAGTACTATCTAGGGGACTTGACCCGTCGTGCAGTAATTGAAGGCCCTCTTAGCGCGTAGTGCGTGATTAAGTACGCAAGTACTAATAGCTATCGCAGACCTCTATTAATTTTGCCTGCGTCGCAGGTTCCTATCACAGCTTAGCATGATAGTAACAAAAAGACACCGCAAAAGAAGAAACTCACAGTAGCAGCATGGCCTGCATCAGCAACCCAAAACAGCCTTGAGTCTGGCAAGCCCTTGTGCAGCTCCCACGCCGTCTGCGGCGCACAAACAACGTCATATCGTCCCTGAACAATCGTCGCTATACGAAAAAAAGCAGTCAGCATACTATCAATTAGACTTGAACACCAACAACAGAGCCACAGCCCCAAAAAAACAAATCAACGTACTCCGAATATGCCGAATCCTCTCCAAATTCTCCTCCCTCAAAATCTGCCCCTCCTCCGCGGCATTCACAAAATAATGCGCCTCAAGCCGCGCATGCGACAACACCCAATCATCATCATCCAGTTTTTCAAATGTATTAGGGCTCCGAAGTAACGCCCCGATGCTCAGATCCCACCGGTTCCACTCCCGCGCAGCCGCCAACTGCTTCTCGCGGTCGTCCTCGATAAGTAAATCATAATACGCTGCAATAACACCTTTCTCCTCTCGATCATTCTCAGGGATAAAGCTAACAAACCGATCATACTCCTCTGGGAAGATTCTTGCCGCACCACTCTTCCCTCTTGAGAATTCCAGCTCGCTCCTTCGAGCAGTGAAAACACCACGGAGGATCATGGATGTAACCATTTTGGGGAAAGCCTGTGCGTAGAGCAACGCAAGAGCTGAACCCCATGACCCTCCAAAGACAAGGTCCCACTTCGGGATGGACAGATGTTTGCGTAGAGTCTCGATATCCCCGATGAGATGCTGGGATGTATTTTCGCGGAGTTCGGCGAGGGGAGTGGAGCGGCCGCAACCGCGCTGGTCGAAGAGGACGACGCGGTAGCGACTGGGGTTGAAGAATTTAGTGTTGGATTTGGAGGTTGAGCCACCGGGACCGCCGTGGAGGAAGAGGACTGTAGCTGAGAGCATCTAGCGTTGTATTTTTGGAGAAATAATATGGGACGGGAGAGGTGGGTTACCTGGTTTGCCGCTGGGGTTGCCATATTGTTCGTAGTGGAGGGTGTGGATGGTGCTGACGCGCAGTTTACCTGTGTCGTAGGCGTCATCATGGAAATATCCGTCTGTTTTTGTGGTCATCTTGAATGCTTGAGGTGGATGTTGAGAAAAAACAAGGGAAAGAAACTGGGGTTGTCGCATGCTTTAGTATAGAGAAGTCCCGCGTGGTGAGAGACGGTCATTGGATGATACTGCAACTCCAGTCTCCACTGCGAACGGACTTGGGAGTCCGTTAGTAGTTTCCTGTTGAAGTGCGACGAGCATAAATTATGCAAATGGCCCTAGTCAAGTGGGGTTGACCCTTTTTTGGCTCAGTGGCATTTGACATTTCCAGATAGAGAGAGGCCCCCTATTGTCTACAGCAAATATCACGCTCTTCAAACACATAATACATATCATTACTAGATATTTCATGGATCTGGACACTCTCCAAGGTAAATCCTCTTCCGCCACCCTAGTTTCTAACGCTCCTACCGTGTTATTCTCTGATTCCGCACGATTTGCATCATGACCGACCTAGTAGGCTTGTTTTAGTAACTAATAACTAGTACAGGCCATCATTCTCTAACAAATCACCCAAATCCCCAGAATCCAGATTATTGAAATCCCAAGTCATCAAGCCAAAAGCACCAGCGTCCATTAAAGTCCCAGCAATCCCAGCAGTCTCATCTTGTCCAGATCCCACAAATCCTAGCGACAGATTCCTATCTTCAAGCCCATCATATCTTTGTACATTTGTCTCGTGTCCCTTTATCGCCGCCAAAGCCTCAGACCTGTCTCCGCTCTTGAACACCTTGCTCAACTGCCGACCCACCAAACCCGCCACCGGATGCACCTCAGCAAACTCCTCAAGAGCCTTCAACACAAAGAAAACGCGACTATCATCAGCGCTGCTGCTTTTGCTCGATGCATCTCCTGAGCCCAAAACCCCTTCAAGAGTCCCACCAGAGAACGACAACGCACTCGCTGCCATGATGACACTGTACAAAAGTACAACCGGCGCAGTGCAAAGCGGGCTTTTCGCTCGATACTGCCGCACTAGAGCGATGATGTTATCCGCAGAGGAAAGGCATATCTCCTTGGACTGCTCCTTGCGTGCGAATCCGGGGGTTGGGCGGATGAAGTTGCGGTTCAGGGCGATGAGGGTGCTGTGGTATAAGGCGCTGAATGGGCGTCACACACGATGTGAGTCATTAGGTTTGCTTCGATCGAACTAACTACAGGAGAGGTAGAAAAGTGGGGTGGATGGCTCACTGTGTAAGTAGTACATGCGGGTTAGTACTACTGTGACTTGCGGGCTTCCATTGATTCCAGGCTATGGTTTGGGGCAGTTCGGAGTTCCATCGGAAGAGTCGGATGTTGAGGTCTTCAAGTCGAGTGAGGCGGGTCAAGACCAGCTCCTTGCGAGGCTTCTTGATTAGGCGTGCTGAGAAAATTTGCGTAAGGATGTCCTCTATGATTGTGCAGAGGTCGGTAAGATGAGTAAATGTGGTGATAAACATGGCGTGGTCTTCGAGAAAATTAGCTGTGGCTTCTAGCTCGGGTACATCGAACGAGGAATCCTCATGGTGTATCATTCTGTCATGATTGTTAATTTTCTTGCGAAAGAATGGTAGTTGATTGCGGAATGTACATTATCAGATCAATGGGATTTACGGCAGCGTCTTCCGCATGTAAGAACACGGGTCGGCCAAAGTAGAGGCTGATAATCCTGCCAACATGTCAGCTCGTAAACACGGTACATGCTTCCTTTTAAGCACATCACTACTCACTTGTCAGCTATATAGCAGCCCCAGTATATCCGCCTTCGCATCTCATACACCGATGCAGTATTGCCGGCTACACCGTCTCTCACCACAAATCGAGGATCCTGGTGGAAGCCCAAATCCTGCACCATTCTAAACGCCATCCCTGATAGCATCCATCCCTTGCTGTGATTCCCCGCCGATAGTTCGAAGAACGCGCAGCAAAGCAGGGCTTGAATCACTGTTAGATCCGGGTACTGCATGCCGGGGCTGGGGGTATTTAGCATTTCCTGCGAGATGTGACACAGTCGCTGTGCATCCTTTCTGAGATTTCCATCGCTCGATGCTTTTGCCCCTAGTGCGCATATCGCGTATAGTAATGGATAAGACCAGTATTGTCCGCCATGGTCGAGTTTCAGGTAGTCCTGCAGAAATGTAACTGGATCGATGAACGGGCACTGGGAGTGCTGGTGGGCGAAGAACAAAGAGAGGCTCTTGAATAGTGCTGAATCCTCAATTCCCAGATTTAAATGCATCCTCATATCTTGCCAGTGCCCGAGATATCGGTGCGCATCTATCGACGACGCCACCTCGGAGTACGGAGCAGTCATGTCTTCCTGGTAGATGCTCGTCGGCCCATAGAAGGAGGGAACACCTATTGATAGTATGTATCAAGGCCTAAGCCGACTTATATCTCTATAGGATGTAGACAAAATACCTTGAGGACCACACCATATTGACATGGTAGCAAGTCGGGAAGATCCAGTATAGTCAAAAACCGCATCGTCGGTCGATTGAACTCCCACATCTCCGAGCCGCTTGTAAGGATCAGCAAGAGCCCTGGACAAGATTCCATCGCGCTCAGCATCCGGTGCTACTTCTAAATCGCGCAATAGCGCCTCATATGAAGAGATTTTCTCTTCTAGTGCAGTCACGTAACCGCGGCCCACTGGACGTCTTCGAGCGTCGTCAACTCGGAAGATGCACTCCGCACTGCTTGAGGTACAGGCGCTACACGGGGAGGTCCTGCTACATTTGAGCTATTAGGTGTTAGTAAGGGATTTATCTGCCAACGAAGCTCCGATTCTTGCTAGGGAAGTGTCGGCCCACTTTTCTGTTCCGGCAGCGTTGGCACCTGTCACAATGCAGGTGAGCCAGTCCGTTCACTCGAGGGTAAAAGGCTAGACCTACGAGATGCGTTTGCGAATGTTATCCATCATGGTTTGGAGAAAATGGAGCTGTCTCATCCACTCAATGCGTACCCATTTGAAAGTCCAGTCATTTAGTAGAAAGATAAAGGGAGCATGGTCGGGTGCTCGGAATTTTATCAGGTAGACAAGCGATCTTACGTCACCCGCTCAGCCAATGAGAATGCTCGGGTGCTCGGTATAAATTGGCTTTTCTAGGCTACAAAATTCTAGACGTCAAACCTGCCATCACCTGCTTCAAAATTGATACCGCTTCCTTACAGATCTCTGCTCAACAGTTAGTCCTTGACCAGGCCGAGAACAACAACTGTAAATCAACTTACGATAGTGAACAACCAGCCTATCCCTCGATATGATCACCCCTCGTTTTGCGCCCTCATCTATAAGTTCTCTTAATCCGAACGGCAACCCCGTAAAATCGAGCCAAACCATATTACTCCGCGTAGGGTGCTTCAACCTCCCACCACATCCCTGCCAACAAGCTGCAATATCCTGTGCAATCTCATGGGATCGCTTCAGTAAGCCCGCCTCAAAGGTCATCTTGACAGCAACCAGCGCAGCAGCCGACAACGGCCCTGGCTGCCGTATACTCCCACCGATACTCTGTCGAATCCATCGTGCATGTCTGATAACAGGCTCACTGCCAATAACAATCGCTCCAGCGGGAGCTCCAAGCCCCTTGGAGAAGCACAGGCTCACCGTGTCAAACAGCGAGCAGTATTCGGCTAATGAACCGGGCCCTGCAGCAACCGCCTCCCAAAGACGAGCTCCATCCAAATGAACAAGAATCCCATGCTCGTGTGCAAAATTGGAGATCCGCTGTGCTTCAGCCCACGGCATGACCATACCTCGGAGCGTGTTTTCCAGCGATATGACTCTCGTCGGGCACATGTGTACCGTTGTTGTTCCAGTAGTATCATTAGGAAGAACAACCCGAGGCAAAATATCTTCTAGGGTCAAATACTCTCCATTTTCAGGTTCGATGGGTTGCGGGATTGCCCCCGTAAAAGCAAAGGCGCCTCCGGCCTCGCTGGCCAGGATATGAGACCGTGAGTCACAGAGGATCGCGTACGGTGGCTGCCTCAGAAGACTGCGGAGTGCGACGAGGTTCCCCATTGTACCAGATAGGACGAAGAGTGCCGCAGGGCGTGCGGTTAAGTTGGCGACATAGTCTTCCAGTTCGTGGGTTGATGGGTCAGACGTTGCGACGCCGTCGGAAAGGTCTGCGTGGGCAATCGCGTTGAGCATCGCAACAGTTGGGTTTGTGCGAACATCGCCTGGATGAAGTTTACTAGTACACTCGAGTTGGTGTATTCTGGTCGTTGTTGGATAACTTACCGCGGAAGTCGAAGGCTGCGGAGCCGGGCACCAACCATGTGCTTTGAGGGACCGCTTGTTTCAGGGTTTGATCCATTATTCTGAAGTTTTGTAGTTGTATATGAGAGAATACCCATTGTGTTTTGCTTCCCCTCCGTCGGCTTTAAGAAAAAGCCACAAGGCTTGGAACCCCGTGGATGAGTCGGAGCGGAGTTCAAAGTCCGATCAGGTCGCAATGGGCTTACGCTCCTTGCACCTAAGCAGGATTGCCTATTTTTAGCTTACACTAAAAAGAGTCAAGGCCTGAACTAAAGTTAGTACCTAATAAAATCCACAAAGCTGAAACTTGACTGCATTCCGTGACTTCAATTAAACAATAACTATTCATCATACTACTATGCTTCACCTGACAGAGACAGTTGTACTTGCATCAAGTGCCATACCCGAAGGTTTCAATAACCCAGTGAGTAAATTAATACGACGGAGGGATAGAGAAGAACGCAACGTACTCGGTTTAGCAAGATGAGCCATTCTGTCCCGTCGTACGATGGTAACTGGCATGTCGCTTCTCCATTTACCACGCCATTTGGGGTGTTACAAACCAAACAAACTTATAACTATAAAGCACTAAACCATCTATTTTTTTTTTTTTTTTTAAAAAAAGAAAAAGTTATTGTAGGCATACCAACAATATCCTGCATTCTCCGCCACTGTGGCAGCCCCCAGTGCTGCATCCATTGACATCCAACAACTTCATCAATGGTAGCCCGTTCGCTCGGCTCACAAACCAACATCAACTTCATCATGGCACGGAACGCCACGTCTTCCTCTGTTGTAAATAAGTCGAACTTATATTTCTCCCGTAGCTGCCAGATGTCCTCGAAAAACCGCGTATCCCTATCTCGACGTGTATTCCCGTATTACGGACGGAGGCTCTCCTTCACATCCTTGCAGCCTTCCTCGTCAAACCAATTGTTCCTCTCCTCCCATTTATTCCACCATCGCTCGGGCAGTTCCCCAAACATCTCGACGTGCTCCATCGTAACCTCATCTAGAGAGACGGGGAAAGATTCAAATGAAAGTCTACACTTAAAGAGCTCCCAGATTGTGCATGCTAATGTCCAGATATCCTATGGGAAGGGCAGAGGCTTATCTGGAGCATCTGCATCCATGAAGCGGGACTCTAGTGGCTAAATTAATAGAGACGTGTGGGCAGTGTACTGTTTTATTTCTCCTGGGTCAAAGGCTTCGCTAACGTTTGTGATTTTAATGGGAGCATCTGCTAGGGTGACCTTAATGCTATCTATACCAAGCCATAACAGGATAACAACCTTGGGGGGAACTCCAGGGTCCAGGGCGCCCCATCCTCACGGACAACGAGCTCTGCCGCTGGTTTGCGTGGTTTAGCACATAGCTGCTCAAGAGTCATGTTTCTCATATCTGGTGGCAATTAAAGAAGGATATTTCCAGGGTGGAGGTCTATTGATACCTTAGTATCCTAAAGAAAAGTGTTTTAAAGATCTCACATACCTCCATGAACAATCCCTTGAGAATAAATGAATTGCACCCTAAGAAGTAGCTGCGTGGCTATGGCTCTTGCTACAGGGAGGTGAAGAAGATGGTGATATGAGTTAATCTTTTACCTTGTTGATGTTGATTCTTGCAGCGTCTGTGTCACCAAACACCGATGGGTCCCATTTGGTCCAGAGAATGTGAAGGAATTAAGGAGACTCTAGATAATAATCTTTCTAGGTAGGTTTGGTTCAGCCTTTGTTAACTGCCAAAGGATCTCTAGCTCGGGAGTACGGAAGGCCGATTTAGCGGTCAAGATTTGAGGGTGATGAGGCGACCCTTTTCGTCATCTTCTGCTAGCCAAGTTGTGGCCAAGTTGCCAAAGCCGAGTTTGTCAGCGGTTTTGTACTGACCAGAGGAAAAATCATCCCCAAGACTGACAGGGCGATAGCCTCCTGGGACATAAAAGTCCACGCGTTCGACATCCTCGATGAATTCATATTTTACTTTGCTGGGCTCCATACGCGTCGCCATGGTTCTCTTGCCAGTACGTAAAGCCAGCTGTCGCGCATTCTGTCCATAGCACCGAGCCTCGACGATTATTATGGGCCTCATGATTGCGGAAGAGCATTCTCGGCACGATTGAACATGATGCTATGAAAGTGGGGTCTGTTATTGGAAGACGCATGCACCATGGGGCCCAGAACGGCTCGGATACTGTCCTGGCCTGGGGTAAGGACGCTGGTTGTGGAAATGGATCATCGCCCTTCGGACAGTCGCAATATGAATATACTTGCACATGCTGCTGGAATTCGACAGGAGTCGCCTGCATAGGGCACTGGTTAGCAGTAAACCTACCAGGGGATGCATAGCATTGTAGTTGCCTAATCAAACGAAGGGGAAAAGATGGGGATGAGAAAAATAGCGAACTTTTGCGCGCATACCCAAAAAAGATAGAATATTAATTATTCAATACGCTCAAAAATATAATAGAGACGTCTTTTTTATATCTCTATTAGAGTTATTGTAAATAATAGCAATTGTATCTAATAAATTTTGTTATTTAAGTCTTCTAATGCTCCATCAATATTATGGTTATGTCATATAATACAAGCATATTGGAAGAGATGGGTATTGTAGAGTTGGTTAATTCAGCATTGTTGTTAGGTTTATAATATAAAATATTGAGGAATGACCAGCTTAACATGCATGTAATTAATGATTGATTTTATCCTAAGTAGGGCCTGAGCGCTCACTAAGTCTTGACTGGTGATGAGAAATACTTAGTGAGCGATTTTTTAAACGCCCTTATTAAAGCGGCCTTATTTATATAGGGAAAGCCACGTTGATTCTAGAAAATCAAGTCTGTACAGGTACATATGTAGACAAATCTATCACAGTGAGACATGGTGCCCCAACTGCCGGAACCTTTCAACTTCATTATTCCATTGCAATATACCCTCAAAGTCGAGCTCACGGCGCTTTGGCTCTTCCACAGGATCACTCTCCAGGCTATCAAATTGGTCGATAATCCATGCATGTGCCTGCAGTCGACGAATAAGTTCAACATCCCCATCGCCTTCGTCTAGCCAGAGACCGTCATCGTAGCCTCGATGCCAATTGAACAAACGCGATGTTGCTTCTCCCGACTGTTCATCGGCAAGATTCCGTTCGGGATCAGGTGGCCTTAAATGTTAGCCAAACGCGCGAGAAGACGACTCTTCGTTAGACTTACTTATCCGTCTGGCCGGCAGGACAAGGGCCACACATATTAGATTCCTGAAGAACAAGCTGGTGGCTTTCGTTTGCCGCTATACGTTCCCCAGAATCCAACATCCAATATAACCTCCATGAGAGTGGCTTGTGCTGATGCGCAAGATGCGCTCTAACTTTAAGACTGAGATTCTGGACTGTAGTTGCACCGAAAGGAGGTGCTGGCGACCATGGTACTGAGATGTCTGATCGACAAAAGAGGGAAGTTTGAAATTCGTTCGCTCGGGCAACCTGAAAGACCCCCAAGTTTGTTGAGTGATAATCAATTTGAAGAAAAGTATGGTTCGTGTTCGTCAGAAAGGCCGCAACTAAGCAGATGGGCGGTAGACCCTTAAAAGCCATGTTTAAGAGCGCATTGGCCTGGTCATTGCATATTGCAGCATTCCATAAAAGACCCAAGTCTGGTCCCATGTACGTAATAGCATTGAGAAGCTGCTGGTCATCAATCGTATTCGCTGTCGAGATGGCCTTTCTTATTCCTAAAGTTGAGGCTCCAAGGAGATTGCAGGGAACGGAAGGATCGAAGAACGCACTGCAAAGCAACGATTCGGCGGCGTCCCATGTGGAGCTAAAAAACATGCATTTGTCGATCGACTGGAACAGATCCTCGATTATCATGTCCTGCCCCTGCCTTTCGGAGGAGCGAATAGGAGTGTCTGGGATTGATACAGGAGGAGCAGACTTTGGAGGCGGCAAAAAGCCTGCCACTGATGTCAGGAGTAAAACAGAAGCAAATCCGACGAGGCACTCAGATTGAAGGCCCTCCGTTGAGCAGAAGCTGAGAAGGGTATCAAACGCAAGAGACGAATTTGCCGAAACTGGTACCCAGTCGACCCTTCAGAAGTCAGTTAGCTGATAGGAGTGGGACTGGCAGTTTCTGCAACGAACATACTCATTCCCAGTCGCTCCCTCTTTCCTCAGCATCCATGGAGAATAAAAAGAGGCTTTTCGTCTCCTTACACACGCCTTCCAACGGCCTTGCGTGACAATATACCAGAAATAATCCTCCGTCTGGGTATCCCTGTCATGCAATATCTGGCTGTCCTCACCTGCTTGTTGAAGGATCTCCACCCAGCGACACGAGATGATATAGGACCAAGCTAGAACAATACTTGTAGAATACCCAGAGCGGAGACTATTTCCAGAAAGGAGAACAGGAACGTGAGGTTGTGCCTCTGTCTTCGTCTTGTAGATTACAGGTTTTGGCGATCCAAGGATCTGGAGATAATTTATTGATTTCTCAGGGTGATCGCAACTCGCTTCTTCTGTCGTACGGATGCACAGGGTAGAGCTCAAGAGCAGAAGTGATCCTCGTCTGCCTGTAATGTCGACACGTTCTGGAGGACGGTGAAAAAATGGAGGGACATCTTTGAGGAGATCTAAGAAAGCTCGTGTACAGAAGCTTAAGGATCTGTAGCCATCGGGGCAAATCAAGGTGGCATTTCTCCACTCTTCATATTTTGACTGACAGCACTGGTTGAATTGTGCTGTTGTTGGACAAATTCCGTCGCCAGGCGACCAGGTCAAGTCATTGTCGCTTTGAGTACGGAGGTGGGGATCAAAAGTAATCGGACTGCCACTAGTAATATTCACGGCCAAGTAGAAAGATTTTGTAAAGTAATATAACCTTTATGTGATATATTATATTATTCTATACCTAATTGAGTAATTGATCACATTATAAAGCTATTTAAAGGCTTTACTAAGCTAAAAACGCTTATTTAGGTAGTAAATTCGATTGTTTTAGATGAATATTATGTTATGATCACAGACATTAATATACCCTGAAAGAGTATCTTTATATGAGGTATCATATATATAAAACACTCTTTACCAACTCTTTCTGCTTGGCCGTGAATATTACTAGTGGCAGTCTGATTACTTTTGGTCCCCACCTCCGTATCATCGTTATTGTCGGAATTTGGTGCCTGAACCATCGTCGTGTTGACTGAGATGAGATGAGACTGCAGAGGAACAAGGACAGGTTGAGGATCTGTTACCGCGTAGGACAGAGACCTGAGTGTAACTACTTCTAGACAGATTTCGACTGTTATAAACCGCTTTCTAGTTACTAAGTCATATTAGGCTGCCTCGTAGGTGCCTATAGGTGCCTATAGGCGGTGAAAGGCAGCGCGGCGGCGCGCGCGTTTCCTCCACGCGGTGGCGGAGGACAACAACAACAACAACAACAACAACCACAACAACAACAACAACAATAACACCACCAAGACAATACATGCCGCATGATGCACCTCCCCTCCGAAATCGTGCTGGAGATCTTGAAATACGCAGGGCGCGATATAGCCCCTTTTCTGCGCATCAACACACAATGGTTTCGCTGTGGGATTTCTCTTGTATGGTCGCGTGTATTATCGCCGGCCATACTCAGAGTCCCAAAGCATCGAAGACAGATTTATGCCTCTGAGATCCGACACTTTATTTCATGGTGCCGGACCAGCGAACAATTCAAAGAGCTTGGTCAACTTTCTTGGCCTAAGCTGGAATCACTCTTCGTCGATTTTCCCGAGCGTGATGGGCTAGCGCTGGCAGACTACATGACATCTCTGGAATGCTATCTGGGCGACAGGCTGAGGCATCTTGAGCTTGCAGGTCCATTTCACCCCGAATTACTTAGCTTCTTCCGAGCCTCCTGCCCTCAATTACGCGAATTCTCCATCAAAAGATCCGGCCCTGGCCTTACGCCCGAAAACCTCCTTACATTCCTTGAGGAAAGCCCATCGTTGACGAACTTATCTATTTGGTCCGGTGAATTACCACTGGTAACCGGTCAAACACTCAACCATTTGGCAGGCCGCAAAAATTTACAGTATCTTTCTCTCAGTGAAGAAAAGGATATAGACGCCATCAATGCCGTCAACGAACCATCCCCTTTTCCGCATCTGCAAAACCTCGATGTGTCAGCGACAGAAGCCACACTTTCACCACTGGTCAGCATGGTCAGATGTGTCCGAAATTTGCGCATAAGTCTAGCAAGACTGGATGATGATGACACCTTCCTGTCTTTTGATAGTGTTGCTCTGAGACATGTCTCCACTCTGGTCGAATTACAGGACCTGAACCTCTTCATTATGGGTGCCATGAGGATCAGAAATGAAGATTTGCTATCTCTCAAAAATCTGACGCAGTTGAAACGTCTGAGCATCGAAGGGCATCCCTTGCCTTCTTTTACCGCTCCAAATTTTGATGATGCCAACTTTGAAGAGCTGTTCACAAACCTTCGTCAACTCGAAGTTCTCAAGCTCAATATCTCTCTCTTCGAATTGACTACTGACTCATTGAAGAGTTTAGGCACATGTTGCCCGTCACTGCGCCAGTGCGACATCACGGAGGTATGTGATCTGGCAGCTTTCAGATATGAAAATACCCCCTTATTCTCGAACCTCGAGTTCCTCCGCATCGACTCTTTCACTAACCTCGAACGATTGTGCTCATGGAGGTAACGCACCTTTTACTTTACACTGCATGAACGAGTTCATTAACTTACTGTCCCAGTCGGCCCTATGATCACGTTCGGCAACTTGAGAAACACTTCCCCAAACTCCAGGAGCTGGAATGTACGTTCGCGGAAGCCCTTGATGAAGACGAACTCTCCGAGAAAATTATGCAGTTGTGGTGGAAGAGGCAAATAAACGGCAAAGCCAAAGCAGCAAGGCAACCTAAGCGGCCGCGAGTATGAGGTACACAAGCGGTTGACGTGGTCAATCAACTCCACTTCAACAACCAAACGTCAAGTAAGAGACCATAGAGAAGGAAAAGTAGAGGATTTGTGGTAGGTCCATACACCGCGCAATCACTCGGGTGGCTATTGCGATTTGATTCCTTATATTGACTATCGAGCTTCTCCCTCAGAAACGGGTTCAGAGCCACGAAACCTGAGTTTTCAACATATATGGTGTATAAATAACTTTCGGGGTTATATCGTTCTATTTTGGATTTCTTGACCGAGACTCGCAATTTCAACCAAAGTCGTACGTGAGCAGAAACTTGCAAACCTCCTTGGCAAGGGTCACCAACAATGTCTTATCATCCCTCCGGTCGCCGCGTATGACACGCTACAATTTGCTCGTCTTAGTCAACCGAAAGGGTCTGCCTGTCGAATCCGAGAACAGTTCATGTATGGGCAGATTATGCCGGTTACTTCTACTCGAACTTCATAGAACCGAGCTGTTCCGAAAGCTTCATTGATTTGCATCGCTTAGCAGCTTGACATACCCCGGATTCTACGCATGAGGAATCCCTGTCATGCCAAGCATTCCGAAACCCCAATGAAGATTTCTCATGAGGGTTACGGAAAGTTCTTTTGGGGGCTCTCGTCATAGGACAGGGGGGCTGAGGTTGCTTTCTTCGGAAGCAAGGGCTACCTGGGGACATTTTCGATAGCTGCCCGAGCACATAACCTTAGTTGTGGGGTCTCAGACTGAGGAATGACTGAATGCGGAGAGGTTGATGGAGATCTGACAATGGGAATAGTGGTTTTCTCTTCAAAGACTGTAAATTATGCTTTGATAGTTTGGCCAAGTCATCGGATGAGAGGCATTGTTTAGAAACCTTCCAATGAGGTGAATGCACTTGAGATTTACATGGAGGACTTCTTGAATTGCTGAAGTCAGTAAATGCACTATTCTAGAAGATCACCACCTAGCCAACCCAAATGGAGCAGATAATGAGTGAAGGAAACACTACTACATACCATCCTTGGAATGGATGTAGGAGCTCAACGGCGCCTGAAATTGTCAGGATCTCCGGTTCTTTCTTAAACTGAAGTGGAGATAGAAAGCAAAGATGGAATGCAAGTAATCCATTGCTGTAATCAACGTTGTTAGACCATAACGACCACTCAACGGCATGTTGGGATGAGCAATAGACCTGAAGTACCGTATATAACGGGTCTTAGTAACAACGATCGATTAGCTTCATAGCCTCTGTTAGAACACTCCCAATTTACACCACAAGCGCCTGCCAGCATGTTCTCTCTTAAGTCTGTTCTTGTCTTAGCTTCTTCATTGGCCCTGGCTTCTGCCAAGGGACCGCCAGTTATCGTACGTCCAGCCACTCTTTTTCCATTAGATATATCAAAAGCAGAGCAGAAGTCTAACACTAACCCACCTAGACGCAGAAGATTGCTGCACAGAACTGTTCAGCGTGCTAACGAGAGTCTGGTCATCTACAGGGCCTCCGGCTGTGAGGGCTTTGGATACCCCGTTATTCAGCCTGTCCAATGTGTCAATTTGGCGCAGGGGCATGGATCTGTTCGGTGCTTTGCCCATGATGATGATGACGACGACGATGGAGAAGATGATTAGGCCATGAGTCGATGGAGAATACAGCGCCATTGGAATAATGAGGACTAATTGAGTGGTTGGTTAATGGCCTCGGAGCCCGTGTCCAAACATGACTGCATTACTGTTTTAAATCTTATCACTTTCAATATTTCTCTACAATCATGTCACTAGGCCGCTTGTACGGACTAAATTCGAGGTTAATCTTGATAATATCCAATCGGATAGCGTTAGACATTTTCCGTGTATCTGATCTTGATTGGCACTTGTGAAAATTGTTGATCGGTACTAGTGGTGATGCCACCATACTGCATGAAATTGCTAGGAGATGAAATCGGCCACAGTAATGTTGCCTGTCAACTTGCAGATACTGGGAATTGGGTATTAATGAGCCAAGCATGTACGTGTCCTACGTGCTGACTTCCGACAAGCCAGGCTAGGGCAATGAACCTCATCGGAGGTGAAATAATTACATGCAAGGGACACAATAAGGGAAGCAAACTGAAGATATACACTGGATGGCTTGCGTTGCTTTCATTTCGCGGCACAATAAATATATAAGAAACAGGCCATTAAGTGCTAATAAAATCTCTCAATGCGTGCACATGCCACATTTACCTGCCACAAAATGGAGGAGCACCATGGTTATTAGTTTCTAGATCCGAGTTCCTTTTTTTCGTTTATATATACGAAGTGGCCGAAGAGTAACTTTTTATCGCAAGTCTTCGATCATCCCTATTTCCCTAATTTATCATTGGATTTTGTTATCATCTTTATCTATATGGCGTGCTTGGATTTATCTCCACTACAAGACGTTGAGCTAACGCCTGCAATGATAAAGACTTTTACAATGGTCGATTCGGAGTCTTGAGGCATGATGAAGCCGTGGACTTGGGCCTCGTGAAACTTAAACATAGTATTCTATCAACCAGGTACGTTCCAAGAATGCCGATCGTCGCATGGAAATAGCATGACAGAGACTGAATTATCAAGCAATAAGCATTGACGGAGATTGTAGTGTCCTAAGACCGGCGGCTAAGCTGCAAGGGATGAGGGCGATGGCCGAACACCAAGACTGACGCACTTCCGACCCACAGTCGCGCAAACGCCTTGGGCGCTTACCACCAGATAGATAAGTCGCACCAAAGAATATTTGATCCAAACATTTGGACTGCCTGCTTCTTGCTAGGCCAAATCATACACGCACAGAGCGAAGCTTGTCTGACGACTCGAGGATGGCGTCGGCTACCAAGGGCAGCCTGCTGGTGGAATATGACTATCCGCAGCGATCACGATCTCGCTCGCTACGACGCTGGCGTCGACCTATTGCTGCGATAATCCTGATTGCATTTGTCGCTCTGTTCCATTTTGGATCGTCTAGCAGTATTCTTACACCCTCGTTGGTGGCTCCTAGGAGAGACTTCTTGGAGGGCCTACACAAATGTCATGAGATTCGGAACCGGACTCTTCAAGAACACACAGCATCGGCCGATCGATTCAACCCACGATGGAACCCCTTATCCGGGCAGAAACAAGCCATTCTCATCCAAAACGCCACTCTGTTTGATGGAGACTCGACCCGTAATGAATTGGTTGATATAATCTTCGACGCGGGAGTCATCCGGGCTGTGCTCCCCACCAACTTAAACAACCCAGTGCCCAAAGATGCTCGTGTCCTCAATGCGCATGGTCGGTTCATCACACCTGGTCTGGTTGATATGCACTCTCACCACCTCCTACTTCCATTTCCAAAACTGCCCTCTACCAGTGACGTGAACGAGCGACCGCTCTTGGGACCAATAACTCCGTTCGTGCGCGCGCTCGATGGCTTCAAGCCCTACGACCCGGCGATCAAAATTATTGCATCGGGCGGCGTCACCTCATCACTGGTTCTACCGGGCTCGGCGAATATCGTCGGTGGTGAAGCCTATCTCGTCAAAAATTTCCCGCGTCCGGGCCCAAACGGTGAGCCCGTTGTGGAAGAGCTGCTTTTAGAAGATGGCCGTCCAGAAATCCATCGGCAAAGGTACCTCAAGATGGCTTGTGGGGAGAATCCAAAGCGTGTCTATGGCAATACTAGATTGGGCTTGGCGTGGCTCTTGCGCGAACAACTCGAGAAAGCACAACAGCTGCTTGATCGTCAGTCCTCCTGGTGCGATGCTGCATTTGCGATTGAGGGAATACCTTTTGCGCAAAGTCATCATATCTCGAGCTTCATTGAGAAAGAAGGAAAGCGACCCGAATCATTTGAATTCGAGACCCTTCTGGCGCTTTTGAGAGGAGAACTCAATGTCAATGTGCACTGTTATGAGCCGGAAGACTTTGAACGCATGGCTGCTGTTTTGCATGAACTTGGTGTCCATCCTCGAGCCTTCCACCATGCACTTGAGGCATGGCAGGTGCCCGAACTTCTTAAACATCTAGAAGAGTTAGTATCTGCACCTTCTACATACCCACTAATCACTAACGACACCAGGAACATTACGATCGCTACATTTGCTGAGAATGCGCTTTTTAAAGCAGAGGCGTACGGAGCCAATTTGAGAGGCCCGAAGATCCTAGACGATCATGGGGTTAAAGTTGCTCTAAAATCAGTAAGCCCCTGTTGAAAGTTCTTGAGGGAAGATCGCCCAGTTAACACGACACACAGGATCACACTGGCGAAGGAAACTATGCCAAAGACCTTATGTAAGTAGGAGATTTGTTTGATTGTTTTTCCGCCATTTTCTGACTCTGTCATAGTCACCAGGCAGTCGTTGCTCACTCATTCGGTCTATCTGAGGAGAAATCACTTCAGTCTGTGACATCAGTGCCTGCTCGATCAATCCAGCAAGACCACCGTATTGGATACGTCCGCCCTGGGTACGATGCGGATCTAGTAATTTGGGACGATCATCCCTTGCAAGTCGGCGCGACTCCCCTTGAAGTGTTCATCGACGGCCGTGCTCTCTTGGAAAATGATTATGGCGTAAAGGAATTGGAAAAGACCACGGGTTTGTTCAATCAAGAAGCACCAGTGGTGCGACCATTTGTTTCCGATGCACAGAAAGACGACATCTGTGCAAGAGTCAATAAATCAGTGCTTATCACCGGAATCAAACGATCTCTGATTGGCACCCCAACCCATGTTGACAAATCTGCACAAGGTCTTGTTCTTTTCATTGAGAATGGCAGGATTGCATGTTTTGATAAGGAATCGACATGTGCTTCCTATTACAAGGACGGAGAAATCTCCCATATTGCACTGAACAATGGGTATATAACGCCGGGCCTTGTGGCATTTGCTACTAATCTCGGAATACAAGCAATCCCGTCTGAGAGCTCCACCGGCGACGGAACGGCAAAAAGCGGAGATATACTTAACGAACAGAAGAGTGTCCATTTCGCGAAATACGGTGTGCATCTCCACGGCAGAGCATTTACGAGAGCTCGAATTGGTGGCGTCACAAAAGCGGTCACGCCTCCACACGGATCTGGCATCATTGATGGAGTCAGCGTGGGAATACGGACCAGCGAAACAGCCACCATTTTGGAAAGAGGTATTTGGAAAGATAACGTTGCTCTTCACCTGGCAATTGGTCAATCGGCTAAAGGTAGGTGATGCAGATCAAGATATTGTTATTTCTTGCTAAGGAAACTAATATTGTTTTACCTTTTCAAGATGACAGCACGCCGACCATCTCTTCTGAGATTGAGCACCTCCGTCAGATACTAGAAAAGGGCCAACAGGATAGCCAAGATATATATGCCCAAGCTGCGAACGGATTACTGCCTGTAGTCGTACGAGTATTCAATGAGGTATTCATGATGTTCCTACCGTCCTTATTTTGGTCAACTCGAAGGGAGAACTAACAGCCATTTCTCAGGACGATATCGCCCAACTGATCTTGATAAAGCGTGACTACCCTTCGGTTAAGTTGGTCATCCATGGTGGACACGGAGCTGCTTTAGTAAGAAATCACTCATCGTGCCCTATATTCCTTGAAAATGTCTTTTTACTAAATCGTTGATTGTACAGGTCGCCAAGCCACTGGCAGAGGCAGACATCCCAGTAATTCTCACTGGAAACCACGGTGCCCCTGACAACTGGGAAAAGAAGAACGTTCTAATAGGACCGCCCCTGAGCGAAAGTCCCGCCAAGATTCTGATAGACGCTGGTGTCCAACTGGGCCTGGCAGTTCGGAGCGACTCGGCTGTTCATGGCTTGGCACAAGAAGCTCGATGGGCCGGCAAGTATGCGGGTCTGAGTGATGAAGAGGCCATTGCCCTTGTCTCTACCAACATTGAAGAGATCTTGGGTCTTCGATCAGCAAGCGAGCATGGTGGAGGAGAAACCAAACCTTATAGTGGAGATATTGTTGTCTGGGAAGGCGACCCTCTGAGAGGAGAGGGATCTGTCGTCATTTCAATTCAAGATGACAACAAGATTGCAGACTGTTGGCCTTACACTGCAGATGCCATTTTCTGAGGTTGTCTCATCGATGGGGTATGAAGTGGACATGGATAAATAGGGGAGTTGCGTCTCGTCACAGCTGCAAGTAGTGAGGATCCCAAAGTGCCACCACAGTGAAAAACATTGTACAGAGTATGGGTTAAGCTTTGTAGCTCGTTGTAGCAAGTAGATATTCTTCTGACTGGAAATATACGATCATGTGAAGCTTTCCTCCCATGCGGTAGCACAATATACGGTACGAGGTCAGGACATTGAATCTAGATCAAATTATAAGACAATACTCGGGTACCATGCGCATGAACAAAGGCTGATCATGGAGAAAATGAGGACAATACCATTGTGTGACGGCCAAGAACGGACGGGCTGATATATTTTCCAACGGATCTCCTAACGGGAAGGGGCCTAGCCAGCTGTCAAGCTTCTGATTGCTTGGTCGGATGACGTAGGTGTAATATGCATGCAGCGCTAAGTTATCCACACGGGGAAGGATGATAGCATTGGCACTCGAATCAAACGTATGATATCTGATAGATCCAGAGAATCTTCTCTACAGAGTCGTCTCCTTTGGGACTAGATCACGCCATGAGTGCTTTCTAAGCGGGTCTAGCCTGCTCGGGCTAGGCGTCAGCTGACCCCCTCCGCTTCCCCAGATTTCCCCGAGGCCCGTCCCGTCACTTCACTGTGCGCCTCCATTTTCTCTCTCCCAGCCCCCTTGTCAGCGGCGTTTTATTATGCCTTGATTGTACAGAGTGTTCCTTGTTGGTGCGGCCTCGAGAATGAGCTTTAGCAGGAAACGTGTGGCGTTGGCCTGTAATTTTTGTCGCAGCCGGTAAGCCACAATGGCAATTCTCCCTTCCCCCCTTTCTCCGCCCGCATTGGTCGGGTTTGTTTGTCGTGAGCTAAGAGCAATGGATAGTAAGCGACGATGTGATGCCCAGAAGCCCTCGTGTTCCACTTGCTCCGAACTAGAAGTCGAATGTCACTACGATGACTTGCCATCCCAGAGGTGGGTCGATAGCCGCGCCCCGCAGTTGACACATTGGTTCTCACCTTATACCGTATAGAATCGACACCTCCGGGGGGACGCGGGAAATACTCAGTCGCCTTAAAGACATCGAATCCCTTCTCGAAAGCCAGTCGGAGAAGATAACCGCGCTTTCTAACGGGTCGAACGCATATACTCATAACCATAATGCGGCCACTCCACAAAGCCAATCGTCCGTGCCGATGACCGGTGTGCAATCCACACAAGCCGTCACGTCCGCTTCATGGCCATTTCCGGGGTTGGATGTGCAGTCGGAATTAGCGAAGTTGCCACCTTTGACAATTCCAGTTAAACACAAGACATCCTCCAGCTATCTGCTGAGCTTGCCGTCCATGAAAGCCCTGATCGGCGAATACCCCCCGGATCTGTTCTTCTTGCTGGAATCAAGAAGTCAGTTACCACCAGAGCTATCATTTGAGCAATTGTCCAAGCCCAGGCCGCAACTCAACATCAGGCGAGAAGTAGCCGACGAATTAGTATCCACGTTCTTCACGTTGGCTCATCCGAACCACCCAATCTTGGAGCAGGCTGAATTCGAGGAGATTTATAATCGATTTTTGGAAGTTGGTCCTGACTCCAGCATTCCGTCTGCGCTCTGTATGGTTGTGCTAGCTCTTGGAGCTGTCGCGGCTTCACCTCTCAAGGCCCCGGAATTTAAAGTATCGCCTCCGGGCATGGAATACATGCAACATGCACTGCCCACGCTTATATCGCAGTCATCCTGGTCGTTTTCGTTCAACCTTCTACTACCACAGGCCCTGGTACTCGCCAGTGTGTACTTTGCATACATTGTCCGCCCACTGCAGAGCTGGAGACTGATTTACTCGGCGTCTACAATTCTTCAGTTCAAACTGTCAGGGTAAGTATGGGAGCAAATCTAAAGACGAGAGGAAGTATTAGAAAAACGCTGATACGATTGTAGAATGGATGCGCGGGAGGAAGGACCAAATTGGCGTGAGAGTATCATCCGTCTCTTTTGGTCCTGTTTCCTCGTAGAATGTGATCGACTAGCAGAGTTGGAGCTGCCACGAAGCGGTCTGCAGCAGCTGACTGACGAAGTTAGCCTTCCCAGCTGTTCGAATCTCGGTTTAATGCAATCTACGTGTTACCTGGCTGAAATCTCTGTTCGCCGATTGCTCAACAGAATTCACAACTCACTGTATCCCAGCAAGATGCACCTATTGACTCTTTCATCTACCACTCTGATGACTCCGGATGAATTCTCAATCGAGGACGTTTCTTCCATGATCAATGTGTCCGATGAACTACACGAGCAGCTCAAAATGTGGCACTCTTCGATACCAGAAGCCTTTCGCCCAGTCTTAGGGATGGGAATCCCCCTCAACCCTACAAACCCTCGCGAGGCGATTCTTCGAATCCGGTATTTCGCTGCCCGACACATCATTTACCGGCCGTTTGTGCTGTATATAGCCACACACGGAGTTGGAGGAACAACAGAGACCATGATTGAGAAGGCAGGCATTTGCATCGAGAGCTGTCGGTACTATATTCACAACACTTCGCAGGTCATGACCCAACCAAGCCAATACACTTGGACGTTCTCCCTATCGTAAGTGCAAACTGGCTAGAGTGTAGCTGCTTTCTGGATGTGCTGACAGAAAGCAAAGAACACTGGGTGCCATTGTGGTTCTCACGCTCGCTTCTCTAAGCCCCAATTTGCGGCATTTCGTTCCCGACATTGACGAGCTTCAACAACGGGCGATTGATAACATACGTCCCTGGGCATTTTCCAGTCTCGAAGCTGTAATTATCATTCTGGAGGATATACAAAGAAAGCAGCGATTGCTATCGCGCGTCTGAGTCGTCATCTCAATCATGCTCAATGAATGGGGAATAGTGATGTCGTGGTTAACCAAAAAGCTAAACCAGGCAGTCCAAAACGCCGTACATGCACAGACTATTGTTCATAGTTCGTCTCCAGTGGGCTGGGCGATAATCTCAAGCCCGATGTCGCTTCTCCAAAAGCTGCCATTGGGGTATGTGTATTTCTCCAGCGCCTCTTCGGTGTATCCGGTCGAGTAGCCAGGTGCCAGAGGGGTGACATAATGTGCGTCTTTGATCTGCGAAGGATGGCGCAGATTCTCACGGTGGCTGTCCGCCATCTCCAGCATCGACTTGCGTCCGCTGATAGCGATGTAATCAATTGTGCTCAGGTGTGAGGTCAGTTCAGTTAAGCCCATGGCACCATTATGAGGCACACACGGGACGTCAAACTTCAAAGCCATGAGCATGACCGCCTTGGATTACGTTAGCTGCGGCATATTTGTTGGATGGCATGTCAATGTCACTTACAAGGCACTCGTTGACACTGCCGAGACGGACAGCGTCGATTTGGCACACATCGGTGGCCTCGGCCTGCAGGAGCTGCTTGAAGGTCACACGGTTCTGGGCAGCCTCGCCGGTAGCCACGCCGACTCCGTATGGCTTGAGAGCCTTGCGGATTGTAGCGTGACCGAGGACATCATCAGGATTCGTGGGCTCCTCGATAAACACCGGCTTGAACTCCACCAGCTGCTTCATGTACTCGATCGCCTGTGGGACACTCCAAACCTTGAGCAAGAATTAGCACAACTGAAGTAAGGCATTTGAGCGGTAACGCCTTACCTGGTTGGCATCGATCATAATCTGGTGTCCCTTGTCATACCCCAACACCTCTCTGACAGCCGATAACCTCTCCCGATCAGCCTCAACGCTGGTGCCAACTTTGAATTTGAAAACGGTGTAACCGGCGGCAATGGTATCTTCAAGCACCTCTCGCATGCGATCGCCAGAGAAGGCCAACCAACCCGGTGACGTGGTGTATGCGGGTACTGCAGTGTTTTCAAATGCTTCTCGCATGCGATCCTGCTTGCCCTTTTGTGTTTTCTTTAGCATCTCGATACTCTCCTCCGGCGTTATCACGTCAGTAATATATCGGAAGTCAATACACCGAACAATCTCCTCTGGGTTCATATCGCAGACAATCTTCCAGACGGGCTTGTCCAGAATCTTGCCCCACAGGTCCCAGACCGCGTTCAGAACCCCCGCTACCGCCAAGTGTGTGATGCTCTTTTCCGGGCCAACCCATCGATATTGCGAGTCCGAAACCATGTACCGCCATGTCTTTCCCATATTCCGTGTGAGCTCGTGCATTGTCTTGCCTACCACGCGCTTTGCGAAAATGTCGAGTGCCAGACAGATCAGTTCGCTTCCTCGTCCATTGCTGAATGCCTGTTCAACACCGAGTTAGCATTGCTTGAGCTTTCCGCGGAGCTTGGATGAAATGGTTGTTCTTACAATCCCATCGCCAACCAGCCCATCCTGGTTTGTCTTGAGTTGAATATACGGATGAGATCCATTTGTACCCTTGTGCATTGCATCCGACCCAACGCCATCTAAACTAGTGGGAAACCGCAGATCCACGATCTCGAACGACGTGATCGTAACATCATGTTCTGTGACTTGATGGGAGCCCATGATGGACGATTTGACTGCAGCGACTTGACCAGAGTGGACAGGACGCAAAAAAGCCTGAAAAGTGTTGAACAGATCCAGTCGGCAAGAAAGCGAGATGCAAAGATTCTTAAATGAACGGGAAATTAAGCTCCGTGTGTACCTATCGGTACTACCCCACGTGGAACACAAACAGCACAACCTGACCTCGCGATGGTTGAATCTCCCACGAACCACCGTCGGCCCCACATGACGCACGGGCAGGTTCCGCGGTGGGGCTGCCGCTTCCCCCCGCTGCCTGACAGAAGGTTATCAACTTATCTATGCGGTCTTCTCCACGAGCTGATCGAGATGCTCGGATGCTGTGTTCTATTCTGTACCGAGAGATGAGATCTGAGAGCTCCGTCAAGTTCGGGTGCTCGGGGACCCTGATTCACTGTGCGATGATCTCAGTGGCATGGCGTGGTACCAATTGTTCGACGGGCACCTTCGGTGGCTTGGACAATTCCATGGCGTATGCATCAGCTGTCATCGACCGCATGACGTCCGTTTGATCTAGACCAAGGTTATCGGCCCAAACATTCAGACGAGAGGGGAATTTTGTTTACCCGCCAAAAGAGCCCAAAGAGGAAGGTAGCTTATAGTACGTGAAGACCGACAAACATTCAACCGGTGGGCCAATCAATGATGCTGGCCTCGATGGGTTGGGTAAGCTCTGTGACAACCATAATTGTCCCACATTAAAGTACAACTTTACACTGAATGAGCTCGGGGTGCTTAGGCGCATCGGCGGTTTAGATGGTGATTTGACAACACGGAGCATTGTGCTCAATCTGATTAGTGAGGACATGAGAGAAGAATGGTCAAGTATAGATGCGGTGGATGCTTGCCTGTACATGGCGTTCGAATAGACCTTAGATACACTACCGTTAGAATTAGAGTTTCTTTATCAACCATGACTAGGATGTTTGGCTCATCTTAATGGCCTGTGTCACGAGATCCCTGACCGTCTCTCGGAATGGTCTATACGAGTACCCCAACTCCTTCGCTGGCGTTTCACCATCCAACCCGTAACTCTCATCGAGAGCCTGATCCTCCAACGTCACCTTCCCCCTGAGCGACTCAAATTCCTCGGCCATGATACTAGCCGCCAGCCCATATGAAAATCGCTCCGGCGACGCAGGAGCATAACGCCGATTCCCGACCCCAGGATTCAACAACGCCTCGACATGCGCGACAGCCAGATCCCGGACGTCGATCCAGAACGGCACCCGCGACACAGGTAGTGGGTTCGCCCCACTCGCAATCTTCCACAGCATGGCATTGGACTCGTTCAGCCGGTCCACGCTCGGCACGGGGTGCACCACCGGGCCAAACGTCATGGGCGGACACAAGGCCACCAGGTCGAACGCGGGTTTTTGTTCCTTCACGTACGTCCATGCCTCCAACTCCGCGAATTTCTTCGACCCCCGGTAAGCGACGACCGCGCTGGTCGCTGGGTCCGCGGCCTCCTCGTATGTCAACGGGTTCCAGTCCGCCGCGGTGAGTGTGAAATACGGCGGGCCCTTGCGGTTGACGTTTATGATGGAGGCGAAGGATGAGGTGAGCACGATGCGGTGGATTTGTGGGTTCGTGGAGGCGGCCTCGACGATGGCGCGAACGCCGTTGATGGCGGGTCGGATTAACTCCTTCTCGTTGTCCGTCGTGTCGTAGGTAAATGGCTGTTACGTTGGGAGAGTGCGGATTTTAGTTCCGCTTCCGCGTTTGCTTGGAGAGACCGGAGAGGGGCAGGAATAAGTTGATGAGGGGTTGGTATGGCCGTTGGGGTTCACTCACGCTGGCAGTATGGATCACACCATCTACGCCTTTGACGGCCTCTATCAGGCCACCGGGCTTCTCGAAGTCGTCGATTTGTACAAACCCCAGCTGCTTGGCGTACTGCGGTCGAGCCTGGATCATGGCATTGCCTTTTTCCAGCGAGCGCGTTGCCCCGCGTACCCGCAGTCCGCGAGATAGCAGCGCATCGACGATGTGGGCGCCAATGAAGCCGGTGGCACCGGTGACTAGAATCAGTTTGGTCATGGTGAGCGGATGGATATATGCGAGGAGGATGCGAGTAGACGGGAAGTCCGTTGAACGTGAATTTCAGCATGAACAAAGTCAACAACATTGATTGTTATCAATTATCAACTATCGCTTCCACGGTATCCCCGCTGCCGCTCATCCGCGCCGGACAGCGGGCAGATCTGCCGCCTCCCCCCACGGGGCCATCACGGGACCGGACACTAGACCGGACGGGGAAAGAGCAGAAGGATCCATTTTCTCCTCATTTCTCTCTCAGGAGTGGACCTCACCAGCTTACCCCGGACTCAGTCAATCTATCTCTTGTTCTATTCCTCCCATCGGCTCGTGGTGTTGAAGCTTTGTCCTCTTCCTCTGGCTTGCCAGAGTGACAATTGCAACCGACGAGGACAAAAAAAGTATATATACTTCGGAGGATTTCCTCTTCCTTGTCAGTTGCCTGGTCCACTTGAACCTGAATGACACAGGGAATCCACTCGTGATTGCTGTCTTCTCCCTACCCTGGTCATCGGGAATCTCTCACTATTCCGAAATGGCTGGCCTCGACCTTTCGGCTCGCCTTAGTGGGCGATGGCTCATTAGCATGGTTACTATCGCCAATGCCTGGTATGCTTGATATCCCAGTCTTCATCTATCCTAAATTGGCCCCCCGGCGGGCTTGGCCGCCACCGGATTGTCTGACGGGCGAATGATACAGCTCCATGGCGTGGTTCGGTTATGACCAGGGTGTGTTCTCCGGAGTGTTAATTTCAGCCGATTTCAAGAAACACTTCCCGGAGACCGACGATGCTGACATCTCCGGCATCACCTCGAGCTGCTTTTCCGTGAGCAATGAGATTCCCCGCGGGACCCACTGCTTCCCGAGACATCCACAACATCATCATACCGGTAGAAATAAGTGCTGACGGTGCGATTTTGGGACGACTGCAGCTCGGCGCCTTCTTTGGTGCCATCTTCGCCTTCACGCTTGGCGATAAACTCGGTCGGAAAAAGACCGTCGCGCTGGGTCTGGCTTGTAATGTGATCGGAGCGGTGCTGCAGGTCGTCGCGTGGCATCTGCCGCAGATGATTATCGGACGTGTCATCAATGGCTTCGGAATGGGCCTGACCTCCTCGACCTGTCCGGTCTACCAGGCTGAATGCTCGAAACCAAACGTCCGCGGCAAGCTCGTGGTCGTCGGATCCCTCTGTAACACCGCAGCATTCTGTCTCGCCAATTGGATGAACTACGGGCTGTATTTCCAGGGCGAAGCGCTGCAATGGCGATTTCCCTTGGGCTTTCAACTCATATTCCCCATCATCGTAGCAATGGCGCTAGTCCTAATCCCGGAGTCCCCGCGATGGCTCCTCCTCCAGGACCGACCCGACGAGGCGCTGCAAGTGCTGGCGCGATTGCAGGGCAAGGGCAAGGATATCCACGACGCCGATGTGTCGGCGGAATTTCTATCCATCCAATCAGCGCTGCAGGTGGAGCGTAAGGACCGCGTGCCCACGATGGACGTGTTGCTGTGTCGCGACAAAACTCAGACTCTGCGCCGACTGCTGCTCTCTTGCGGAACGCAGTTCATGCAGCAGTTCAGTGGTGTCAATGCGCTAGGATACTACCTGCCTACTCTGTTACAGCAGAGCGTGGGTCTCGACGAAGAGGAAAGTCGCCTGTTGACCGGGATCAACGCCACCATCTACCTGGTAGCCGCCTTCTGCTGTCTGCTTATCATCGATCGCTTTGGTCGTCGCAAGTAAGGATTCGAATCCCTGCCTATATGCCACTTCGCCTAAAGCTGACCATCCAGGATGATGCTCTACGGTTCCTTGACCATGGGTTCATGCTACCTCATCGCGTCTATCTGTCTGAAAGTAGCCGCGGACGACCCGTCGCGCGAGCGCCTCGTAAGTCGTCTCCTACCTACTTCTGCCAAAATATTCAGAACTAACATCTCTAGCTCGGCCGCGTCACCACCGCCATGTTCTTCCTCTACTACTTCTTTTACGGCACAAGCTTCGCCAAAGTCCCTTGGGTGTACAACTCCGAAGTAAACTCCCTGGGATGGCGTACTCGCGGCGCGGCAGCCGCCACGGCAACGAACTGGATGGGCGGGTTCATCGTCACGCAGTTCACGAAAGTCGGTGTAGATAATATCCACTGGCGATTCTACCTGAGTAAGTCCCCCTTTGCTTTGCGCTTCCCCAACCCTCTCGAATAGGCTGTGTGCTAATGGAATGAACAGTGTTCGCCATCATCGTCTGGGCCTACTTCCCTGTAATTTACTGCCTGTACCCCGAAACCTCGCGTCGCACGCTAGAAGACATGGATGAGATCTTCATTCGTCATAAATCGCCCATCGTGTGCGGGAACAGGTCGTTGACGCAGCGGAAACGGCCACAGGAGTTTGTCGAGGCGGAGTCGAAACGCATCGAGACGATGGATGAGGTGGTTGTTGGGGATTCAGTTAAATGTGGGTCGGCGATTCATCATGAAAGAGTTTGATTTTGCCGAGGGGCTTGGGTCTTATATAATGTTATTGGATGTACAGGGAATGGTGTTGGCTTGGAATGGCTGGGTAAAAGGAGGTTAGATGGGCCTTGGGAATGAAATACTGGGTATCGATATATAATTTAATGAACATAATTGAGACATACTGAACGAAAGGTAAGCTCGATCACAGCCAGAGAAGCCAAGATCTCATGCAGGACCGAACTAGACATACAAGGATGGTTAAGTGAATCCAATCGCCATCCCCACCAGCAATGGCGTGCTTATAAAGGCTAGAACAGAGTAAAACCCCGCCATGCATTCAACCTCGCAAATACCCCAAAAGACATGCATGATCAACATGTCGGACGCGATAGAAAAGTCCCCTCAGGCAGCCGAATCCCCCATCTCGGAGAAACTGACGTCGAATACCCAGACGAAAGAAGACACGCATCTGCCACAACCCCGCGGCACAGAGACCGAGGCTCAACAAAAGTGGTATCAGTATTTCTCGCCCAGCGACACCCCAGCAGAGAGACGTCTCATATTGAAGCTCGATGGACTGATCATCGTGTTCTTGTTCCTGGCGCATTGGGCCAAGGTCCTGGATTCATCGGCGACGAGCACGGCCTACGTGAGTGGGATGAAAGAGGACTTGGAATTATGGGGGAATGAGTTGAATTACTTGAATACGGTCTACATGTACTCCATCCTGATCCATTCACTTGCACCTCGTTGTCATTGCAAGACTAATATGCAATTAGGGTTGGTTTTATCACGATGCAAATTCCATTGACGCTTCTCGTTCGTCTCCCCCACCACATGATGATGCAAAGTTCGCACCAAATAACTAACTCACACACTCCAATCCCTATAGATGACCCGCACTCCAATCAACATCTTCCTCCCCACCGCCGACCTCCTCTGGGGCGTATTCACGCTCGCCCAGTACAAAGCAACCAGCGTGACGACGCTCTACGCCCTCCGCTTTTTCGTCGGCGCTCTAGGCGGTTTCTTCTTCCCCGCCGTACAATGGTACCTTGGGAGCTGGTACAAACGCTCCGAGCTCGCGCGCCGTGGAGCCATCTTCTTCGTGTCGAGCCAGGTTGGGAGTATGAGTTCGGGTTATATCCAGGCCGGTGCATACGCAAGATTAGATGGACGGTATGGCATTGAGGGGTGGAGATGGCTGTATATCATTTGTTAGTGATCTCTTCTGACCTTTGTTAAGCGTCTCGACATACCCGAGAAAGCGAGATAACTAACCGCCATGGCATACTAGGTTTCGCATGCACCATCCCCATCGCCATCCTAGGCTTCTTCCTTCTCCCCAGCACCCCAGATAACTGCAACTCCCGATTCCTCAGCCCCGCCGAAATCACCCTTGCCCAAGAACGAATGAAATCCGAGAACCTGGAGCCCCGAGCTCCCTTTACGATCCCTCGTATCCTGTCGATCCTAAATAGCTGGCGTCTCTGGATCCTCGTGCTCTTCGCATTTTTCTTCTCCCAGGCCGACGGTGTCAGCTCCAACAGCGGTCTCTCTCTCTGGCTAAAATCTCAATCCTACTCCGTCGAGTCGATCAATACCATCACGACTGTTTCGCCAGCCGTGACGATCATCGCATCGATCACTAACGGCGTGATATCTGATATCTATAACGCAAAGGTCATCTTGATTGCCATCACCGCTGTGTTGAATATCTTTGCATGCATCGTGTTAGCGGTCTGGTCTGTTCCGGTGGGATTGAAGTTCTTTGCGTTCTTCCTATCGGGCACGGCGAATGGCATTGCGGCGATTGTGTATGCCTGGGCGAATGAGATCTGTGCGGGGAATGCGGAGGAGAGGGCGCTGGTTATTAGTGCGATGAATACGGTTGGTAATGCGTTTGGGGCGTGGATTCCGTTGTTGTAAGTTTTCCTTTTCTTTCCTTTTGGGCTCAAAGGTTTGGTTGATATTGTTCGCTAATGGAGTATGGACAGTGTCTGGAAGACGGTCGACGCACCCCGGTATCTAGTCGGGTATAGCTGGAATCTGGCATTGGATGTAAGTATGTTTGTGATGGTTTTTGTGTTGAGGGCTTTTTGGATGAAGGAGAAGAGAAGGGTGAATGATAGGTCTTAGTGTTGGAAAGTCCATGGTCTATGCATTTGGACATGCAGTATGTGAATGTGCAACTGGACATCAATTCTGAAGTGCTGAGACCTAACTTGCATTGGGTATCAAATCATACTAGACAAGTAACTAAGCTAGAGCACGAATATCAAGAAAAGCAATATCCCAGATGAACTGAATCTAGAAAGAGGAACAAACAGAAGAGGAAAGCCAGAGAACAGGAGAAAAAAAAAAAGAAAAAAAAAAAGTGATAACAATCAGAAAATATACCAAGCAATCACTGGTGCAAAAGTCCTTGTTGAGCCGTGCTCTCCAACTGCTCCAAGGCTGCCTCGAACTCTACATCAACAGCAGCCTCTTCCAGTCGCTTTTTGAGATACTTTCGTGCCTTCGTAATTTGCATCTCCCACAGCCCTTTAGACTCCACGCATTTGACGGTCACGTAAACGACAGCCAAAATATTCAACAAGAATGCACGCTCCATGGTATCGAGTTTCACCGACAAAGAGGCCAGCAACTTGCTCATATCCTCCGTAGCCTGCGGGTGAAACTCAGCCAGAAGTTGTGCTTCGATGGCACTACCCTTAACTCTCATGTCTCCATTCGCCGCTTGGAGATAGAGAACCCTGGACAGATTGAGCTCAGGCTGAGCTGCCTCTTTGATAGGCTCCGCGGTGCCACTTGTAGATGATGATGCACGCTTGCATTTCTTCGCTTTAAAGCTCACCCCGTCCGTGGGAATCCCACCGCCTCCGAAGCAACCCATCGAGCCTCCCCTAACTATTCTGGTAGCGGAGGAAGAAGGCGAAGATGGACGGTCTAATGAAGTGGCCACCATTCGGACGTCTTGACCAGCACCTCTCGTGCTGCCTTCAACGCTTCCTTGTATGTTACCTTGAATATCACGCGTCTTGTAAAGTGACATATCAGGCAATTGGGGAGCGACGTGGGCTGCAGTGTCATCATCGGAAGAAGAAGATGAGCCGGCGCGACAGAATCGCAAGGCACCCCCAGTTGAGCCTCCGTCGTACAGGCGAAACCCCATGTCTTCATCAGATTCACTTTCCGAATCATGAGGTGATTCGTCTCCGTCATACAGGCCAAATCCCATGTCTTCATCGGATTCGCTTTCCGAGTCATGAGGCGGTTCGCCTCTCTCGGCTGGCTCGACAGATGTTTCATGGTCTTTCTGAGAGGCGCGGTCGACGGCGACGTAGCTGGTCCATCTACTGGGAATCGACCATCTGACGCCCAATTTCTGGGCCTCATGCTCGAGAATACGGTTGAATGCACCCTGATCGCTTACTAGAAGGGATGCATATTTCGCATGAAGCCAGCTTTGACCGGTCTCGTAGTCATTCATGAAGGCCTTCGCGGCGAGGTGGTGAATGCTTGATATGTTGCTTCTGTGAATGAGCAACTGTGTGGTGAGATTCGTTCCATCTTCTGTCGTTGCTGTTATAGTTACAGTGTCGGGTATCTTTTCGGCGTCACGATCTAGCATGTAGTAGATCGACTGATGAGAAAAGGAGCTCAGAGGTGGAATAGAATGAGGCGCCTGAAGGCATCCAGTTCCATTCTGCACCAATCCGTCAAAGCTAATCGAACATCGTAGGCGAGATGGTGTCAACGCATTCTTCAACATCTGGATCATCTTCTCCTGCCAGGCCAAAGACGAGTTCGTGTCGCTGATGACCTCGGCATATCCACCACCGCGCATGCCGATGCCCTGGACCAGTCGATGCGAGACCTCTTTTCCAATGCCGAGGGCAAAGAACCGGATGTTCGTCTCTGGGTTCGATGCCGTTCTCGCGACGAACTCGATCACCTTCTCCACGTCCCATGTCTCTCCATCCGTTAGTACAATCACGTTAGTCGGTACATCAGCGCGCTTGTTGAAGTGTTCCGGGATGCTTTCCAATGCTTGCAAGATCTTGGTGCCGCCAAAGTTGGCTTCAAATGAACCAACGTGGCTAGTTGCCTCGTCGAGAATTTCTTGACTATATGGCTGAGAGCTTTCCCACATCCAGGAAAACGAGGTTCCGAACGACACAATGTTAAACGAGCATTGCTCCGGCAGGCTTCGTAGAAAGACGTTCATTGCGTTTCGCAGGGCGGGAATCTTTGCATTCATGGACGAAGAGCGGTCGGCCACGAAGATCACTTCTCCGGTGTAGTTGTCAGGGTTGAATCTCTTTCGGAACAAGTCACCAGGGCTCAACGTCAGTGCAATGGTCGATTTGTTAGAATCCGGCTGAGGTACAGCAATAGCCCGAGACACCATCCATTCCTTCGAGTTGGACATGATTGTAAGAACAAAATCTTTTTCCAAGACTGCGGACCGTCCGGTGAGAGAAGTGTTTGCTTTGCAGGGGTCAAAGATGCCGGTTTCAGAACCAAGCTTCACTGATATCGTATGGGTCTGAGACTCGATCTGCGTAATTTGCTCGGGCATGGAAACGTGCACATTGATATGAAGTGTATCTTCTCCTGCCACTGCGGTTGTACTCGCGGTCTCGGGTTGATTATACCCCCTAGGCTGCAATCCATATCTGGGGGCCACGCTGGTGGGGATGGTCAAAGTGGTAGCGCCGGTCGTTTGATCCCCTCTCAGCTGCGTAGCAAGGGTGATCTCCACAGCCACGTCTGTCTGGCTGGGGATACTGCCAAGATTTGTTTCGAAGATTTCGGGGGTCAGCTCTTCGACGAGAACCGCCGCCTTGTGCTTCGACACGGCTTCTGCGAACTCCTTGCGGGCCTGCTGTTTTGGCTTCACGGCTCCTTCGAGCAGTTTGTCTTTGCCGATCCAACATTTGAAAGACGTGACAGCGGAGCCGTCGTAGATGGGAAAGAGGTATTTGGCGTGCTCAACTGCAGCGGAAGATGGGTTTGTGTATTTTTGCGTGATGGTCGTCGTAGAGATATTGCTCTCTACGGTGGCGTTAATAGTGACTGAGAGAAGTGAGAAATGAGAGGGTCGAGAAAGCTCTGTCCGTTGTTCGTTGTCATCCTTGGGCGCAGTGAAGTATACGCCCGATTCGAAGCGTGAGGTTGGCATATTGTGTTGATTAATTCAAGATACTGTGATGTTGGGAGGATAGTCTCGGTTGCGAATTAAGCAATCTTATACAGTAGATTGTGGGTCTCTTGGTGGAGTATTTTGTCGCTTGTTTTATATCTAGTGCTTACTCTGAGTCGTGTTGGTTGACTCACCGTCGATCATGCATTATGACGGAATAGTAAAGGAGTAGCGTCCACAGGTCGTTTTATTTGCCAGAACCTATAAAATCTCTTAAAGCATGAGTCACACTAACCATCGAACTTGTTCTCAGTAATCTTATTTGTTCATCAAACGGTCAGGTTGCATTGTGTTTGATTCATCAGATAACTTCATTTCAGCAAGCCACTCCGTCGTAACGACTTTTCCCGCCTTGACATCACGGAGATTGAGATCTACGTACCTCGAACAACGAAAGACTAAATTAGGGAAAGTGCTTCCTCATAAACCCCCGCGAATCATACCCAGCCATCCACCATTGACTGGATTTTGGCTTTTCGGGAGGCGCGCGAGAAATCTTGACCGCGCCGATGAAAACGTCCATCAGACCAAGACACTCCCTACTACCACCCAGATTGGCGATCTTCATTACCAATCCATGTGGATCGCCATTCGAGGTATCAATATGAGTTCCTCGTCTCTCCTCGCAACAAAAGCAGGCCGAGGTACAGTGTCCAACTCCTTTGATATCGAGACCCTCTCTGGGCTTTGAGCAGCATTCGCAATCATATGCACAACATCCGCCTCTTTCCTTGCAGTGCAAAGAGACCCAGTTGTTGTCGGCGTGAGGCTCCTCCAGGCGCTCTTTAAGCCTTCCAGCAGGGAACTCTGCGAGGCTGAGAAATATCGAGCAGGACGTGTTGTAGATGACTTCGCGCGCAGGTTGTGTTTCAATCTCCAGGTTTCTCAATCGCTTTTGAACGACGTCGACCTCGGCTTTCACTTCGTCTTTGAGAAGCTGACTCTTCGAGTATTTGTTGATGGACGCCTCCATAGTGCGCCGCCTGTGGATGAAGGCTGCAAGGCGCTGGACCTCCAAGTCGAGCCTCAAATGCATGTTGATGAATGATTCAAGGTGCTCTAGATCTTTGGGGTCCATTGCCTGGATGCAGATCTTGGTGTGACGTCTGCTGCGAAAGCGCCGCGAGCCTTTATAATGTAGGACGTTCCATTCGATGGTCTGGTCGAGCCGATGATGCAGGTCGGGGCCGAATTCAAGGTAGATCTCCTCATCCTCGTCTGGTAGGTCCATGAGGCAGCGATCGACGCTCGAGCGTTGGTCTTGGAGTGGGTTAAGGTGATTTTAGTTGATTTCAGTATAGGTCTAGGGTGTGTACAACCATCGCTGCTGATGTTAGGTTAAAGTCAAGAATTTATCGTCACCGTGAGAGATTCAAATGGTAGACCGTACCTGGATGGCTGATTCTCTCGCCAGTTATCAGTGATGGGTGGGAAAGAAACTGAAGGTGACTGAAGGAAGTGACAGTGAGAAGGAAGTGTTGTAGATGCGTGGATCGCTGGCCGCTAGCCCTGATCAGGAAGTCAAAACAAAATTCACTTCCAGTAAACAGTTCATCCCCAGTCATATAAAATCAAATCTGTCTTCTATGTGCATAAACGTGAGATAGCCGTCTCTCACAAGACCTAATATACACAGTTACGGCTGTATTGACACAAAGGCATCCAAGACCACATGCGCTGGGCGAGAAACGCATGATATCTATACTTGGTAGCTGGTAGACGTGACTCGGGGTCTCGAGACCCTGCCGTTAACCTAACTCGTAGCTTTCGGCGAACCAAGCCTTTTCTCTGGATAATTTCATGGCTGTTACCATATAGGCGGTCTGTTATATACAAGGGTGGTTGTGTTTTTAGTCCAAGCGGCTGGTGGGGTTGATGCAATTCTTCTTGATTATCTTTCGTTTCAAATGAGTTTACTACTGGATTATACTGCTACCTGGTCTCTTATATACCTCTTCAACTCCGCATATTTTGAGGTTGGGAAGGTACTGTTCGAGCGAAGGATTTTAGAAGGCCGACCCTGCCTATCTATTTCTTCCCATGAAGAGACTAGCTTTTCTGAGACTTGTGTGATTAAATATTGCCGTCCATACCGCGGTGTTCATCTTGATTGCGTCCAGACATAGCGTATCGTTCTCAAGAGCAAGAAGTCAAGTCTTGTTTATCAGCAGTCCTATTTACAAGCTTTCGCAACTGTCATTCTGTATCTCTATCACTAAATACAGGTCTGCAATCGAAGTGGTTAATGAACGGGCTTTCTCCCATAAACAACTCGACTATAGTAAGCGTCAGCAAAAGTCTCTATAATGAACAAATACAAAGCAAACCAACATCTTTGTATACGAATGTAACCTCGGATTCTTCAGCTGCTCCCTTACCAACCCCTGCAAGATCTTCGTCTGGTCCGGACTCCAGCCCAGAACCTGCGTGCACAATCGCAGCCCATAAGCCTCGATGGCATCCTGAACCATTTTTGCCTGTACTTTGCCAATGTCTTTCAAGTTAGGGTCCTCGGGCCATGGCGAGAACGGAAGAAAATACGTCGCTTCGTGCACATCCTCGAAGCTACAGTCAATCAGCCATCTTGTCAAGTGCTGGTATATGTTGAGGTCTCTGCCTATTCTTTTTCCGGCGTCGTCGAGAGCCATCAGGTATTGCATCATAGGTGAGCCGTCGGTCAGAGAGCCGTCGTCACTCCAGCCCCATACGGCGCTTTCCTGGAGCTCGAGGTACCCGCCTGGCTTGAGATGTGTGTACGCTTGTCGGATGAGACGAGGCCAGTCCATGACGCATCTGGACATTATTTGAGTGGCTAGACTGTGGGAAGGGAATGGAATCAACCTACCCTGCAAGGTTCCGGGAGTGCACAAAATCATAAGCGTTCAGTTTCTCCAGCCAGTCGCTCTCAAAGTCATCCACGAAAAAATCGACATTCGGGGGTGTCCATGAGGGCTGTATGGGGCTGATATCGTTACCAACAACATGTGCGCTTGGGAATTCGCTGGATTGACTTGTTAGCTGACTGCCAATGGTTCTCAATGCATAATCACTCGTACTCCGCGAAGTCGATCGCCCAGATTCCCGTCCCCGTCCCTAGGTCAAGGACCTTCTGGGGGTTCTCTACTGGTGCATTGAAGAGATTTCCTTTCATCAACATTAAGTATCTAGTGGTCTAGTGGTTATATGTTGGCCGTAAGCTAAATCATGTGTGCCTTACATATGGTGCACCTACTGACTGTTAGCATACGAAAGTCCGCCAATCTGCCAATACATACCAAATCTAGGCGTTCTTGTTCGACTTCATCGTTGGGCATCCTACTCAGGTTAGACAGTTCCGAACATTGGACGAGGATCAATAATACATATAATCTCCCTGCATGTCCGGTTAGTACTTTGCGAAGTAGATATAATTAATCAGCCTACCGTCCGAGTACTGGGATACCGCCGTCCATTCTCATACTGATAATCGAGAATACTTGAAGTCAGGGAGTACGTGTCCATAAAACTTTCCTCATAGTCACTACCTCCATTTGTCTGGTCGTACGTGAGATTCTATTAGTTGAACATATCCGCAAGATGTGCACCTCAAAAACTCACACTGTTCATATCTTGGTCGTCGTCATCATCGTGATTGGGGATTGGAATAGGAGCCTGTGGGTGTTCCTGGACTACCTCCCCAAAAAGCTCGGCGAATGAAGGCAATTGTGGATGCTAGATCAGTGCAATGGTCAGTGTAAGCCTAGATAGAATGGACGAGACTGATTATACGCCAACAGGGCTATGATAGCCCATATCATTCAATATCATAGGGGCCAGCACATGCCTTGGCATGTCCTCTCCACCGACATATCCATCCATTGTGGCCGAACCCTCCTCCCGGGGTTGCTTTAGGGAAGGTCAGAACTTAATCGACACATTACCTATAAGGGCCTTACCCTAATCGGCTCTTCGCTGGGTGCTGAAGATGAATTATGGGCATATCGGGACGCGTCCGTCGCAGCTCCCCCCTGCGCGGGAGGTGCATTTGGCTGTTGTGAACTGAACGTTAAAGGCATGCTTTAACATTTGCAATAGAAAGAAGTAAGTCTACCTACTAGGTACTTTTAAACCCAATGAGGGCCTTTCATTCCCCCATCAGGGGGTGCTCATTTTAAATACCCTCGTCTTGGCGAACTAAATCGGTGATGCTTTTTACAATGACCTCATACTTCCTGTGCCTCTAGCTCTAATGGCAGCCAACTTTGCAGGGGCGTTTCGATTGTTACGGCAGCTACGTCACAAAGTAGGTCAAGGAGCCCAGGGGCACGACTTTGTTCTACTTCGTTCTCTGTATCTCTGACTCCTTGCTTACACGTTAGTAAGACAAGCGTGGGCTGCTAATTCGCTAAACTGCTCCATTGACATGATTTATGCCTTCTTTGGACAGGTCATTTCGGGAAAACGTTGACAGCTCTCCGGACCGAGTAGTCGGAGTCTATTATATGGATATCAGTCGTGAAACTATCGGAGTTGGGATGAATGGAATTTCTCGCGGCTTTCATCCATTGATCTTTGGTCTATACTCGCCTCTGTCAAGGTCAAGTCCTACGTAAGGAATATACTTCCGCTTAGGTGATGTCATATAACGTACCAAGATGTGCGCAATGTGGCTCTCTAAGAAACGCGATATACAAATTACCAAGAAACAAGACAATAAAATTCTTAAGGGTTGATCCCCTTTGACCGGTCTCTAATTCCAAGTAACACTCCAGTGGCGTCAGGGCAAACCACTCTTCCGGCGCCCAAATATGTTGCCAAGCATGCAAGAATGTGATGCATCAACTAGACCGGGAGCAGTTATCTGTCATCGGTCAGATCTGCTCCTCGTATTACTCCTATTCAACTTTCCGGGTTCAGAGTGGAGGCAACGCCACTGTAAGGATTCGTGAAGAATTGGCACGGATCGACCTACGATGAATGGCTCTGAAGTCATACAGATTGCAATCGGGATTACCCGATCTGGGCTGCTGCGTTGTACTTTGATGGAACCGATTGCTAGTCAGTCCCTACTCCGTATACCATTGAGCAACCTAACTCGCTGTACCTCGATGAGTGAAAGATATTTCACTACACCAAAAAAGGGTCAGACCTCCTTTGCGACGGGCTATTCAAGTTCATGCAGTGGATTCTTCGCGGTGAGACACCTGCCTAATTACAAGCACCGTGTGTTCAGATTGGGAACACCCGGTTCCTTTTTGCAAAAGTTAGCTTCATACTAATGCAGTATAAAGTTATTTACCTAGTCAGCTTGGGTGGGTAGCGACGTCGCCTTGATGACTCGGAAGGGACAAGCGATGTCCAAATGTCCAAATGCCAAAAAAGGGGGCTTGCCTTGCTGTGCACAGCCCTTTTATTTTATGAGACAAGTAATTAACTATCGACGGTAACTAGTTTACCGGACTTGTTAGCTAGCACTAGGAAATATGTCTATTTACACTAATCATTTCCATCGGTGCACAATTTTCCGTAGCGAACCGGTAAAAGTCTATAGAGTACGGTGACTGATTGACTTATCTATTGCAACTTTCAAACCTGAGCATTGCGATTGAGGAGACCAAAAGTCTTGTAAGAGAATGCTTGCCATTCGGTAGACTCCAATGCGAACCTAGTTTACTTCTGCCTTTTTACCTCTTTCGTGTTTTCCGTTAAAACAATAATTTCTTGACAAACGAATGTAAAAACGAGTTATCGTTGAAACGCACATAATTACTTCACTATTTTCTAATGAGCAACTGTCCTGCATCCATAAAAGATAGGATTATTACTGTACATCATGAAGCAATATTTATGAGTTGCGGAGTGGAGTTCCATCCCGACGCCTGAAACAGATCTCTAAGTTATAGGGCTATTTGTGTGGATTGGTCACCGGAGCCTAAGAAACTATTGAAGCCAAGTATCATGGAACAATGTCCAGCTATATTATCTCGAGCACAGTTGGATTTTCTTGGAAAGAGTTCACAATTACGTTGAACTACCTACTTACTTCAAATCCAAATAAGGCATTTTTATTTGAATCTGATGGCATGAAAGATCATTGAGTCGGCCCAAAAATTACATTCATCATCCCTTCTCATCTTATGTTATCGCAGGTTCTTCGTCGCGTTGGCCCCATTTTCCAGCCAGCATTCACATAATCTGCTAACCTGATAGTAAGCGCAGGGTGACCATTATCGACAGCACATTATTCGTGTGAGTTGATTGAAAAGATAGAAATCTGTGATTTCTGCTTCCTGGCAATGACTTTAATTCGCCAACTAAACTCTTACCTCGAGGCTTGGGTCTCTTGTTGAAACTTGGCACAACCAAGAGAGCCACTTTGTTATCACGTCCAGCACGGCAAGCTCGGCCGAGCATTATAACTATGGTCAACAGATGGCTTGTCAGTTACAGTAACGAAGTTATCCCTCTCGGAGAATGTTCCTCTGACACTTGAGCAAGCCAAATCCCAGATATTACCGGTAGTAAGTCTCACGCAGCTTGAAAACGGGCAGTCTTGATTCTTGATACGGCATAACCCCTCAGTTTCTCTCATTTCTTTACCCGCAGGAGCCTTCGCTTATTCGCACGACTCCGGCCACCAAGTCAAGCGACTCAACCTCGACTCCCACAGCCAGGAAGATCCCAATATCGCTTGCTGAACCGTCATGCTTGGCAATATCTTCAACATGCCTCATTGGAAGGAAAATAATATCTGCAGAGCAAGAATCCAGCCTGTTTGTTGCCGGACTAAACTGTATGCAGTATTTACGACCGAGGTTACGATCAGATAAGAGAATTAAGACCGAGAGGACCCACCGCAGCCCGAAGAGATGGATGTCCGATTATCAGATAATAAATGTCTCTCGCCTACATCTCCACCGTGCCGTCCAAGGCTAATTTTCTTCAGGTTATATGGTCTCTAGGCGGGTGGGAATCTGGCAGGGTTCGTTGTCTCGGACGCTCCGCGATGTGGATCTTATCTTTCAGGGCGAGATTGTTTGTGGACGATTGATGGTCTGATGGTTGTTGCTGGGTTGTTTTTCGCTCGTTGATGAGTGGAGGATGGCCGGGCTAATGGAGTCAATTGTCGACAGGGGTGAGGATTTTCAGAGGTATAAATACTGGTTCGTCTCGTGCTTTTGATGGTCTTCTTTATCGAACGAGAAGTTGTCGCGGACGTGAAGTGTTGTCTGATTGTTCCTCACATTTAGGTCGATCACGGACTTGACGCCATGCGTTTTGCGACGGCTTTCAGTCTGGGCCTCTTGGCCCCCTCCGCCCTTGCCCTCTGCCCCTATGCACAGCAGATGGCCCGCGATGTCGACTCCTCGTCCATCCCTCATGCCCTCCCACCGCGCGATCTACCCACCTCCGACAAGAAGGGGGTGTTTCTCATGAACAGAATAGCCCCTGGTACCTCGCAACTATACATTGCCAACGCAGATGGTAGTAACGAGCGCCCTCTCCTCTCCGACCCGGTGTACGAATACCACGCTGAGTTCTCGCCCGATGGACAATGGATCTCATTCACTGGCGAGAGGAACGGAGACGGAAACTCTGACATCTACCGGGTCCGAACAAATGGATCGGATCTCGAGGAGCTAGTTGCGACACCTTCGGTCGAGGACTCGGTGGTGCTATCGCCGAATGGAAGCCTGGCTGCCTTCGTCTCGACGGCGAACGGTTACAAGGCGAATATCTGGGTGTTGGATATCGAGACGGGGAAGAGATGGAGCCTCACAGATACACCTACCACAGCCGGCAATGCGTCCCTGATGAATGGGTATTTCCGTCCTTCCTGGTCACCGGATGGTCAGTGGATTGCGTTCTCGTCGGACCGCAACGTCGATTGGGATGGGCACGGTGATCAGACATATATGGGTCTCAGTGGTTGGGAACATACACAGGAGCTGTCTATCTATGTCATCCGGCCGGATGGATCGGACTTTCGTCAGGTCGTCACCAAGAAAGGGTATGCTTTGGGTTCGCCGAAGTGGTCTCCCGACGGCCGGCGTATTCTATACTACCAGATGACTCGAGCCGCCACGTGGGATGCGCATCGTCCTGAATCCGTTGCCTCGGCCAACTCGACCTTGGTCTCGGTTGATTTCGAGACCGGGTCCGACATCAAGGAGGAAGTCGGGGGAGCTGGTGTCAAGATCTACCCGCAGTACATCAACAAGAACGAGATCGGCTACTTGATAAAGGGTGGAGACAAAGAGGGTATCTTCACTACGAACGGTGGATACATCAACAGCAGCACGATCCGCACGCCCGCATGGTCCCCCGACGGCAAGAAGGTCGTCTACGAAAAGATCAGCTGGGACCAGCGGCCGATGGAGAAGAAGCTCTTCAGCTGGGATGAGGACTGGGAGTACCGCTTCACCGACGTCTTCCCGCAGCTCTCCATGCAAAATCAGCTCGCCATCACCCAGAAACAGCTCGGCAACTCGTCCGTCGTCACTATGACCCCCTCCGCCGACAACCTGCAACTCATCTACGACTCCCTCGACAACGACATGATCAACACCGGACATAACGCACAAGGTCTCGCCGGCGCTTTCCAACCTTCCTGGTCCCCGGACGGCGAATGGCTCGTCTTCGGCCTGGGGTCCTGGTTCACACAGCGCGGTGCCTACGGCGGCTGGCTGATCCGAGCCACAGCCAACGGGTCCTACACGGAGGTCCTCACGAACAGCACCTCCGATCTCAGCGCCAACTCCACGGCCATCAACTCCGGCTTTCCCAGTTTCTCGCACGACGGCAAGAAAGTCGTCTTCCGCGTCTGGGGCACCCAGTCGGCCAAAGGAGCGCAGTCACAGCTCGGCCTCCGGGTTCTGGACCTCGAGACTCGCAAAATCACCGTTCTAACCACCGAATGGGATAACCTGCCGTTCTTCTCCCCCGACGGCGAACGGATCGTGTTCACGCGCAAGACCGACCCGACAAATTACGAGGTCTGCACGATCCGTCCAGACGGTACCGACCTGCGTATTCTGACCAGCAGCGGCGCGAACGATGCCCATGCCGTTTGGTCGCATGATGGTCGCATCATTTATTCGACTGGCATGTTCGGGTTCCAGTATGAATGCGCGCTGTATGATAACACATTCCAGCCGTACGGGCAGATCATGGTCATGGATGCCGACGGCTCGAATAAGCAGGTCTTGACGGACTCGATTTGGGAGGATTCCATGCCTTTGTATCTGCCCAATTCAGCGCTTTCGAAGCGGAATTGAGTTGGGTTCGACTAGATCGGTTGAACGGCTCTGGCATGGAAAAGATTCAGAGACCCACTTTTTCTGATAAAAGTATTTGGCCTTGTGCTGTACAATCACTAGCTAAAATATTTGCAACAAAATCACCAAACAGACTGTAAATCATAGAAAATACTCCGTACACCAGGAAGGATGCCAAGAAGTGAATAAACACGCCGGAAACCATGTCCGAGTCATGTGTTGACATACATCCAATCGCCAACCAGTGAAGACCCACTAAACACCTATTCGGGCCTAGCCCTATGCTTGATTGCCATTGTTCTCAGGCACCACGACCATTTGCCGATCACGTGTCCAGGCACCAGGGTCCATTAACGCTCTGCACTGACATCATCCGACCCATCCACTCACTCTGAGCTTCACAATCTTTCCAAAATTCCACTCCCTAGTGGGAGAACAATCCTCCTCCTCTTCCCCCCTCTCCCTCGAACCCAATCAGAGAAAATGAGTTCCTCACGATCTTCAACCCCTGATTTCCCCGATGGCCACGACACCACGAATACTAGTACCACGACAAGTCCCCCTCCGGACTCGAACATCGACCATGCCCATTCCATCGCCTACTGGAGTGACGTCCCCGCGACGGTAGACGGCATGCTCGGTGGATTCCCACAAGTATCGCGCATAGACCTACAAGGGTCGAAATCATTTCTCGCCAAGACGAAACGCCTCCTCTCGATCCCCTTACATAGGAACCTTAAGCTCTCTCGCGGGGTAGATTGCGGCGCGGGCATCGGGCGCGTCACGGAGGGGTTTCTGCGTGATGTCTGCGAGATCGTGGATGCCGTTGAGCCCGTGGAGAAGTTCGCGCGCGTGCTCCGGAAAGCTCGTGACAGGGAGGGCGCGGTGCAGGGGGAGGTGTATACGACTGGGTTGGAGAGTTGGTGTCCGGAGCATGAATATGATCTTATCTGGGTGCAGTGGTGTGCCGGGCATTTGACGGATGAGCAGTTGGTGGGGTTTGTGGAGCGGTGTCGGGGGAGTTTATCGGGGCATGGGGTAATGATTTTGAAGGAGAATACGACGACGGAGGTCCAGGAGGGGGATGTCTATGATGAGGAGGATAGTACTGTGACGAGGTCGCATGAGAAGTTTATGGAGTTGTTTGAGGATGCGGGCATGCGGGTCGTGTCGACAGAGTTGCAGTTGGGATTCCCGAAACGGTTGGGCTTGTTGCCTGTGAGGTTTTATGCGCTCAGGCCGGTCGATTGATCGCGCGGTGGTGATCTCTACTATATGCTGGAAACACAGGACCCGAGGATCCGGGACGCTTGTTCAACTGTCACGTTGGTGCTTTATGGTTGTTGAGTCGGACAATGGAGTATTTTGTACAGGCATGTGTGCTCAATTTCCGTCGAAACACATCACACGCGACAGAATGGGGTCTTCATCAATTCCTTTCGCTGGATCAGGGATTGAAGCCTCGGAAATTTAATCTCTATACCAAGGACTGAACAACATGGGGTATGTTCATTAGTTCATGCTTGGCATACAGGGAGATGGCGTGAGGGCTTATTATGAGATATGATAGACATAGATTATCGACTGTGTATTAAATAGGCTTTGGGGTTTGGGGTACTTGTCGCGCATCAATTTCGATGGTCGACATTCTACCAAAGCGCAGAGGGTCATGGTTATGTATACCTTTGTCCAAAACCAAGACCGACAGATCAGCATATCGATTATACATGAGGTGTATTATATCTTCAACCGTATAGCAATCATAGAATAACTTGATTTAGAGGGGCTGTCGTTTGCAATCCATGCGGTACATTGGTAGATCCCACCTAGAGAAGGCAACAATAGCAAGTCAATAAATCAATCCAAGAGGTAGAGAGGAGAGAGCAAATAACATGAGAAAAGCAAACTTGGGTCAAGAAGATAGAAAAGCAAGTGTTGTTCTCCATGGAGACCCTGTTGCCTTACATCCTGCTTCCGATGCACTGCGTGGCCGGCGCATTGGCAAGGCTTACTCGAAATATCAGTAGCCCCGATTTAGTACTGTGGATTCAGCGTTCGTGTTGATAGCTAGACGATATGTCAAATGGAAGTGAATGATGTGAAGGGTAGGCATCTTTCTCCTGTGAAAGGCGTAGAACTTGTCCTGTAGGGCAATAGCAAGTGAAGTCGGTGTTACTTCATTAGCTTCGTCAGTTTCCAAGCACGTGTCTAGGTCGAACCTTCCTCATTCGGGTAGCGAACCCTATCACTACCAGAGTGTCTAGAAGATATCCTCGAGATGGCTGAAGCGGACCACATGGAGACGCCATTGAATTTTAAGATGTTGAATTCATCAGTTCTATCTAGTGTATCAGACATAGAACGAGAGACATAAATACATGACACAATAAATACAAGGCATAATCGCAGCATATCGCCGTTAACCCGCAACCAACCCTCCGTGATAATTAACGCCCAGGAGACAATGTGACCAAGAATGATCAAATCTGCCACTAACATGATTGATCCAAGATCAGCGGAAGTTCGGACGTTCCGCATGGGCCGAGAGCCACCATGGCTATAGTTCCATATAATGTCCAGTCAAGAACCAGTCTGAGTGGGACGTCCGACTATTCCGCTCTTCATCTAGAAGAAAGAAGGCGAGGCAGAGGCGGACGGGGGAGGGGGAGGTCCGCTGGGAGTGCCGCTAGGAGGTGGGGGAGGCACATCGAACTGACGCTCCTCAACGACCGGCGTGCTGCTGGGAGGAGGCGGAGGAGGACCGCTGGGGGTGCCACTGGGAGGCGGAGGAGGGACTCCTTCGAATTGGCGCTTCTCAAACACGGCATCGCTGGGAGTGGCGCTAGGAGGGGGAGGAGGGGGTCCACTGGGAGTGCCAGAGGGAGGCGGAGGAGGCACGCCCTCGAACTGGCGGTTCTCAAGGGGAGCGAAAGTCGGAGATGCGCTGGGAGGGGGAGGAGGACCACTAGGGGTGCCGCTAGGGGGAGGAGGAACTCCCTCGAACTGGCGCTTTCCGAAAGGAACAGCGGAGGGCGTCTCACTCGGAGGTGGCAGAGGAGGACCGCTGGGGGTGCCACTGGGAGGAGGCGGGCCAGGGGGGAATTGTCTGGCTACCACGGAAGGAGTCTCGCTAGGAGGGGGTGGAGGCAGCGAGCTGGAAGCAGGAGGGGGAGGGCCAGGGAAGAAGTTGAAAGCAGGCATGGCAGTGGCGTAGCCAGCAAGACCAGCGATGGCAATAGAGGTGAACTTCATATTGAAAGAATAGAGGATAAGAAACAAAGAGATAATACGAGACTTCTGTTTGACTTGTTGTTTGAATGATCTAAAGTGAAAACGAAGTTCTGAGCGGGATATCAAAGGCATTAAATATTGTGAGCTGGACAGAGAGATTGAATTCCGTGACGCTATATTGACGATCTTTCGACCAGCCGCTACAATTCTTCTTGCCGTCTATCCAGAGACCGCCGTGGAAGCAGAGCGTGTTGATCCCTGTGGTTCCAAGTCGCGCAAGGTAAAGGTTCGACAACTGATTGGAAAGTCATAATCGGCACCGAGTGGGACCTACACCGTACACCATGAAGGTCGGTAAGACGTTTTCCCTGGACCTGCGCTAGCCAGGGACATACACCGTAGACTACTGTGCCAGCTTCCGTGACAGCCAATGTCAAAGCTTGTTGCAGAGCATGCCAGCATGGACTAGTCGGCGCTAACCAGTAAGACCACAAGGTTGATTTGAGCCAACCGCCGGACAAGCCAGTGGGTCAAAAAGGTGACGATCTCTCCAGTCACGCTGTTTATAAGGTGTTGCGGTGGCGATGGTAATGGCCATGGACCCACGGCGGTGGTGGTTATGGCAGGGCTTGCATCAGCTGTCGCAACACGAAGATATGCTTATTTCTATGACGTCCAACCAGCCTCAGAATATCCCAGTGGCAAAAGGATTGTGTATCAGCAGTCTAAGATTCTAGACTTGCCTCCAAGGAGACCCCAAACAGCATGTGTCTCAGGACCAGTCGCTTCCGTGAGAACTGTCGCAGATCGTGTGGGGCGAGATAAACCTCGCTGATAATCTGCACCCAATCAGTAATATAGCTCCAGGATGATGTCGCCAGCTCCGGTGTTTTATGGAAGAAAACAAGAAATGCCACTACAGACAACGCATTGTCCGTGGTTTGCCAGCCCAATCTTTTCTCTCATCCGCGCACATTATGATCAAGGAAACGCCTTGGTTCAAGGTAACCTGCATGAAAGGCGTTACGCGTTCTCATCGCAGTGCGGCACACGAATTGTATTCCAGGACCAGTGGAGAGCGAACCGTGTCTACTCCGTACCCTCCGTGGTCGGGGTGTCAACTGAGAGCAAAGAGGATATGGATGATCGGGTAGCGATGAGTCGACGTGGTGGGGACAGGAATAGACTCAAAGTTTAGACATTGCCGCTTGGATTTCTATCTGCAGCAATGATCGCTGGTCCGGAGCGTCTCAGACCCGGCGACTATGAGAGACTAATTACCGCCGGTCATTAGAAAAAGGCAAGCCATAACAAGAGTCGGCGAAACTAGCTCGTCAAGCCGATGTCTGAGCGTTCCAGCTTCAACGTCCATTGCCATCACGGATTCAAGCCCAGGTGGGATTATGAGGGCGGTAAACAATCAGCAGGTGAGATCAACGGTGGGATGTGGAGGCAGGCAGGGCTGTGGTGGGACCAGAGTGGGCTGGGAGATGGAGAGGCTGGTCGACATGAGGTTGGACGATGTTTGTCCACGCGTTCACGGGTTGCCTGGGGCAGTGAATGAACACCTGAGGCAGCAGTAGGGGTTTCCCGCCTCAGGCATCCATGTGCCGACTCTCTGCGGCTCTCTTTTCCACGGATTCTCCCTTCTCTCCTTTCCATTCCCTTTTCCCAACAATTCCTCTTTACCTAATGCCTAAACAAGTTTTCGATTTGACTCCAACAACGGCATAATGATCCCCTCGGCTTGGGACTTCCTAGGTTCTTTTTTTCATGCGAGATCAGCACGGTCATTTCCTAATATGCTGTCATGTCCGCGAACTAACACTCGACTTCATGTCTCTAACCTAACAGGCTAATTTAGTGATAGAAGAAGCTAAACCTGACAACGGCATGTTTGACCAAACTTTATTCTTGAACTTCTCACGCCACCCCTCCGAAAACGCTGCCGGCCTGACAAAAGCCAATGTCGGCTAAGCACGATCGGCAGACCTAGCACGATCAGATAAGAACTAACTTGCAGGCCATGCTCGTCTTGCCGACTAAAGTGAAGTTTGTGGTTCAGGGGCTACACACATTCATAGCCTGAAGGTGGTCGAGTGTATGATAAACAGGGTTATTTCCTTGTTCAGCAAGCCATTACCATGGTTCATTTCTTTGCGGATATCCATGCCGATAAAACCATTTCCTGCGGACCTGGAAAACTGGGTCAGTTAACCAGGCAGCGAACCACAATGCTTTTTGACAAAGTTTCATCAGGATCAGCTGGCGCAGAATATCATGCTCTCACGTCGAGAACTACGGAATACACACAGGATGCAATGGAAATGACTTTACCGTGGTGGCGTGCTCAAGCGGAGGTCATCCGTAGAGCAAGAAAACGCTCTATTCAAATCCCTGTCCCCATACAGTGAAGAACTTTCTAATCAATGACTCCCGAAAATTTTCAAATTCTGCTTCTGCACTTCTGCAATCCATAAGCTTCAAGAGCAGGGTGCTACCAATTCTCATGGTGCCTCAACGCGCCTTATTCCGCCAACCTTTGCATTTCCACTACCTAGGTACCGGAATAATCTAGTCAAAGCCCGCATCGCAGCCATCCAGCCCGCCTTCTGGCGGAGATCATAGTTTCGAGTGAACTTCAACTCCGTGGTTTCATCATCTGAACATCCCTTTGTATGCACCCTGACGATAGTGGCGGCAGCGAAGAATCCGCGAGCAATGTAGAAATAGGGGCCGTACAAGCCAACAACAAACACCTCCTGGTCACGCACAGGGTTCCGAATATTTCTGGCAAGTTGTCCGAGCATTGCACTAAGTGTTTCACCAAGGTATTCGCCCCATGTTTGATCCTTAAACCACTACGGAACTGTTAGAATCCGGTCACGCATAGAAGTCAAGGGGCATATGTACTCACGCCAACGTAAGATATGATGGGAACTAGTCGGTTCCTTCGACCAAAATAGACTGCACCTTCTGGTCGAGAAAAGTATCTTTCACCACCTACGAAGTAGGTCTGTCTACAGGCAGAATGTGGAAATCTGCATAATTGTTGTTAGCATGGGCTGTCTATCCAGAATAATGGGGCGCGAGGCGGAGGAGAAAAGAACTGACTTGAGAGAGGGGAGGACCTTTTTTTCTCTTTCCAAAACAGAATATGTCGTCTCCATCAGCAGGTTCAATGCCCTCCCTTGCAACCACATATGATTGGAGAACAGCTCTCTGGTGGGAGCCTTCCAATACATCTTAGGCAAAGTAATCGTCTCGGTTGTTTGAATAACACCCGGATAATGTCGGTCAGTCCATCCATGAAACTCATTCATATATTGACGGAGTCTGTAGAAGAATGACCTGAACATAGTGTGCTTTGTCGGCCACCTTGCCGTCCATGGTTCGTGATCATTCACTTTGGAGAACTCAGAAAAGACCCAGGGTATTAATCTCTCCACGTCTTTATCTAAAGCAACGTTAGCCGCTAGAACATCGTCAGGCACTAGAAGATATATCGGCCTCTTACCTTCGCACTCTACACTGATCATCCTTGGGATCATTTCATCAAGGTCAATGACCTCCGAGTGTACGGTAACTGACATTTTTTAAGAGATCAACCGCCACATTCCAAGATAGGGCGAGTAGTAGAAATCATTTGGAGACTAATAGAAACCCATGAGCCACAGTATTTAACCTTGGTGCATATATAAAATAGAACAGCTAGGCAACAAGGCGGCAGATAGAGGGATGTAGCTTGATGGGTCATGCCGATTGAACTTCTTTCCTGTGCTATCTTCCGGGAAATGTACTGGCTGGAAACTATGGTGACGTCAATGACGGTGCCCCGTGAAGTATTCTTGCTATCACCACGGGGGACCATCCAGATGTCAGAGAAATAAATGGGTTATACTCGGTTTTCTCTGGTGGAACCTCTGCGTAGGAACCTGGCCGACTATACCCCCCAACTATCGATAGCATGATGTATATTTCCGGACAAGCTGAATCATCAAATTTAGTCATGTAAGAGCAACCCTTCTGTAATTAATTCATCTCCTCAGGTGTAGCTACATCAACCGGCAAAACGGCTCGAAGCTGACGAGATCTCACGCCGGCATCGTTAACGCCGGTATTGCCGGGTTGCCACCGACCACATCAAGCCTTCGGAAATAACCGACGCCTACTCCCATGAACACTACGTAAATGTCAGATTGGATATTCTTTTCCGTGCACTATATAAAGCCAGAACAGGTCGGTATGTTGCCCTTCATTACCATAATTGAACAAGTCTATAATCTACCCCTGTACAAGAATTTCCTACTTCCCATCCACCCACAAAACCATGACGAACAACAATGACCTCAAAGTCGTATTTGGCGCCATGACATTGGGCAAGCCAGGTAACCTCAATTAACACCTTTTAATTAGGGCAACGCCTCTGACATCGCTATTAGATACACTTGGTGCCCGCGTCCACGACACCCAAGACGCAGCAGAGATTCTCAACGTCTTCGAGAGTCACGGCCACAATGAGATCGATACGGCGCGCATCTATGGCGCCGGATCATCCGAGGAAATCCTGGCCGCAGCTGAATGGCAAAAGCGCGGACTAGTGATGGCCACAAAGCTGTACCCCAGCACTGTCGCGGAGAGCTACACGCATCAACCCGACGATCTCCGACACGGGCTCCTCAAGAGCCTTTCAGCCTTGAAAGCAGACAAGATTGACCTGTTTTACCTGCACGGTCCAGACCGGAACACGCCCTTTATTGAAACCCTCCGTGAAGTTAACAGGCTCCACCAAGAAGGCTACTTCAATCGTTTCGGCCTCAGTAACTACATGGCCTGGGAAGTCGCGCAGATCTGCGAGATCTGTAACGCGAACGGTTGGATTAAGCCAACGGTCTACCAGGGTGTCTATCACGCCTTGCAACGCAGCATTGAGCCAGAGCTGATTCCATGTCTCCGCAAATATGAAATCTCGCTATATGCGTTCCAACCGCTGGCCGGTGGGTTTCTAACAGGTCGATACACGCGACATCAAACGGAGTTCGAGGCCGGATCGCGATTTGACCCGAAGATTCTGCAGGGGGCGGTGCATCAGAAGAGATATTGGAACGATGCGTACTTTGATGGGGTGGAGGCTATTTCAGCAGCGGCTGGAAAGCATGGGCTAACTGTCGCAGAGGTTGCATTGAGGTGGTTGAAGCACCATTCCTTACTGAGGCGGGAGTTTGATGATGCGATAATTGTGGGTGCGAGCAGCGTGAAGCATTTAGAGAGTAATTTGGTTGATTTGGAGAAGGGGCCCTTGCCGGATGATGTTGTTCGAGCGGTGGAAGATGCATGGTCTTGCGTGAGAGGTGTCGTGCCCCCGTACTGGCATTGATTGAGTCTTTTTGCGAGCTTTATGTCAAAGAAATGAATAGCGCCATCATGCGATTATGAGACATATTTAGACTCGGTACGAAATTACCATCAGATCACATAAGTTCTTATGTTATCTAGTAGTATCGAATCCCACTTAACGGAATTTAGTTTCTCTCTTCCATCAGCCCAAGATCCGTAGTGAATAGCTATGTGATGTCTAGCGTTATGGACTGACAGGGAGAAGATGTATTAATTCAGCGACTTGAGAAGGGGCAATGACATTCTAAATGAGATGTTTTCGATACTGTACAATCATTCATAGTGTCCTAGACAAATAGTTATATTTCATTGAACAACCCATTCAGGTCTCCCTCTTTATCTTCTGCGACTCCAACAATCTTTTCAGCGCAGATGCCTCGCCCTCCAACTTTGAAGCTTTGACTCGCCACTCCTCCCGTTCCCGCTTGACAGCCTCCAATTCGGCCTCCAATTCGTTCATACGATCAAGCCGTCGCTGTCTATACCGACGAGCCGCCATGGTGTTCATCTGGCGTTTGGCTACCCGTCTAGTGGATTCTTTTGGACACATATTTGCTGGCGGAGATGGAACACCAATAGTTGATGTAGATGAGTGTGCACTGGATGGGCTGGGGCTGGGAAATCCGGAGACGCCCATGGTTGTATAGTGTCCCGTTGACGCTACCTTTGGATCAGGGAATATCCCTCCAGCCGGTGGGAATAATGGATGAGAGCACCCATTGGTAGCATATTCCCAGCCCAGCAGAGCCGAGTCGGCGAAGATCGAATCAGGAGATGAGCCATGGACACGGAACGAGAAATCACCTGTGGAAGGAGGCGTAGAGGAGTCAGGCGAAGACATGTCGGTCCAAGGATATGGATCGGGGAGTTCAAAGAAGGGTTGGTGGGCTTGTTGTTCGTAATATTGGTGGGAATCAGACCCGCCAGCCTGTCGTGAAGGCGACATCAGCGGCCTAGACGACCGTGAATGCGAAGGAGGACCCGGCGACAGCCATTGTGATATTGTGGAGGCCGGGTCTCACGACCCAAATGACGATGGGGAAGAAGACGAAGACGAGGGGCACCGGTTGCCGGTTGGGCGACAACAGGGGTCCGATGATGGTTGATGTTGAGGTAAATATAATAGACCGTAGAGATAAGAGAGAACGAAATACCGAGCCTTAGGTCTTTGACACGGGCGTAGCTGAGCCACATTGGGATATATTTTGAAACTTGGTATAGGAATCGCATAGATCGCGACGTGAACCTGCAGTCTATTCCAGAATTTATACTCGTCTGAACGTGGATCCCGACGTTTGAACTCCGAGGCCAAGCCACGTGAAACGGAGTTCCATGACGAAGAGGGAAGACTCCGGACCAATTGAGTTGTTCAAAACGATCAATGTTGATCAACCGGGACAACTACGGTGTGCCAAAATGCTCCGACGGGGATGGATGGCACGGCGGAAGATGGACGGGAAGGCGAGCGACCACCCAAGTCCGAGCCAGCTTCCTCCGTGCCTTCGCCTGCCGAACCCTTTCATCCCCAACCACTTCTTTCCTTCGCTATTCATCCTTCCATTGAATTCATTCATCTTTGTTTCTTTGTTCCCCTGAATAATTTCATGCTGGAATTTCAATGGTCCTCGAAAATATCTGCCCAATTCCCCGGTGGGCGATGAGAATCGGCGACCGTTGAGGACTGAGATCTTGGCATCCAAAGAAGACCGAGTGAATTGCACACTGTCCCGATGTAAGTATGGGTCAAATCATATCTTCAAGAAGGGCTGCAAGCTTAGTGGTGACAATAGACCCGGCGCTCATTTTCGATCGCGAAGGATGCAGGTCAATTGGTCATGGTCTCATGGGAGCCATTTGTCAGTCGTTCTTCACACTTCCCATACGACTTTCTACCCCCAACACAGTACGGATATTATGAGATTTCTGAGGGAAGGTTGCATGCTACTTGACTGGGTTCTCAGGGCTGTCTACACTGTATAGCAGTCTACTCCGTTCTCGTGTCTGGACAAGAACACTAGACAGCCGAGACAGCCCTCGGAGTTTGTTGGCCTTGAGTGGGGATCACGATTGCCCCTGCCCAGCACCCACTACTCAGTGAGACCTGCGAAGAAGACAACCAGGGTCCGATTTTTCTCGCTGTTTCGGAGTCCAACCCACACTACTGAGCGCCAATGTATGCATGTCATTGCATCGCGCTGCTCACAACCTCCAGAATGAGCGAAAGAAAACGTCCTTCAGATTCAATATGCAAGGGAACAGAAAAAGACGGGCCCTGAAGCTCATGCCAGGGCCTGATTCTGGAAGATTGAAACTAAACGATTGGGCCAAGACACGACTGGTATCCGGGCGCTACTTCGACTCGCTGGGCCAAAGTCGGTTCGTTCTTCCCAACGTAAGTTTGAGTGATGGATTTCTACCGAAAGAGATGCCAAATGTCGCTCTTCTGTATGCGATATGGGTTGGATCGCGGAGCTCGCACTGCATACTGAAGAGTTTTCGAAATGAAAGATCTTTGGTGAATTATTGCCATCTCATAATCGCAAGTACACCAACGGCTTTGTAACGGTGGGGGCCAGAAATATACGACTTTAGTTCGCTCCGTACGGAGTCCTCTCGCGTCAACGAACCACCGCGCTGTCCTATTTTCGGACTGGGCTCCAAGGCTAACCAAAACTTTCTCGCCAATTGGTCGGAAATCACTCTATCCCTGTCAGTTTAGGGATTCTTTCCCACTGCCCCGAATTCACGTGCTGTTGTCTGCCACTGGAACCCCAGAAAGCGTTGCTACAGACACACTGGCCATTTGACTACCGGGAACCTACCTCATCCACCAGCACGGATGGTATTTGCCCCAAATTATTACTTACATCCTACTTCATACTGCCATGTCGGTCGATTTAGGACCGGAATCAACCCAGTTGGACTTGCAGACAGGCGACAAAAATGAGACCGAAATCAAGGAATCGCCCTCTGACAAGCAACCCTTGGATATGGATCTCCGCTGTGAGATTTGCAAAAAGTCCTACACCCGACGTATGCACTCTTCGATTTGAACCCAGTATGCCTTAATAGGCCTACTGGTGTTCTGAGATAACAGGACTAACAATTTGAAGCTGACCTACGAGATCGTCACCGACGACGATGCATCACCAAAGCGGGCCAGGAACGCAAATCCAAGCGGAAATCCTGCGATACCTGCGCGAAGAAGAAAATTCGTTGCTCTTTATCTCGTCCTTCTTGCCTGCGCTGCGCTCAGCTTAGAATTCCATGCCAGTATCCCCAATCTCCATTTTCAGCGCGGATTGCTGGCCAGGAAGAGCGAATGATGACAGGTCAGCCACAGCTGGCAGAACTCGGTGGGATAAATGAGCCATCTGATGCTATGAGCATGATGGATGTCTTGCCGACCACTACTCATGCTCAGTCCCAGGTTCTGCAGGCCGGCCATCCTCAAGATCTCTCAGCACCTATGTTCGCTTCTGGTGATCCGTTAACTGCCCCTATGTGGAATGACTGCGACTTTTCGAATTTGCAATTTATAGACCCTGCATTGACCGAAGAATTATTGTCTTCCACCAATGCAACGGGTATTGCATCCTTGCCATCGACCGATGCCATTCCAGATCTGTCGGATTTCCAGTCGAACGGGAGCGATTTCCTCAGCAACATGGGTTCTCTACACCGCGGGCCCTTGTCGTCCGCTGATCCACCGTCTGATGGGCGTTCCAGTTCAGGACATCCGTCAGCTACGCAGCAACATGGATTCATTCCCGAAAAAGAAGTGATCAGCCCACCTACCCTGACAGGGTCATTGGGATCGTCTTCACCCTCGAATACATCGTGGCGTGACAGTTCCACGGACGGAGAATCTTCAATGTCGGCAAAATTGACCACTCGCCTTTATAGCCCGGCCCATCTTGTTTTCGCGCACTCATTCAAGATTGGAATGGGACCGGACATTCGTACCGACGCAAGCAGCCTCTGCCAGGATATGCTAGGCAATCTTCGAGAGTACCCTGGACTCGTGCTGGATCGGGAATTCTGGTCCCCATTCGTACATCACCGCTTGTATCGCTGTTCCTTAGGCGGAATGGCAGAACCTATGGCCAACGCGCTGGCCTGCGTGGGCGCATATGCCAGCTGCGCGGGTTCCAGTTTCGGGTTCGTCAATCGAATGATTAACGAGGAGCGCGAAAAGCTGGTGCGCAAATTCCACAGCTACACTGACACCCCTGAGCCGTGTCTGGCGGCCCTGCATGCAGTCTGTATTTATCAGATCATGGGCTTGTTCGGAGACACATTTGTACCGGCAGCCCATAAGAAGCTGCTGGCCGATGTCGAGGACGAGGATCGGCGACGAGGAGAATTCGAGAAGGAGGCAGAATTGCATAGCTCGTTCCTTCTTAAGGTACGTTTGATTTTTCATTCCCATGCGGATAAGAGATGTTCAGCTGAATTGACAAAATAAGATGACCCGACACCTGTCCGTTCTGCATGCTAAAACGCTGTACGTCCACCACGAAGATGAAAATGACTGGGATCGGTGGAAGTTCATGGAATCCCTACGCCGGAATATGTTTTTTGTCCACATCATCAACATTCTAGAGTCTAAAGCGCGGCAACTGAACGAGAACTATTTCGAACCGCTTGGGGACGACCTGATCCTCGGGATTCCCTTACCGGCCCCTGAGCGCATGTGGCGAGCCTGCAGCACCGAGGAGTGGTTCATGGCTCGCGCCGAAACACTAGGCTCGGAGGGCGATCCGACTGCTAGGCCACGGACTCTGCAGCAGCTGAGGCAGGCCGTGGAGAGACGTCAAGTCGACGTATCATCGTTGTTGCCTGTGACGCGCATGATCCTGGCGTCCGCAATCATTATGCCCCCGAGGAGTGCGCTCTAGAGCCGGACAAACGGCAACCCCTGAAATTTGGGGTATTTTTAGGAATTGGAGCAACTCTCCATCTCCACTGTGGCGGATGAAGGTTTGCCCGATGGATCTGAGATCACATGATCGTCCCTGCGTCATCGGCCGCTTTTAATAGAAACAGCCTCAGCCCCAAAACATCGCCGAAGTCCGAACATACAAACATACAAGCATACAACATTCAACTCAACATGCCTCCCCACGAAGGATTAGTCCACCCCAAGGAATACGACATCAAAGACAGCAATGTCGAACTGATAGGATCCGATCTCGACCACCAGGTCAAATACAACTCGGCCGCCTCAGAGCCCGCCTGGAACAACGGCAAGGTGGGGCAGGAGCCGGGGCTGCTGATCTGGCGCATCGAGAATTTCGAAGTTGTGCCATGGCCCAAGGAGCGTGCGGGCGAGTTCTACGACGGCGACAGCTACATCGTTTTGCACTCATATAAGCTTGGAGACGACAAGCTAGGCCACGACATTTTCTTCTGGCTCGGCAGCAAAACCACCCAGGACGAGGCCGGCACCGCCGCATACAAGACCGTCGAGCTGGATGAATTTCTGCACGGCGAGGCGACCCAGCACCGTGAGGTTCAACAACATCCCTCCGAGGAATTCACATCGCTCTTCCGCCGCATCTCTATCCGGTCCGGCGGCGTGCGCTCAGGCTTCACTCACGTCGAGGAGGCACCCAAGGAAGAGGTCACCACGCTGCTGCGCATCTTCAAGCATCCCGGCGTAGGCCGCATCGACTCCCTGATTGTTTACGAGGTTGAGCCCACCTGGGAGAGCCTGGACGACAGCGACGTCTTCGTCCTAGACAAGGGCGACAAAATCTGGGTCTGGCAGGGCAAGAGCTGCAGCCCCATGGAAAAGGGCAAGGCGGCCCAAGTGGTGCACGATCTCACCCTGGCCAAGCACGTCGACGTTGAGGTTCTCTCTCAACTCGAAGCCCGATCGAAGGTCATCGTCGACCTACTGGGTGGAAAAGAGGTCACGCAATTATCTTTCCAGTCCCCGCGACCTTTCTCGTCCTCGACCAAGCGAGCGCCGGCCGACAGCAACACTAGTCCCCGGAAGCTCTTCCGTCTCAGCGACGCCTCCGGCAAGCTATCTTTCGATCTAGTCAAGGAAGGGAATCAGATCAAACCCTCGGATCTGGATGAAAACGACGTCTTTTTGTATGACGCTGGGAATAGAATCTGGGTGTGGCAGGGTTTGGGGGCCAGTGCTAATGAAAAAGCGCTGTGGCTCAAGGTCGCGCAGTCATATGTTCGCTGGCTACAGGAGACCCAGGAGGGCTCCGAAGCTCATTTCACGCCTATTGCGAAGGTTACACAAGGACGTGAAAGTCCGGCGTTTATGAAGGCGATCGCCGTATAAACTTGTTGGGTGGATATACACTGGAATATTGGACGAATATAAGAATGTTTTCATATGATGCAAATAAGATCTAAGCCCAGCGTAAACCAGGAAGACGTTCATCTTAGCTTCATTCCCATTTGCAACTCCCATAATTTCCGATCAAATCTCTGTTCCAACAAGGCTTTCGCATCTCCGGCATACATGAATACCCGCCCCATCGCTCCTGTTGGCTCATTTCCATCCGTAAAGTCAATATAACAGTATGCGACCCTATACGCATTCGTCTCATAGTACGCCAGTTTATCAGCCTCGTCTTGGCTCTTGACAAGATACGCCGACCCGGAGACGACCTGTCCTTGCTCGCCATCGATCAACGCCGGATAGTCACCCCATTTGGCCAGTGCGTAGCCTACGAGCTCAGACTTCCGAAGCTCCGGCTCGTCGGGCGAGTCGATGATTCTTTGCAGAGTTGAGGGGGTGGTCAGCGTGCCGTAGAAGAAGTAGTACACTGGGTATTCTGGCGGCAATTCGCGGCTGTCTTCCTCGATGTTGGTCAGATAGTCGGGCGGTGCTGACGATAGCATTACTTCGTAGGGGGTCAGTTGCTCTTTGGGCTGCGAAGCTTCATGTTGGTCTTGGGCTTCTTGGTTCTGGGTTTTGTGGGACATTGAGGGTTTGATAGGTCGGGTTGATTAAGATTATGTTAAGATAAAGAGCGGAGAACGGTTTGAATGAGAGACAGAGATCTTATTTTATGATATAGGAAAGAGAAGGTCGACATGTTAATAAAGAATGACGGCGCTTGCTGCCTAAATGTATCTATCGGCGCCAGATAGATAATGACGTCATTTATTTAGCGAAGTATAGGCTGTAAACAAATGTGTGTAGAATCTCTATATCAATCTCAGTTGTTCAACTACCAAGTTCCACAGTCGCTTAATACTCTAACTAAAAACACAAGCAGATCAAATCCCACCGCTCCCCAGGTTTTGCCCAGTCCAACGGAGTATTTCCCCAACCATAATCCTTACCTGCGAGCGGCGGCTGGAAAGCATCAGACATAGATTCGATTGATACGAAATTGAACCTCAATTCCATTAGCACAGTGAACTCACTATAGGACAACACAGAATCACCCTTTCGCTGTAGAGAATTTGCCATGCTTAAAGCAACGGTACTCCTTTGAGGATGCTCTAACGTTGCGCACCATAATGGCACGTTTGGCACGAAGGCTATCGAAACTTGTCCCCTTAGAACATTAGGTGGCAGTGTTGAGCTCGAAGTTGACCGTGAAATTCACAGTCTGAAAGCTGCACCAATTCATAAATTGCCATTGGGTGCTTGAACAGGATCGCAAAAACTGTTCATTGCATCCACGTTGGATGCTGATGGCTGCAAGGAGGTAGATAATACGCTTTCCAACCTCGACGGCAAATTTCTGATAGAAATGATACTTCGCACTGGTGCCAAAAAGAGGCAAATGTGTTTGCTATGGGAAATTAAAAACATTTGTCATGGCAATCACGCCGTAGAATGTTTTCTTCAAACCCCTTAGGTCAGTGTTTTAGGAACGTGGTCGACGCTCGCAATCGAAACAACTAGATCAATACTGCGTGACCTACAACCAAAACGTAGTCGGCATACAGAACATGATGGCGAATTTATACTATAAGATAAGTGTATACTGCACAGGCATCCTGCTCAGTAGCCATAGGATTCGCTTAGCCAGCTCTTCTCCGCAGAGAAGATAAACACCCTGAACAACAACAATGCCTTTTTCTCCGGACTTACTTTCGACTCGAAGATCATGTCTCTCTCACAATCCTGGTGATTCTGAGGGTGCCATTGAGATTAAAGTCGTGGAGCGGTGCTTTCCATGAGCAGATTCCCCATCAACTTCGCTACTCATAAACCGCACAGTCGACCTTTGGGCGGTGGTAGGTTTTTGTTCTTAACATTATATGGAGATTTGTCTGCACATGCTAGTGTTTTATTTTCGTGCTCAGCAACTAACTGGGCTCGTTCACAAGATTTGCCTTTTTGGTGGCAAACCGATTTCAACAAGTTGAACTCTTTGATCAGTTCGGCACTTTACAATCAATTATCTGATCCACCTGGTCATTTTTTAGAATCTTTATTCGTTCAAAAGACGCGTCTGTAGGCTGGACTTGGTACGTTCAAGTTCTTATGATCTGGTTGATGAACCTTCTCTCTCACTCTTTCCCAATCTTCGAGCTTTATCTTCCGGATGGTTTTCCCATTTCCTTTTTATACCGTTAATCAATTTCCGCAGATCTTCATTCTTTGTGTTCTTATGATTTTGTAATCGTCGATAGCTTTGAGAGATTCGATGCACCTCGTTGAGGCTTCGTCTACCGCCTCTCTACTGTGTGCCCTGTCCCACTTCGTTGATTTATTCCCATCTTGCTTCTTCGTCGGTTATTATTCCTAAGCAATCTTTGAGGGTATGCACCAGGTTATCACCTCTCTGTAAAGCCTGTTTCAATTCCTAAGACCGGGTTGTGTGTAGGTCGTTCATATCGAGTGTTTCGTGTCAATGCTGAACTAGCCAACATTGCTCGCCGCTTCAATTTGACACGACTAGCTTTCCCAGTCCTTGTCGCAGGATTTTCTGGTTTGCTATGCGCTATAGCAAGGCCATCTACCCATTCAGGAGTGTATATGATGAAGATATACAGATTCAAAGATAAAGAATTGAAGATTCGTGCCGGCGCATAGTATAGCGAGGATTGGAGTCCAGAAACCTTCCTGATAATTAACAAAGTCACCAGCCCTTGGCTATTACGCCTTGCTCTTGCCTAAAAGTAGTGTCTCAACTCTATATGTAGTCGTAACTGGAGGTTGATTTGCGAGTGCTTTAGAAAAAGGCAGCTGTCCTTGTGACGAATGCTCACAGGCTGTACTAGGCGCTTATCCTATCAATCCAGTTGATTCGGCCTTGGACACAAGTGTCGTCGATATTTGGAGCCATATAGCCGAAGCAAACACACGCACACACAGGAAGTCTGCTCCACATATATCCGAGTAATTGTGCTGTTCCATGTGGCATTTACTTTGGTTGACTAGCTTCAACAGCAATAAGGTGCGTGTCCGTGCGCCAAGTATGACTGTACCACAACGTGCATTCCGCATTCCCTGTGATTTAGGCACCATTTCGACAGAAAGAAATTGATAAAACTCGACGGCCCGAAGGAAGAAAGGAAGAAAAATAAGCAAAACCCACTTTGCAAACGGTGGTGCTTATACCCTCGCTTAGCCCAATCGAGTATGTAGGTACTCCAATGTCTTCTGCCAGTATTGCTCTTCGCATTTCTGTGCAATCTGACGTGAAATTAAGCATGAAAGCAACGGTTTGCCTGGCTGTCGGATCGTCAGAGTTTCGGTCCATCAGCGTCGATAGGGAAACCAGCGTGATGTTCATCGTTAATGCGCCGAATGATGTGGTTCCGATTGTGAATTGTAGTATTGCTTGAAATGCAGCGTCGCTATGACGATGGTTTGGGAACATATTTGCTATTAGCAGGTTCTTCGTCGAGCCTGCTGTCATGAACTTCCAAACACACTCGCCTTCTAGGTCCTTTTTCGCACTTTGAAGGACGTATATTGGCTGTACCTCTGCCTTTGAAAGCTATGCATCATTGGGTTTTCGGCATATGGTCCAGGCGGCATGATCTTCACGCTCTCTTATTCCATTGCATCATGAGCAGGTATCATGATTTCTCACACAGGCTCCAGTTACATCTCTCCCGGAGGTAGAGCGTCCATTTAGTTTGTAGTGTCTTGAGAGATTTCAAGTACATAGAGAAAACTCTGATTGCGCCATTTTGATAATGGTCAAAATACTCAATCCCTTCGATCCTGCTTTTGGTCGCATGGCCTATCTTCTCTCTAGAATATTTAAATATTCTTGTCCTATGTTAAAAGGACGTGTTTCGTTCAGAGAATCGAAAGAGGACCCTGCCCGCATGTCGACTTCCGAACAAACAAGGTTGAAATGGTTCGCATATTCCCCTTTCTTTTGACTTTTCATCGCTAGTTCCGCGCCACGAACTGCTGCGGATTCGCAAACCCACAAAAAGGTACCAGGCGAACGATCGGTGCGAGAGCCCACCGTGTCTCGCGGGCTGACAAGGGTTGGTCCCCTGTCCATGGTGGCAACCCCGGAACCGCAACAAGCTTGCTTCTTGTAGCCTAAGCAAACCAGGCATGATGCTTCTCGACAAACCTTTTAAAAGCCCAGTTCTCAGCTGTCGCAACAGGCGGAACCTATCTGTCCCACATATTATGAGGAGTGCCCGTTGGCGCGGGAGGGGATCCAACGATAAATCGGGGCGTGCGCGGCGAACACAGCCCAAATATTTGGTTACGACAACAGCCTGGATTCGACTTCCAGTGTGGACTTATCTTGCTGCAATGTCGATCAATGTTACAAGTATGTCGAAACAATAATAACCAATTCGGGTGAAGTCGAGTCACTTTGGTGGGTGGGAATATCTTGCTCCCAGCTTGTTCTTCTGATAACACAACTTGGTCAATCTTCTGACAGAGAACCCCGTATAGCAGCAAATATCTGGACTGGATCTTGGACTTTCAGGCCTAAAAACCTGTAATGATGGGCACTCCATATCCCCGAATAAGTCTACCAGCCACAGCCGGCATAATGAGTCTGTGGCTGCTAGGCTTTCATCTGCATGATGGACGTCCTTCTTATCTCTCTACTTGTCCACTTGCTGTTGCTAGTTTGCTGTTACTGTGAACTAGCTAGCCTTAATCTTGCTAACCTCGTGTTGGAAAACTCGACGGGTCATTTTAAAAGTTGCCGTTTGGAGAGTTCGGTCCCTCTAGGTTTCCAGTCTCATGAGGAGCATTGGCGGCTGGCTATGCCTTGAAGAGCTGTTTCGTATCTCTGCTTCATGAACAACGAGACTCGATTGAGACCTGCTATGATGTTAGTATGTCGACAACATTTCAGTTCCTCCACCACTTACCTTGGGCTGACATGAGCGCCTTTATTGGTCCTCTTGCTGTTCCACCTCTATAGCTGTCGTTGCTGTTTGTTGGACGATGGAAATACGATCTTCCACAGTCTTTGTGATGTGTGCTGTTAGACACGAAAGCACCGACGACGAAGAGGCAAGAACAATAAATTCCTCAGTTGCTTGGATTTCCGTCGCTTTTGATCTTTTTGTATGGTATTTTGTCACCGTGATAACCGCCACCATGAGCAGGGGCAGCTACGGCAGGTGTTTGCATGCGTTTCCAGTTTCTCTCCGAGAAATGGAAGTATTGGTAGCACCATGGGCTATCCTTGTGCTAGTTGATGGTATAAATTGCCTCATTGCTCCCTTTTGCGTCGCTAGGGAAGGTTTAGTTCTGGAATGAGGAATCGATGAAATAACGAAACTGACGAACAGGATGCTCCAGGCCTCTGATGCCCATCTGAAGTGTTTGCGCTCTATGCGTTCAATGCACTCATAGATCGAAGAACAGGGTTTGATCATTTAGTAGCTTGTCTACCATGAATAACTGATGTTGTGGACTCTGATGAGAGTTCAAATTAGAACCCTTCGTCGTATGGGGAAAGATAGAGAAGAAAGGATAAAGTCTAAGTAGGGGTATACGGTCTTAGGGAAGCCTGTGTAATATGCATTGCAGTGACAGCTTGAGGGGTGTCCTTCACTACTATGAAAATGATGTTCATTATTCACCAATTCCGGGCAGCATGTTTGCAAAAGGATAAGGGCTAAGTATTCACAGAGACGGTCTACGTGTAGAATGGCTCTATCGAGTTAATGGCAAAGAAAGGTCACAGATCTACCGAAACCTCCATTCTAAGCAATCCATACAAGTAAGCCCTAACCGTAGCCATGCTGTTCATGAACCCTCCTGCACAGCCATCTTCCGCCTCTTCCTCAGATCCCTCGCATATTTTACCCCAAAGCCATGCCCAAACACCTCCCCAATCTCCTCCAAATTCAGCCCTGACACCTCCGGATAAAACAGCACAATGGCCACCCATCCCACGCCACACAGCGCCGCGTAGAACCCAAACGCCCCGGACGGGGTAATTGACTTCATCATGGTCAGGAAGGTCGACGAGACGATCAGGTTCGCGCCCCAGCAGCAACACGACATATACATGGTTCCCATGGCGCGGACCTCCATGGCGAAGAAATCGGCGCTCATCCACGCCGTGTTCCCGACTGAGACGCCGTAGAAGATTACGAAGAGGATGATGAATACGAGGACCACGATTGCGGGTGTCTGGACTTGCGTCTCGCGGAGCTCGAGCGTCTCGGTGTCCACGGGGATGGATTTGAAGGCCACTGCTGTCGCGACGAGGGAGGCGGACATCCCCCAGGCTGTGGAAACGAGGACGCGTCGTCGTCCCCAGGGGTCAACGACCATCATGTTCACGAAGGTCATGAGGAGGTTCGTGCCGGAGACGACGAGCCCGACGGCCACGGGGTTGGCGAACCCGACCAGCGCGAATAGCGTTGAGGAGTAGTACATGAGCGTGTTGAATCCGGACATTTGCGAGATCACCACTGCGATAGAATAGTCAGCAAGAGTATCCTACCTAAATATGCGGAGTCAAATGCGGACAGATAACGTACTTAATCCACAGGCGCATACCAACGCCCGGAAATACGCCGGATTGGTATGCAGCTGCTTGATCATTTGCAGACGACTGCGTCCCTCGTTGTACGATCGAGCCTCCCGGACTGCATCTTCGATCAAGCGGACCTTCACGCCGACTTGCTCCGGCGTGGCATGTTTGAAAATGCGCTGCAGGACGTGTCTTGCCTCCTCGTGTCGGTCATGGTATATCAATTGGCGAGGTGACTCCGGACAAAAGGGAAGGCAAGCGGCTAATATCAGACTCGGAAGGCCTCCCAGTCCAACCATGTATCGCCATCCATGGTCCACGTTGGCAAACGCAGCGCCGATCGCATAACTGATCACCTGTCCGCCCGTGATACTCACATTGTTCAACCCGATCATCCGGCCACGATGCTTCGTCGGCGCCAGTTCCGCAATATACATCGGCACAATCATCGCCGCTGATCCGACTCCGAACCCGACGATCAATCTTCCCACGGCCATCTGCGCCAAGGAGTACGCCGCTGCCTGGAGGATCGCGCCGACGGTGAACAGGAAACACCCGACGTAGATGGTATCCTTACGACCGAATCGATCGGCGATCAGTCCGGCGATGATGGCCCCGACGAATGCCCCGGCTGAGCACAGGGCCGTGATCATCTCCTTCTCGCTAGGCGACAGGCCATGGCCCAAGTCGTCGTGCAGGTAGACCAAGACGGCGGAGATGATGCCCGTGTCGTACCCGAATAACATGCCGCCGATGGAGGCGGTCGAGGCAACGAGCCATATGAACCGACCGGTGCCCATGTTCTCGGTTTCGTCTGTCCCGTTGGACAGGTCGGGCTTGAGGACTTCGATGTGGCATTCTGATCGCGGTTTGTCGTCGCTGTCGCGGTCGTCGTGGGTTTGTTGGTCCATCGCGTATTCAATTTCTCACAGGATAGATAATAACGTCTCCAAACAAGAACGAAAGGGATATCAGAAGAGAGTAGATCTCACAACTGGAACAAATCCTCATGCTAATTTCCACTAGGCCCACACCCCCGTATATATACTCTTTCCCAAACACCAAGCAAACCCAACCCTCACTACAGATAGACTCAAGACAGTCCAATACAACCGAACAAAACAGCATCTCGCCGTTCTTTACCCAACTCATCAGATCGAGCAAATCTCCCCGGATCCAGTTGTCGATCAATGCGGGGAAACCCCATGGGGTGTCAACCTTGTCCAACCCTTCCTCGACGCCCATTGGACCTCCAGGGTGCCAAGAGCGAGGGAATGCCACTTGTCTGCGTTTGGTCAGAATACCTCCCACTGCCGGATTTCTCTCACCGAGGAATACGGTCACTAGAGTGTCATCATTAGCCGATGGGGTATGAAAAGGAGGACGGCTGGCTGGACGGGTCGATGACATGCAAGGGTTACCCTGGGGATATTCGGAATTCACCGACCCTTGGCAAGGGCTTGGGATCTTGTCTCGGTCTTTGAGGGGGTGTTTTGCCGGAATCTCACCGGCTTACGTTCAGAATGGGTTTGACCGAGGATGCGGGTTATTGACGCGGGTGGTGAGATCGAATGGGCGACTTGGTTACGGTTATACTCTGGATGTCAGGACTGTGTCGTAATGTGATTTCCGATGTGCCCTTTAGTCTGGGGGCGACAATGCCGTTTCGACCTGACGCAAGGATGCTTGACCGATTGCAAGTCTTCACGGACTAAATAGGTTTTTGTTTGCTTGTGCGTGGCATTGCATCCGCCGTTAACTATTCAACGCGTCTGAATACCGAAAGTTGACGGCTATCTGGAGTTGGACCAATGCCGGATTTCAGTTCTCGTAGTTGACGATTAACGCCAGGCAGCAATCAATTCCTGTGCGTGCCGTACCAGGGCACAGGCTAATAACCTGGGCCTGTCTTCATTGAATTTTCGTTGGTTTGTTTAGGAAGAAACTTATGGATAAGGAGAGTAAAGAGCACATGTCCGACCCAAATAGATTATATATTGTCAAAATATTATAGTCTAAGGAGTCCAGTCCTTTCTAGGGCATATATAAGCAAACATTAAACCTCCTCCTCCTCCTCCTCCTCCTCCTCCTCCTCCATCCTTCTTCCCCAGTAACCAGATCAACCAAGTCAGATAAATCATCAAGTTCAAAATCAAGTAAAGGAATGACCAGGCTGTAGGTCAGTCAGTCGATAAGTAGACCTCAAGCCCACAGACCGAACCGAACCGCCAAACAACCAAAGCGCCCTCGGGGCAAAAACACGTCCAATAAATCGATGCTAGCCCTATCCCATCCACAGTAGTTAGCCATCAGTTACAAGCCCAAACCACAATGCACCCAGATAGAAGTAAAACATCACATACCTCACTATCTCCGAGACTGACTAAGAGTCAAACTCCACTAGAGAAAAAAAGGGATTTAACGACCAGCGCCAATACCAACACCGAGGTGCGCATCAGCAGCGGCATCAGCGTTAGCACCGATGCCGATACCAGCGCCGGGAGCAGGGCCGTAGTGCACGGGGCGGTAGTACTCGGGACGGCGCCAGTACTCCTCGGCCTCGCGGTAGTAGGCCGGGTCGGCTTCCTTCTTCTCGAGCTCGACGGGGTTCGCGGCCGCGAAGACAGCCAGGAAGGCGGTTGCGAGGGCGGAGAAGGTGATGAGTTGCATCTTGGTGGTGGCTTTGGAATGGTTTTGGGTGGTTAGTTTGGTTTGTTGGACTTGATGTTGATAGTGGAGGGAACTTTGTACGTACTTGAGAAGAAAGAAAACGAAGGAAGGTTCAACGAAAGACTTGGACTTGGACTGGAGAGAAGAGAGCTAGGATTGTGATGAGATGAAGAAAAAAAAAAGACAGTTCTTGCTGGATATCAACGACCTTTATATACCTCTTTCGTCTTGCTTTGTCCATGTCCTCCGAGACACATGCACATTCCCCATCCCGGGACCAAGCTCCGGAGCACGATATCCTGATTCCGATCTACGCAATTCAACCATCTGTTCGCGCCTCTTCGGCCGACGGAAAGGAACAGGAAGGGATTGACGCTCCAAAATCCGTGGAAAGAGGTTGAATTTTGAGACGTCCCAAATTTGGGCCGATAGGGCGGGAGCTTAATTGATAGTGGTGAAACACGGAGTGATAGGCGGTGGTTTGAGCATTGGGTTTACATCTTAATGGAGGGACTGTTTCTAGATAAGATTCGAGGTGAAATGGTTGGTTGGTTAAGGAGACCCCGAGTCCGTTTCACTGAGTCAAGCCTCAAGATAGAGATGCTGGATAGGGCGCGGTTCACATGTTGATCCAACTTCTGGGGCGGGGCTTGGTCAGAGCTTTGTCGATCTTGGGGTTTCCCTGTCTCACTCCCAGGCAGGCTATCTTTTGCTTCTCCTAAGAAGTAGGTGTTTTATTTTGGTAGCTCGTTGCTATCGGAATGTTGAACCGTCTCTGTGGATAGGGATAGACCGGCCCGAGGATTTACCAGAAAGGCGGACAACCCCGACTCCACCACCTTACCAACAATCCGATATGCACATTATGAGCAAGCAAGTTCAATACAAACTGCATGAACATACCGCATCCACGGAACTAATAGAACCCATAATCTGATCCCAGTACCCATCTGCCTCCCAGACTGGCCTCTGGAAACCTCCATACCAAGCAAGACTGCCACTATTTATCACATCACATACCCGAACTCAACGCACGACAGGATCCTCAGTCGGAGAAAGTTCTACAGCATGTGAACCGACACTGGGTCTACGACCCACCGTTCTTCCGAGGCTCGGATAAGTGTGGTTTAAGTTGTTTCGGCAAAGGTCTAGATCAGATCTCAACAGCAGATTTACATAACAGAAGATACCGGATTTGAGATCATTGGTTTTGTAAGCTGGTACTCTGGTGCATCCCCTGTCGATCAAACAGCTGCTGCTGCTATAATTAAGTCGGACGGAGGGTTATCCCTCACGACTAGACAAGATCAAACAATTGGCACGAATGATGGACCTTGGGCTATTGACAAAAAGGATGTGTAGAAAAAAAGAGTACGATACGTAGCATAGGTACCCATGCATAATCTGGCGTGCATATTTTCACGACATCTGATCATCGGTAGGTATATCCCATACGAATGCACTATGAAGATATGTCTATCTAACAATATGCCATGTCGTTTGAGATACTCCTCTCTGCCTCATGCTGAAGCTCAGATGGATAGGTCCATCGCCTTCTTCCCGATGTGAATGCTGGACTCGTCTCCTCCCTTAGTCCACCGCTCACGAAAAATGTAGAAAGATAAGAAACCGAACCCAGCCGAGCCAGCAAGTAGGTAGATAGGTAAGAAGATCCCGCCCAGTATCTACCTGCAAATCGCCCAGTCGTTCGAATTCGCCAGGACATGGCAGTGGCGACGATCGCGGCTACACTATTATCGCAGCATGTGTATTAGCACTTTTGATATAAAATATATGGATGACGGTAGTCTCTCAGGCAGAAACTAAACGAGCAGGGAGGAGATGATATACATACAGGGCGATACTCATGACAAGGCTTGACGACCCTGCTCCAATCATCCGAGCATTTCCAGACACAGTCGTTGGTATTGCTGCGGCAGCGCTAGTTCTCATTATTAACAGATTGATCTGTTGTACGGTAGATTTGTCTATCTTGGGAAAGGGGGGGAGATAGGTGCCGGACTTGATCAGGCTTGGTTGACCTACTCCGACACACTTGCGTGGTTCGATACTGTTGGGCTCGGCGTTGGGATCCACGTCCTGCTGGCTGTCATAATCATCGTCGAAGTCGGGAGTGATCATGTTGTCAGGCAGACTGGGCTCGTCGATGGGCGCGATGTTCTCGAGCTTGTCTTCAGTCTCGGTCTCAACCTGGAGAGTGGATGCCAAAAAGAGGAGAGAAATGAGAAAGAAGAAGTAAAGAAGGAATTTCATTGTGGCAAAGATCTGCTCTTTCTTTGCAGAAAAATATCAAAATTGCAGTCACTACGTAAGAAGAGATAAGATGATAGTGATAAAAAGAATGAAAATGGGCTGGGATGTTGAGTATGAAGAAGTGAGAAAGAATACACCGATTGTACGACATGATTTACATTTACATCACCCATATGCATGGCCGAGATAGCTGAGAAGCAATGGATAGTGCCCGGTCGTGACAATGGAATTGCAGGATATTCCCGGTTAATCTGCTGTGATAGGTCGCGTGAGTCAAAGAGATGCATGTCATACGTTGATGGAGATATCGAAGGCTCCACTTTGTTCTATTTCAGATCACGAGTGAGGGTATGCTGGAAGTTCGCTAAAAGTCTGTGGTTCTCTTGGGCTTGAATAACTAGGATCTCAGACTAGCAGGTTCGGTATACTTCTATGGCGTCACACCCAAAATAGAAAAATATACAGCATATAATCATTGTCACCCTTGAATGTATATGGAAACAACCAAATGAACTGTAACTGTGAAAATCGTCCCCATTCAACTCAGTCACCACTAATTCGCTCGAGACTTCAATCCTCAACATACTTTGTGCTGCAACTAGCCCAACGTCCATTCTCCCCTACATGAACCCAACAAGGGTCTCCCGACTCCTGACACTATCGGTTCGAAATAGGTACCTATTAGTAACAGGCCACGCCCACAAGGTTCAACGAGCACCGCACTAGAGGGCAAGAGAAGGCGAGAGAAAACAAAAGAAAGGGATGGGGGCACATAAGCTCGACATACAATCAACCAAAGCTGCGAGAGGGGGGAGATAAAAAGAAAACAAGTAACTTACCGGATAATCCTCGTGGCAATCAACTGGCTCCACATCCGTTATAAAGCGTCCTACTCTGTCCCCGAAGCACAATTGTAGATGAGAGCCACATTCACCTCGGGGAGCGTTCCCGAGAGGCTCTTTTGCGGGTGTAAGGTCGAGGTTGAGGAAGCTGTCGTTGGTCTTGATGATGTAATCTAAGGAGAGGTTGTCGGTGGTTTCCGAGTCAGCTTCACCCGCTTCTTCGGGCAGGGTGAGTGTCACGGAGAGAATTGCGAATGGAATAAGAAAGAGCAGAAGCTTCATGCTGATGACCGAGGAGCAAGGAATGCGATAGGCAGGTAAGTGAGGTGAGTCAGTGGGAATAAGGATGGATGAGGAAAGAAAAAGGAGAAAGCGAAGAGCGAGGTTCTGCTCGAATATATACGAACCGAAATTCCCTATACGACTTTCCAACCATGGTTATTTATAAGTCGATGATATTTGGGGAGACATGACCAGGGTATATAGTTGAAGGTGGTAATAGAGGCGTAGTAGAGAACTAAGCCCGCTTTGCGCGGTTGTCTTCGAAAGGTGGCCGTCGAGACCAGAATTATACAGGGATCTCAGTGGTCATGTTCTAAATGGAAGATGAAAACCAGCCTGATGCAATGCTCCGCCTTACTTGACGGGTAGAGGCGGGTTTCAGGTTAAATGAACGGCGTGCAAAGCTGTTACATTGATTCAAGGTTCAGTTATAATAGCGTAGTTGGTATAGCGAAAGGGACGGCGTGTTCAAAGTGCCTTGTATTAATATGCACAAGAAATCCAATATATATAGATATATAACCTGAACCCAAATCAATTACATCATGAATATACCACATTTTGAAACCAAAAAAAGAAACCTCCGAGCTCCAACCCAAAACCAAAAATAACCCTCTCAACCTATTTATAGTGGTACCGCCGATAACGCCATCCATCCATTCATGATTTCTTCCGTGGTTGCATCTTGATAGGTGTCCAGCCATGAGAGCCCTGTGTTGTCCACCGAGATCTGACTTCCGTCGCGCGATTGCGGAGAGAAGTACGGCGTCACGTGCATGGTGGCCTGCGGGTTTGCCGGAGGCATCTGGACAGGAGCAGGGGCAGGAGCAGGAACGGACGAAGGCACAGACGAAGGCACAGACGGAGGTACAGACGAAGGGACAGAACAAGGGACAGACGATGGGACAGAGGATGGAACTCGGGCCTGTGCCGGAAGGCCATCCGGCTGCGCCAGACAATAATTCCGATCGAACCATTCGTGGATATGTCGCAACCATTGATCGTAGTGGTAGTATACATCTGGCTCGCCTGATTCGTCCATGCCGTAACTGGACAGCGCCTGCATGCGCCTCCTGCAGTTGTGAAGAACCACGGGCATGTTGAGTGCATCGCACAGTGGTCCAACCCGCTCGTTTCGATAGAAACACGGGTCTGACGCCGCGACCGCTATTTTTGCGGAGATGGCGAGAATAAACCCGATCTGGACCCACTGCATGTAGCTGGTGTTATGCTCCACGCCGACGGGCCAAGTCAAGACGGAATCGAAGTAACGTTCTGCGGCAATGAGCCCGCGGCAGAGCGAGTCAATTCGGAATGGCATAGACGTAGGGAGCATTGAAGGCTCCCTTTGTCGTCGAGGATGGAAAGATGGCGGTGCATCTGGATTGGAGGTTGTCGGGGAAGGATAGTTGTAGGATGATATGGGATGAAATTTGTCAAACAGACTGACTTGGGTCAGGTACAACTCCAAGGTGTGGAGTTGCATGCTAATTATGACTGTACGGACGTTAGATAGGTTGTCAATGCTTGTGGCCCGAATGGGGCATATATTTTCAGAGTAGTGCGGGTGATGAAAGTCTACTTACGGCAATTCGTCCTTGTATACGATAGCTGGGCCTTGAAGTCTTCCATCTCTTGTCGAAAGTTATAGATGTGACGTTCGATTTCTGCAACCCGGCCTTGCATGCCTGGCGGATGACCAACCGACATTTCGTCAATTCTCTCAAGAACATGCTGAAGCCGCACGAGATGAATGGTAAATTGGTCGCTTGGATACTCGGGATCTTGTGCCAATTCCATGGCGAATCGCTCGATGTGGGGAGTCCAAGGGAAGGTGCACCGTTTCTGCATGATGATCGAGACGCTGTGGGGGTGTCGTTAGCAGACGGCATGTGCGTTAGCAGCGTCGATCACATACCATGACGAGATCACGAAACATCCGATGACTGCTCTCTTTTCATCCCGCGCAACCGCTGCCATATGCGACGGGGACATTTGGTGGGGCCCGAACTCTGATCGAGAGCAGCTTCGTAGTTCTGGGGGTCGATCGAGCCACATATCAACGACTATACTCAACGCCAGATGGAAGTAAGTCGTGAACTGGCGCGGTTGGTATAGATATTGGGACCTACGGTGATCCATTAATCGATCTCACTTGAGAAGAGTATCCCGGGAATCAAAGTGAGAGAGGACCTACCATCCGAGACTAACAAGCAATCCCTGCAGAAGTTCGAACGGTGACTCTACCAATCCGAACAGCATCCGTTCTCTTACCGCTGTCCGAAACTCATCCATGAATATGCGTCGCAGTGAGAGGTTCTGATACAGGGAAACCGTAAGAACCGCCAGCAGTAAGAAAGGTTTCTGTTCGCGCAACTCTTGTAGCGTCATTTTCTCGGGGATGATAACGAATGGGAAGTGCGGCATCATGGTTCGACGAAAGCCGTCCAGGAGAGAAGCGGCATGGTCGAAAGTGATGATCTCTCTGGAGATCACATCCTGCGACACTCGTGTCGACTCTCCGGATTCCCCCCGCGGCGTGGTGTCACCGTCCAAGCTGGGACTCGATCCGGCTTGGGATTCATTGTGTATTTGGCCTAGAAGCTGGTTGACCTTTCCTTCGAGGGCTTCGATGCGTCTATAACCGGGAGAAGATGGACCGTATCAGCTCATCTGTTCTTCTGGCGGGGTTGCGAACTGTTGGAGTGGGGAAGAAGGATCGCCTTACGTTTCTCTTTTCGCAGGATTATAGCGGGAGCGGGCAGGACGGAAGTAACAGTCCTTATTCAATCGTCGACAACTGAGGCAGGAATCTCGATGTCAGTTCCCATGATGCCTTCAGGGAGGCAGCGTACAACCGCGACGGAGGGAGGACTACTAACCGGTCGCAAACCGGCGAACCGGGAGTGCGCAAGCAGCGAATCTTCGCACGAACACAAGTCTCGCAGGTCTTCACCAGAGCCTGGCTTGACGAGGCTGGCGAACTTGAAGCCGATATCACCATCATCAAAGGAGGTCCATTCCACGTGGCTGGAGCCGGACAAGGACGCGGACAGGAGAGGCCGCGATGCAGGTAGGCAAGAAGTTTATATGGAGCGGCGGACAAGCGGACAGCCGAGTCCGTGTGAGGGCGAGTTGGGTGGGGGGGTGGAGGATCAGAGAAACTAGGAATAGGAGACTAGGCGCAGGAGTTATTTTCCTATGATTTTCCTATTGAGTTCCTAGTAAGAAGTAGTGAGTACAACTTGAGCAGTGAGCAGAAATTCCAGAGGATGGAAATCCCGGTCATTCAGGCGCCCTAAAAAGCCTAAAGAGTAAAAAGGGTGCGTTAATTCAGTCTCCACCATTTTGGTTGCATCTCTGCGGTGGTCCGATCCCTGATTAGTTAGTTATTTTAGTTTTAGTTATTTTGAGTGCGAAACTTCCACTTCCTCAGAGAGGGTCAGAGAGGGGGGGGAAGGAAATGGGGGCCACACGGCTACTGATCCTGTCACAGACTGCCGAAAGACCGAAAGACTGAAAATGGAGCAGAAGGCAGAAGGCAACGAAAAAAAGTCAATCTGTCTCGTCAAGGTTTCCCTTTCCAAAAATGCAAAATACGGGCGCCACGGATGAGCAGGTCTTGGCACGGCAATTTTCGATTCTTCAGCTGCAGGGAATCCCCCGGTCCTGGTCGGCTTCAACGGCTTCTTGGGATCCTGCAGATTGTCTCCCACGTGCCATCTTGGGACGTCTGGATGATGAAGATCATGCTCATCATCGCTCAAACGCCCGATTCTTTTCATTCAGTCTGATCGAAAATTGTCCCGCCTCCCTGTCGGTTGGTTTCGCGGAAATTATCCGGCGACCGACTCAGCTGATCCTGCCGGCGCTTGACCACATTCAAGGCGTCGTCATGGCCAGCTTTTATTGAACCTTACTGTGTAGGGATGACAGGGCAGGGATGGTCAGATGAACGCAGGTATCGGTCCAGGTCGGTCATCCTGGCAATACGATCTCACCGGCGCGTCGGTTGCTGGACGGAGGGTTTCCCCGCCAATGATGGAGCAGTTAATTCTTCATCAAAAGTCTCTATTGATATCTTGTTTTACATGTCTTAACCAGCGCTAGTTATCATCTTAGTGTCCAAGCCATTCGACGGCTCTTCGTTGCCGCCACCGCGTGTGTTGGACTGAGCGACCTCGGTTCCTTGTCCGCCATTCGCGCCATATAAGCATTCAACCTCCCCATCTCAACGAACATCCTCCTCCTCAACGGCCCCCAAATTGAAATCATCACGAAGCCCGTCCCTGAAAGACTGAAAGAGCAGAACCAGCGTTGGCCAACGGAACGGCCCGGACGCGGAGATGCGTTGGGCCCCGTACGATCGTGATCGTGGATTCCTTGTCCCCTTGCGTTGGAACTCGAGCGAATCATGCCGTACACCAAGCTGCAACGACCCATAAGTCTATTTGAGAAGACATGTTATGGACGGAGACGGAAGATCCCATCGTCTTGGGTGGATAGGACCGTGCTTCCTCGCCGTCCATCCTGTCGGTGGATCTTGGATGACCGTTGGGACCGTTGGCATGATATCTTATAATGACTTGTTCGGGGTCGGGGTCGGGGACGGGGTCGCGCAGATCTCATTTTGGCATGCCGTGGAAGTCGAGGCATAGGACTTGATTACTAGCGCTCGCGTTTGGGCCTGTCCCCTCATTCCAGCGACACGCTTTCTATCAAAAAGAGTTGACCAGTAAGACGTCCTATGCTACCAACACGGTTTTTGTGTGTTGGGGGCAGGTATGCTTGCTATGTACACCGTGTAGAACTCGTTAATCTCGTACTCCGTAGTGGCCACAACCTAACGATATATCCCGCCTTTGCCTACCATTTCTTCCCTGCACGACGATCGCAACCGATACTTTCGGCGTTCAAATGTTGACAATCTCCTCATTCTGAGAGGCAGATGCATCCAAATTCCCCAGAATAATTAGCCCGAAACCCCCCCGTTCGTTTATTAAATTATGTTGATACTAGTCAAGCCAAAGGATTCGAAGGATCTCGGAGAAGGAGGTGGACACGGACACGGACACACCCCTGCCAGTCCGACTTGGCGACGACGCGGGCTGCGCACTAAAGTCTCGCCATCCCTGCTAGCGCTGCCTTTAGCCAACTCTCCCGTTTCCCCCTCGCCCTGTTTGGGCGCTGCTTCATCACTTTGCTTTTTTACTCCTCTTCTTTGTGCGCCCTTGGCTGACGACTGAGGTCGGCTGTGTCCGCTAACGGATTGCTGATGAATTGATGAGTTGGTCTATTAATAATGTATAATATACGAGAATCAGGAGTATCACAACTGCGAAAATATTCTTTTTGCTAGTCGCTCGGTAAGGAGGTTGCAGTATCCTTTTCGGTGGATTATAAATACAGATTAAGGTCTACACAGTAGAAAAATGCAACAGCACGTGAATTCATCACCGATAGGCCGACGTGGCCTTATTGTGTATCTTGAAGTTGGAAGTCACCAAAATGTAAAATCTCCGCATATATATAGAATAAAGATGTACCCATTCACATCTTCACCCCACGTTAAACCACCGACCCAGATGCCAGGGCTTCATCTTGACAGCTCCATCTCCCGGGATCAGCCGTAGGGTTCCTCTGGCACCTGTTTCATTGGATACCAATTCCACGGTGCGACGGCGCAAAAACTCAACAATTCGATTGTTGTCTCGCACTAAACGCGCCTAGAATGCGCAGGAGCCACAGCTTCTTCCCTCCAGTCTGTTTGGATATCGATTTATTCTTTTTGGAAATGTAGTCTGCTCGAGCTACCTATGCATTTTGAAGATTGATCAGTGGGTGTGATGATCTTGTGATAAGTTCATGCACAAAGCTTTCAAATGCTATATATCAGGTTCCAGAGTCCCGTACATATATACACCTTCTGGCCTGCATTTCGGAATTCTGCGAATCGCAGCGTGGAAAAGTCAGTCACGATATAACCTGAAGTTGACTGTAATTGGACATGCAGTATCAGACACTATATTTACATTACAATCGGAATAAATCCATATGTAATAGTAATTCGAATATGGACTGACGGCCCTCAGATTGATTGTTGCGGATGGCTGCACAGTAGAACTGGGAAGCCGGGGGGTGTACTTACTAGATGGATACTACAGTGGGTAAAATCCACCTCGGTGATCAGTGATCACAAGTAAGTAAATAATGAATGATCTGGATGTCTGGGTCCTTCTATTGTGTTGACGATGGGTTGAGGCAGGAAGAAGTCTTGAATAGTGTTGCATATATCAAAGAGCTATGACTTGATACTTTTGAACCTCAGGCATTTTACCCGCCCGCATGCATGCGCTATATTTCCCCATGTCTGGCACTAGCACGTAAGCCCAGTCGTAAGACCGGTTGCCAGCCAGTTACCTGTATCTACAGGTTATCGGCAACAGTTTGATATCGTCTAACCAGCGTAGAGGGTAACTAAGAAGTAAAAAGCTCGGTATGAGAGTTTAATAACCGCACCTTCGAGGCCGTATAGGTCAAGACCCTGCTGAGATCAAGGTCTTGTCGAGACCTCAATGCCTACGAAAGGGCAGGGGAGCAGTGTCAAGCGCAGATCTTGTCCAGTCATGGGGATTGGAGACATCTCTGTGGCCTTGATCTTCGGATGAGGCGCCCCAGGAGGCGGGATTGAGGCCTTGAAGGTATACTGGCTACTGGTAATGGTATTGGATGAGTACAGTGGCACCTCCTCCGCCGGGGTCCTTTATATGCAGATTTACTTTAGGGCCCTACCGAAATCAAAAACAATCAAAAACAAGTTTCGCGGTATAAAAGCCCGGTATCAAGGCCTGTCCGGAGCCAACTTGCGCCCTTTTTGGAACCTGTTTTCGGGCAAGTATCGTGTTGTTCCTTGCTTGCTGATATAGGATTGTAAGTGTGAAAGTAAGCAAAGTAAACTCCATTCTATCACTGACTCCTCAGTAACAAGGGGGTCTTTCTGACCAGAAAAGCTCTGAATGTGATGAAGAAAATAACCACAAGAGAAGATAATCGGTTCATGTGCTGTCTGTGTGAGACGTCTCGTTCATTGCGTATTGAGGGCGGAAAGCGGCTGCATTCAAGATTCAAGGCAAGAGACACAGGACACAAGAGACGCGACAGGAATGATGCCTTGTACATTACAACGTCTCTTTCCAACGAGAGTCTGATAGACCTGGTGGCATGAATATCAAGTTTAGTCGATCATGGGAGATATTACCAGTGAACGTGATAGCACACTCTACCTAGCCATGGCCTATGGAATAAAGGGCTGTAAGAACTTTGCTGCGAACATCTTTTCAGTAAACTTGCTTTGAAAGCAACGCGCGTCGTGTCCGAATGTTCCGGTAGGTCGGAAATATCTACACAATACCTACTGGACTATAGCATACCCAGTCTGTGGTAGATCCTCCAGCTTTGGTATGTCCTCTTGAGTCCAATGAGATGATTCGATAGATGAGTTTGGCGTCTGAGACTGGAAAAAAAGCCCTGCACCATTTGCCGGTCGAGCGGGTTAGGGCACCCAGCTTCTCTACGTGCGCGATTGGGCTGATGCTGTTTGACGGACCATGAGGCACCTTTCTCCAAGTCATAGGTCAGTGCGGCTCAATGTTTTCCACAATCATGGGTACCAAACCGAGTGCCGTCCTATAAACCTACTCTTAAAGTAGATTATTACCCATAAAGCACCTTCGATCCTCACATTCATTTGCGAGTCCGTATGACGAGGAAGTGCAGGCTTGTCCATTAGGCAATTTTGCTTCCAAGCCTTTTGTCCGGAATGATTCAGGAATGGACCGATCGTGGCCAGTATGCTAATTGCTCTGAAACGCCCGAACAGGGGTCAAGCGCACAAAATCAAGGAACCGCCACATTCCTACCAGGTTCTGGATGGCTTCAGCTGTTTCCACCCGATCTCTCGCTTGTAACTCGGGGGCTTGTATCATATCCGTATTTCGGTCCGAGAAACTGCACTTCAAGAAGAGACGAGCATTTTGGGTCTTTTCTGATTGTATGCGACCGGTCCCTGTACGGCGCGGAAGCCTCCGTCTTGTTTGCCCACCCCAAACCCTCGCAATTGGGGGATTCTGGATGCACCAGCGAGGTCGTATGTTGCCGATCGACGAGTAATGCCTGTAGAAAGCACCTGAGAAAGCGCCTATCTTTAAGAGACACGCAGCAACTGGCACAGGCTGGGAGGGTCGGTCTAGAAGCAGTGAAAAGTGACAGAGAGGGAAATCCGGGCAGAGAACAGCAACAACACGATTCGCTCGCAATGCGACACTGTGGGAAGGATTGGGTCGCGGAGCGTGCTCATCTAAGAAATAACAGTAGTAGTAGTAGTAGTAGTAGTAGTAGTAGTAGTAGTAGTAGTAGTAGTAGTCTGGCAGCCTCATGGAGAAGATGGTCGAATCGAAGAATTCGGGAGGACCCAACACCCTCGGGGCGGGTGACACCGATTGGATAATTTGACCCTGGGATTCTCACCTATCATTGGGGAATATTCTCCTTTGATCTGCAGGGTAGGAAAAACGAAATCGCATCGGCCGAAAGGTGGCAGGGCAGTCTGGGACGTGAATGAGGAAAAATAGTTGCTCCGGGGCAATTGGAGAAGTTTGGTGGCGAGCGACTGCCTTACTAAACCGGTAACCCTCTCGCTCCTGCCCTCTGCGGAACCTTTTTCCTTGCCAATAACGAGTACTTCCGGGGGAGCCAGCATTGGCCTGACCACCACCCCTGCCAGGCCATTTTCTCTCCACAACATCCCTTTTGCGTCTTCTCTCGTCCACGACCACTGTTTGTGGCAGCCATACCCTATGCTCTTTTCAGTGTCGGCCCTTTTGTCCGCCGGCTTGTTGATCTTCTCGGCCTCCTCTGCTCCCTAACCCCCTTCTCATCATGGGGCTTCCCCACGACTATGCGCAGGCAGGCACTAGAAAGTATCGTGCAAAAGTGCAGGTCATTCCCACATTGTATCCTCAAGCCTTGTGTCTAGCTTTCTACGGTGACTCGGGATGTCTGGGTATCGAGCGAGGATGCATGTCTTGATGTTCAACTTGGTTAAGACTAACCATTTAGCTCAGACGAGGTCGGTTGGTTAGAAGCGCCCACTTCGGCAACATATTGAATGCCAAAGACACGGATGAGATCACGCTACTGAATCAGCATTTGCGGTTGGATTCAATCTATGTGCTGAAGCCACAACCGATATTTATAATCAAAGGTGTCGCCATGCCTCGCGCGTGATTTTGGACTGTCTCTGTCCGATGCTCATTTCTCACGGAGGAGTTTCATTCGCCTCGTCTCTCCTGCCGTGCCGTTTGAGAGATGTAAGTAGCGTCACGAAATGATGGTGTCAAGAGAACGTTCTCGTCAATTGTCTAAGTGTCAGAGTCCTCATGTAATCAACCTTACCTGCCTCCTCTCAGGTCACAACAGTCCAAAGTGTACTGGCTTCTTTGCGGGTCTTCATGGCCTTGACATCATCTTCGACTCTTTTTTTTCTTTGTTCTTTCCTTTTTCTTTCTTGCTTTTTGCCATCGTTCCGAGTGCATAGATTGAGCAAAGGAGCCGTGCTCATGATGTTTGCTCTACAGTGGACGGAGTAATAGATCACCATCCAACTCGACACTTCACGTTATGCCTTTCTCAAGCTAGCGAACCCTTCACCTTTCAGAGCAGAGAGGTGTCGAACGAGCTGCAATACCCGCGCCCAGTCTTCATGTATTCGTTTGTCATCCAACAACTCCCACTGGACAGATTTCCTTGGCATAATATCATGTTCGGTGGGTAAGGGAATGCTGCGATGGTGTATCGAAAAATCCCCAATGGTCGTCAAAGGCCAGGGTCGCTAACAGGCTTACACCGCAATGTGTCATCGAGTTCCAGGATTGAGTCACACGCCGTCTCAGATTTAGGCGAAGGAAGGACAGGATGGGCCAAGATGGAGTCGTACCGCTTCCTACATACAGTGCAAGTCAGCATATATGTGTGAGTCTAATTGTCGATCCCCCCCTGAACACCTACAGGAATGGATCAGATACAAACGTGTCTTTGTGATTTATCTCAGCCGACTAGGCTTCAGAAGCTCGCTCATTGCTTCTCTCCATGCTCGAGTACTCGGTGCCGCAGAGACTTCCTCTTCAGACAGCGAGAACATCGTTGTCGAAGGCAGTTCCGGTGCAACAAACGGAACGAGCGGAACGAGCGGTACCGAACGATTCGAAGCCGATCATGAACACTATTGTCATGGCGGAACTCGGGGCTTCTCATCCCTAGAACCACGCACTAGGCGGAGAGTCTGAAATGTGGCAGGTTGACCCTTGTCCCTGACAGTTTGTGGTCAACAAGGCGGTCATGACCTGAGCCATGTTCGAGACACATTGCTGTCTGGAAATTGCGGCAAGGTTCGGGAAGGTTCGACGTCGTCTTCACGCTTATCGAGGGGTTCAAGGAACGAATGCGTCAATCTGTGGATGCTTTACCCCGTGCCTTGGAGCAGTGGGGATGCCGAACGAAGAGGAAAAGAAAAAGAAAAAGTACCAGGTCCAGCAGGTAACGGTCGGATGATCGCTCTGGTACGTCAGGCTGCCTTAGGAATCCCTCCGGCAGCCTTAATGTGATTATTTTTATTTTTATTATTATTATTTATTTATCATTTTCTTTCTTTTACCCTCACACACGGCCTTCTACCGGGCACGCCCCTTTTTTCTTCCATATTTCGAGCCTTTTCGATCACGGTTTCCTTTTTCCCAGTTATCTCCTTCCACTGACTGAATTTGGTGTGCCGCGTCTCAAAATCCCCTCAAAGGGGGGTGTTACTGACAAAAAAAAGAGGATTTGGCTGTACTATCGAAGGTAACAGAAAGTCGGAAGCGATCCGATTCCCGCCCGCCTAATGCCAAAAGGGCACACGGCAGCGACTTCCAGCCTACCACGGCTCGCTCTTTCGCGGGATCTGGGTCCCTCAGCCAACACGCCCCGTTTTATATGTCTGTTCTATGTTGCTACTGCGACGGCAAAAACCATCGAGGCCACCGATTTCCCGCGCTTACGGCCACCCAGCGTTTGCTTCGAGTCAGACTAGTTGCTTAGTGTTTCCTTCTTTGAGTTGCGTGCACTGTCCAGGGTACCTAAGGACGAAAAGGGTGTGGCAAACCAAACTGCATCTTCTGTGACCATGAGTGACCCGAATCAACCGCCCTCCTTTCACTATCATCCCTACCAGGTTTCTACAGAGTACCATGAAAATGAACCGAATGTCTTCTATGTCGGGGGGGTCCCCCAGTTCATCCAGGCCCCTCCTGGGCCTCCAAGCAACTACGACGTGACATCCGGGCCTTCGGAACCCGGCCCAAATGCCTCTCAGGTCGTATTCGATACCGGATCTCTCAACAAAAAGGTGCAAATTCCTAGGTCGGCAAACTCCAACAATTGGACCACCAGCGGACGAGTCAGCCGGGCGTGTGAGAACTGCCGAGAGCAGAAGGCAAAATGTAGTGGGCATCGCCCAAGCTGCGTGCGATGCGATGAATCCGGACTTCTGTGCTCATACGGTGATCGAAAGCGGGAGAAGATGCTCAAGTGCGTTTTGTGATGATATTTTTCTGTGGTCTGCTATCTGAAAATCTGACGGTGGGTATCAGGCAGATCAATGATCTGACAAACCAGGTCGACGTATATGTGGCTCTACTGAAGGAGCTCTGTCCCAAACTGGACTCGCAGACTGCTGAGTATATCGAACAGGTGATCGGGAAAGTAAGAAGATCCTTTGTTACCCTGTTCTGTTTCTCCCGTCCTCCTTTGTTTTCCCCCGCGTGTGCGCCCCTGGCCCTGTCGTGGTGCCGCGGGCCGCCCCTTTGTACTCCCTCCCCCTCCCATCTTGGCTCGGTCTAATTGGAAACCTATAGCAAAGTCTCAACAATAACGCCGAAACATCTGATCGCAGAGGCTCAGCGATATCTTCAACTTCTAGAACAGCAGATTCTTCTCCCCTTCAACTCCCTAGTTCGAACCCCCTACTCGGAGGCCTAGACTACACCAACGAAGATTTCAATCGTGATGAAAAGATTCAAGCGATAGGATTCGTAGGGGAGCACTCGGAGATTGCCTGGCTACACCGACTGCAAAGCATGCTCGATTCCTCTAATCTACCATCTCCACGAGAGCTGTCGACTCACCCATCCATTGCGTCTGCGAACTTTTTTCTAGATGACTCCGTAGTCCCATTTAGTCGGGACGCGGATCCTGGGCGGCGACCTCCACAAGCAGTAGCTGATCAGCTGGTGGATATTTATTTCAATGTCGTGAATCAATCGTTCCCCATCATCGGCAGATCGCTGTTTTTTGATCAATACAAACTCTTTTATGCCCGTTCGGTACGACCGGGAGACAGATGGCTGGCCATCCTGAATCTAGTGTTTGCTATTGCGGTGAGATATACTCGTCAGACCCGAGTATGCCCGATGGAGGCCGTCGATGATGATCGCACATACTTTTCCAGAGCGTGGAAGCTCAACATGAGTAGTGCTGCGCTACTAGAGCACCCCAACCTACAGCAGGTACAGGTGGAGGGTCTTATATCGTTTTATCTTTCCTCTGTGGGCCAAGTCAACCGGTGCGCCCATTCATCTTGTCCCCGTTGAAGTATAGAGTTCCTGGCTAATGTTTTTGTCGCTATGCTTTTGTCTTCCAGGTCGTGGCGCATATGTGGCGTAGCCTTACGATCCGCTGGCACGATGGGGCTGAACTTACGGAACGAGAGCAAATCACTTAGTCCTCCGTCGAAAGAAGCACGTTATCGGGTATGGTGGTCCTTGTACACTCTAGACCTCACTCTTTGTGTGATGACCGGCCGCCCTCCAAGTTGTAGCGATGAATTTTGCACTACACCGCTCCCGGTACCATTCGAGGAAGAGACTTTCAAGGAAGCGGTATACGCCCAGCAGCTCATGAAAGATAATGATGCACGGGGTTTCTTCATGGATATCCTCGGTCTGGGTCGCTCGGAATACTTGGCCTCCGACACCGCGTGGCCCGACAACCTCGATCCCTTACTCTCTGGCCCCGGGAAACAGTCTGAGCAAATTGCCTCCAGTGCCGTTGAAGCTCTCGAACCAAATCCTTCGCTCTACTTTCTCCATGTGATCGACCTGGCTTTCATTGTGCGGGAAACAATTGACACGCTATATGCTCCAGGAGCTTCTCGGATGTTGTGGCGGGAGATAGAGATGGCCATTTCTACCTTGAACGGAAAGATAGACGCTTGGCTCGAAAGGCTTCCGGTCGCATTCCAATCTACTACGGGTACTCGAGAGTTTGAACGAGAGCGAACAAATATGGCATTTTATTTCCACAGCGCCAAGATCTTGGTCGCTCAACCTTGTTTCAGCCGTCTGACTCGGCAGAGCTCAGGAACCGACTTATCGGACAAATTCTGTGAATCAACGGCCGTCGCGTGTGTTGACTTGGCGGTTCAGATGATAGAACTCTTGCCCGAGCACCCAGATTCTTCCTGGATCTACCGCGCCTCACCTTGGTGGTGCATGTTGCACATGCTTATGCAACCGATCACCATTGTTTTGACTGAGTTACTGCTTGCAAAACCAGACACGGCCAAACGAGGGAAGCTACTGAAGGTTGCCTCCAAAACGACCCGCTGGCTAGCAGAACTTGCGGCCAAAGATCCTGCGTTCCAGCGGGGCGAGAAAGTGTGCAGAGAACTCGTTACCCAACACGACCCGCAACTTGCAATGGCGATTTATGGAGACCCTGAGGGACGCTGATTTGGCGCTAAGGTTTTCTATGCTTCACATGTCCATAAAACTCTATCGGCCATTCTCGTCGTTTGACCATTTTCAATCAGTAGCAACGATGGGACCATCGTTGCTGAAACGCTGAAGCGCGCCGATACAGGGAGTTTATGAGGATATCGCCTTGCATCGACCTTCTCGTGAGCCCGTGTCACCCGTCGTCATATTCAAGCCGGTCGCCATATATAGAATGCTTAACTCTAAGTGAGTATAACCGCATGGGTTTCAATTGTTTTTAGCCCGTCATCGTCTCAACACACCCAACGGACATTCTCTAGCCCTTTTTTAGATCGTGCCATGTCTCAAGAGCTGCGTGTTATGCTTCCACTAGTGCAAGACTGATTTTTTGTCACACATAACATCTCCACATGAACGTAACTTATCCAGGAAGGAGCACCAGTGATGAAATGACATCATTCAGGATCAGTGCCTGGCCGACCCAGGATGTATAACTAAGACTAATACGCTCCCCATACTTATATACACATAGTAAAGTGCTGGCTGAGGGAACGAATCACCATGAATAAATTCAGATCTCCCATGGTATGTAAGTTAGGGAATTAAAGCCAGTTATTGCTATGTTTGATTGAATATTCGGCAGCACACCTAATCTTTCCTTTTTTTTTTTTTTTTTTTTTTTTCAATGCACGAGATTTGACACCCAAGGAACCAAGCCATCGCGTTTTTCGAGACAGCTTCACTGACAATCGCAGAATAATGGGCACCGTGGACATCGTGGACAAGTCCAATCTACAAGTGGGTCTATCCCCACCACCACAACTCTCGCCATTCGCTGGCAGTCCGATCCGTGGCGTTCTATGAGGCATTCTTACGGCGTACTCAGAGTAGTCTATTGACCAGACTACTGAATCCTGAGCCTGCCTGTTATTCCTTGCTGCACCCTCGCTTGGGCATCCCCTGCGTTCCGGGTTTCGCGTCACCGACCAAAACATCAGGAGCATTGTTTTGCATTGGAACATACACGGTGTACCATCCATCATTCGAAGATCGTTTCAATTCCTTGTTCCGTGCCCACACGTCTGAAAGAAAATTTATCTGGCACCTGCAAACAGCTGATAATGTGGATCATTTCGTCATCCTGGAGAATATCGGAATATCGTCGGATGACGTTCGGTAACGGTTCGAAATCTGAGAATTGAAACCATGTAACTATCCGAACTGTACTGAGTACATTTTCCACTTGTGCCTGCACCGGTCTGGGAAGAAATGGATTAGATTGCCCCTGCCTGGAGGCACACTACGGCGTACGTGGAATGAACTGACAGGCCTCAGATGACAAATACCACATGGACCTATGTAAGTTTTCCCATCGTGTGTTCCTTAACTTGATAATCCAGAGCCAAATGCGAGACGGATTGAAATCTCTATTAATCAAATTTCGACCAGTCGGAAAGGGGGGAATGATATGTACGGAGTACGGAGACGTCCAATACGCTAAGTTGCTAACCGAGCGAGTGTCTTTCCATTTTTCAGACTCCTTCTGGGTGTTTTTTGCTCTCATTCGCAAGAATGAGGCCGGACTTGACAATCGATCTCTATTCCGTACTCCGGATCGTCTCATTTCACGACCCATGGTTCGCCCTTCCAAGCCTAATCCCTCGAACCATTTGCCGAGCGCCTCAACCCGACGGGTCCCGATAGAGTTCCCCAAGATTTGAAATATTTGAATACAAGCTGCGGTTTCGAGCACAGGCGTATCCTGCTAATCAAATCAGATCTCGTCCTCAGGTCTCAGCCTCTCCATTATACGGATCCGGTATTGGCGCCGTGCTCCGCGGACAGTCCCAGCCTCCCTGGCACTTCAGAGATCCACAGTTAGGACCTCACGAACGGCACCTTGCGTGCGGACTGCGGAGTACTACGTACAGCACAAGATCAGCAGGCGACGGGTCCACATGAGCAGATAGAATTCAAATCCCGGTCTCAATTCAAACCCCGGCCAGCATAGCTGCAGTTGCTGAGATGAAGGGAATCTCGCTGGTGTGCTGTTACTCGGTAGTGTCGTTTGCGCTGCAGTCTAGCGAAGGGAAGTGCCTGGGATGGCTGTTTCAGGTTATCTTAGTACTTTGTACACCGTAGTGTAGGTATCACTTATCAGGTCGCTCTCTTCCGCTGCCATCAGGGTGATCCACCAATGATATACTGCATGTGGCTGTTGGTGTTGGCCAACGCTGCGACGCCATCTTCTGCCTCGTCATTCCAATTTCGCTTGATGTCTTCTTGACCAGCATTCAGCAGGCACTTTTGCACTTGGGGTCTTTGATCATGCGGTATATATTGTTCACTTGATCCCTGATTCCCTGGACGCGCAGGACCCAGGGTAATATAACAACACAGGTTATATGGCACCAGAAGTTGTTTGCCTGACGTAGAAAGACTCCGCTTCAGTTTCGGTTAGGTAAATAGAGATGGCGATCGACATAGCGAATGCAATATGATGTCCTCCGTACGCAATTACGCATAAGATGATCATGACTCGCAAGGCGCGTGAATGTGATGAAAGCACACTGTAATCGCGCATCGGCGATCGACAGATGCTGAATGCCTGAGGCACCAATCGAGATCCGATGACCGATGTCACACCGCCTGCCCTTTTGAGAATTCCCCCGTGTGGGGAAAAGCGACTCCAACAGGAGGTTGGATGATGAATTAATTCATGGATAACCTCCGATCGACTCGTTCTCCTCTCTACCTTCGTTGCCCCCCTCGCGCCGAGCGATTATTGGCTGCCTGTCAGATGCATTATTATTAATGGTCTGACAGTTATGATACGCATCTAGCCCTAAAATGCAATTACACCGGTAGAGAGGATGTCGTTGCGCGGTCCCATGAAGCGATCTCACCTTAGACAGGTGAGCGCTGCTAGTTTGGACACGCTCTCCACCTCGCGCTCCTTGGGCTCACAGTCTCACAATGACATTCTGAGTGATCGACCAACCACACCGGAGGAGAGGACTGTCCGGTTGCCCTCGATCGGTCTGGATCGACCACAATGCTCGCTCTGGGTCCATGATGAAACCTTCTCGAGAGAGGAGATCCTGTTCAATCCCGCCGCCTTCGGTGACACCGAGGTCAATGTGGGCGATGTCATTGAGATCCTCCCCGCCCGGTATCCCGGGGATGGTGCGCATCCGGTAAAGACGGATGCCGGCCCGAGGTCGTTGCGCGATAGCCATGTGGAATCGGGCTCGACCCTTCATTCGGACCCCTTGTCGAAGTTCAAAACTCCGCTACAGAACCGTTGTCTCTTTGTCGTCAAGCCGCTGCCGCACGATATCAAGACCCGGCATCCGAAGCTGGAGATCTCAGTCACCACTAGTATAGCTAATATCTTTGGGTTTAAGAATCGCTCGACCGTGCACATCTCGATCGTGGATCGTGCGCAGTGCGCAGCGTCCCATGTGGACATTGCTTTTCGCGATCAGTACATGGTCCGCTCGGACATGTGGAGACTGGTCATGTCGGAATTGGCTGAGAAGATCGTCTACAAGGGCCAGAAGATCGTGTTCATGGGTAGTATCAAGGCAACCGTAAAGAATATTTTCATTCGCGAGAAGAAGGCGCTCTCGGGATTTTTCTCTCCGCAGACCATTCCGGTGTTTCGCAGCGAATCGGCAAAGTATGTGCTGTTCATTCAGATGTCGAGAGAAATGTGGGATTTTGATTCCGAAGGCACGGGCGACATTCTCTTCAGTCGGGTCATCAATGGCTTTTTGCCGGAGCTTTTCAAGCGGTGGGCCAATACCGATGCTAGGCATCTAGTCACCATAGTGCTGTTTACACGAGTCGAATACGATGCGTCGGCCATGGGAACCTCGACCACTTTGAGCTCGGAGAATCTGAAGAGCATGTTTAACCCGAACCATGTGCCTACGCGAGACTTCTATCGAGTAGTGGTGAACGATATGGCGAGTGGCCATTGGACCACGATCTTGGATGAGTTGAAAAAAGATTTTCGGTCATTCTTGAGGGATGTTTCAATCCTTCACCATCATGATGCCGATACTCCCACCGCCAATGGCGCCAAACAAACCTCGCAGGACCAGCCGCCAACAATCGCAGGACGGCCGAGTACCGCTCTTCGCGGCAATATTCTCGAGGCAATTCACTTGGCGTCGTCACATCTGGCATACGATCACATAGATCGGGACATGGTGCATACAGGCACGTCTATTATCGTCATTACTCCGGGAAGTGGTGTTTTTGAAGTGTCGTATGAGTCTTTGGCGTCTACTACAGAGGCTCTCACCAATCGTGGGATTGCCATCGATCTGGTCTGCCTCAGTCCCATGCCTCTTCACTCCGTGCCTTTGTTCAAATACCGAGAGCCTGTTCGAAGACCGTCGAGCTCTTCGTTTGCTGAAATTCAGAATGGTGGCTACTCTCCTGAGATGCACCATTCGTTTGCTAGCTTGGTGAATCGCACATCGCATCTTTCTCCTAAATCAGTCATACACGACTCCCTCCCTGGAATGGGTTTCAAGAAGCCGTGGTCCTCAGGATCCCGAGATTGGAACTACGGGATTCCCCACTGGTTGGACATATCGTACTGGAATCCTGCAACGTACAGGGAAGCCCGACGAATCTTGAAAAAAGACCCCAATGCACCGATACCATTCACGGTCACCAGAAAGTCCAAGCTGTTTGTACCCAGAGTTCGAATGTACGAAATCCAAATGAATGGGATCATGGAGAGTGAACAATCCAACATTTCCATTCCTTATCTTCTGGAGGGACAAGGTGCTGCTCGAGGCCCCAGTGCTGGTCTCAGTATGAGCCCCGGCACTCTGGCTCCTGCCAAAGCTTCCCTCACTCGCAATTCCTCGTTTAGGCACCAGCTAGGTGATAGTCTGCGGCCCGAACCATTTCTTCAAAATATGCCGAAGGACGTGATGATGGCGAAATCCAAGAAATTGGCGCCGAGTTCGACGCTCGCATGGATGGACAGCTACGACGATAGTGTGTTCCATCCCTTCCCTAAACGGCGTCAACGCCGAAAGCCTGTAAAACAGAAGCGTCCAAGTGAGCCCGATGTGCAAATATCCAGTGCGCATGACCGCATTTCGGCTCGATCGATTTCACATCTTCGGAAACATGAAACTGAGTCCAATGAGCGCGAAAACCCAGTCATATCCGAGCCTCGGAACATTGACGGGTCGTTGGCAATCCCAAAGAGCCCGGTTTCTACCAAAAGCGCATCTCCCAAAAAGCCTGCCCTTAAATCGAGTTCTTCGTTGAAGTTGCCGCGTATATCGCGAACCATTAGCTTTGCTCTGCGCGGTCTGACTGCCGCTCCACCTCGCGCTCAGGCGAGCACTGAGGTCAATGTAGAACATGCTAGGGGTATGCCAACGTCGAATCAGAAGAAGATCACAGGCGTACTTGCAGACAACAAAAGTACGGACTCAGCGAGTATATCCGATAGTGCATCGACGTCCACCGTGATTGATACTTCTGCCCCAAGCTCCACACCTCGAAAGTCCATCGAGGGTTCTTCTATGACCCCCACGCGACCGATCTCTATCAAAGTGCCTTCCAAACAACCCGATGAGAGCTCGGAGCAGCCAGAACGTACTGAAATTCCAGAGTCCTACTCAACAACTGGCACCGAGATCCCCCTCAATGAAGACGCCCGTCACGAGGCTCAGTCGAGAAAGCGTGGTCCCAGGTTTGAGTTAACGGTGAACGGCGGCTCGCGCGGTGGGACACCCAAATCTCCCCAGAGCAAAGCACTGGCTCCCTGGGTTCGCTCGGTCAATCCATGCAATACCCCTCGAGATGTCTTGCGGGATACTAGTTGGTTTGGACGCTGGCAACATGCCTATCCAAGACCGCCCCACGTCGCTGTGGTCAAATGGAAGAGCTTAAAGTCACCTGCCATTCTGCCACTCACGACGGAAGAATTCCCCAGTGCAAGCGAACTTGCTTCGGACTACCTGCAAACACCATATCGCGTCTTTCCCAACGATGATCCTGAGGGCACTGAAGCTCCCAAAACTCGCGGCGTGCTCCTGCGAGAGATGATCTCTCTTCGCCTCTCTCACGGATTTCAGATCGTCGTCGGGAAAACTGTGGTCGAAGTCTCGGGGCAGTATGCGCTGCAATCTCCCAACGTCTTTGACACCCAAGGGTTAGAAAAGGATGGGGCCACTGTCTTCTTGTCGAAGGGGAACACTATCCACCGGCTGATCTGTATTGATAGTGCGGAGATTGAAGTCACGCGGTTTACTCATCGGGTTTCTTCTTCCTTATCGTCTGAAAAGAGGCCTAATTTCAGTATTTACTCTCCGGCCATGCGCACAATATTGAGCCCTGAATATGGGATCAAAGACATAAGACTCGATTCAACTGCCGAGGAGTACAACTGGAATTATGCCGATAACTATGTTGCCGGGCATCGAGATTATCTGTTTAACCCAGCCCAGCAACTGCAATTCTGGCGTGTACGTTACGTGCTCATCCCGATGCAGCTGCATGTTCAATCTCGTCGGCATATCCAGTCCTTCAACGAGGATAACGAAGAAGAAATCCATCTACTCGGAATCAATCAACTCACTCATATATGGCAACGACACAAATACGTGCCCCCAGAGGAGAAGAGGTTCGAGAGCTCCAACAAAAAGAGAGACCAGAACCCCCTCAACATCATGTATCAAACCCGGAACCCACCTGAGGTGGTTGCTGCAGAGCTGGATCGAATCTTGCTTACAGACCCTGGGCTGGATAACTCCCCTGCGCAACTGTTACCCGAGTCAGAGTTACTTGAGCGCTCGAGCATTAGTCTTTCTTCGTTGGCACAGATTATCCAAGGGGATAAAGGTGTCCGAATGATGGACCGCAGATGGCACTGGCGATTGCATTACAACTGTTTCATCGGCTTCGAGCTCACTACCTGGTTACTTCAAAACTTCCGCGATATTGACAGCCGCGAGGAAGCAGTTGAATTCGGCAACGAGCTGATGAAGCATGGTCTATACCAACACGTCGAGAAACGACATAATTTCCGGGACGGAAACTACTTCTACCAGATATCTAGCGAGTATCGGATCTCGCGCCCTGAGTCTCGCGGCAGTTGGTTCCCTCAGATCCGAACCGACAAGTCGGTTCCTTCTACGCCGGCCGGCGAACGTCCCCGAGATTCGCCAGCTAGCATTCCTAGTGCCCATGCTAGGACAGAAAGTACGGACGAGTCCACAGCGCAGACGCCGAATACTCCATCCAAATCCAAGAACAAAGCCACGATCATGCTGTCGAAGTCGATGAAATATGACGTCGATCCGCGCAAACGATCCAATCGACCCGAGGTCATTGATCTCCACTACGATCGACTGCATAACCCGGATAACTGCTTTCATATTGAACTTAGCTGGATGAACACGACTGCGAAGCTGATTGAGGATACCGTACTGTCATGGGCTGCTACGGCGGAAAAGTTCGGGCTCAAGCTTGTGCAGGTCCCAATCGCCGAGGCCTGTGCCATTGACGAGACGCAACCGTTCCGAAAGCCCTATCTTGTCAAGCTTACAACGCTCCCTCCCAAGGCGCCTGCTCCTACGCTGTTTCACCACGGATCGTTTTCGCAGCAGGGTACCCCCGATCGTCACTACTTCCAGAAAGCCCTCTTGCGCAAATTCGAATTTGTCCTAGACTTCGAGGCGCGGTCCGCCTTCCCTGCCGACGTGGAGGTGTCTTATTCTTGGGGCATTCCTGATTACCGTTATCCGCAGTATATCCACCGATCCGGCAGCGTTCTGGCACAGATCACCGACGAGGGTGACTTTCTCTTCCTTGCCAATCGGCTAGTCAGTACACGAAGTGCTGCCAGTCGCGATATGCCTCGACACGACCGTTCCGACCAATACCGAGCGAGGGCTAGCACGTATGATCCTATGGATCGTGCATCGCCTCGCCTGTCCCCCATAACCCGCCCAATTCACGACCCCAACAGCCCCATCAGCCCTCAGGGCCCGACCAGCATTGATTCGGCCAACCTCTACCGCGCCCCCGAGCACATTTTGAGCGCGTTCGTGGACTTCTGCAGCGACTCAACCAAGCTGGAGCAATTCTACAGCGAGTCTCTGATCCGACCGGTATCCACCAAGGTCGAACCGGCCCATACGCCTCTGATGGATTCTTCGATTCCTTCACTTGAGTTGCCGGCCAGCGTTGTCAGCCACCATATCTCCCCTCCGCCAGCACTTTCTCGGGGGGTACAGCCCTCGACGATTTCGTCTTTGGATTCGATCGCGCGGCCGCGAGAGGAACCCAGTGGGCATCGAAGTCCGCGAAGTACCGGGCTGCGACCGGTTCGATTGGTATGACGATGGGTTATGTGTTATGGCAGGGATGTACTAGACTATCTGTGGTTATGTAATGAGTTAGTTGATCAAATTAATGTCTCCAAGGTACCTCTACGCCTGTACAAGTCTACAAGAAGGCTGGTTTCTCATAAAAGGTTTCTCATGTTCTCATGAAAGGAACATGGCTTAGCCTGATGGCCTGACCAACCAGGCAATAAGGCCAAATTAGCCGAATTCAGGCTGAAAGGCAAAAAGCATCCCAGGCCGCTTGGCATCTCCACCGGTCTTCCTCTGCCCATCCAACTCCCTCCTTCGATTCAGCTTCCCAATTGTCCCTCCCTTGCCCCGCCTCAGCTGCCATTATCAGACGACTGAGGGGAAAGGAATCGCCCTAGTCGACCACGCTCAGTCCTGTCCTCGGACCTTAGCCCTTTCCGGATATGGGCTCAATGATAAATTAATCGGCTCCGCGCCTGGTTTATCCGGTGCATTGGGGGATACCGACTACTTAAATGGCCCTCCGGCGGGGTATTTCCTCCGAGCTGGGGGTTATCGATTCTTCCTGTCTTTTTCTCTCTTCTTTGGTCAAGCACAATTGACCCATTGCTCAATTGCCCAGCATGAAGTTCACCGAGGGAATGTGGCGCCTTCGCGTGAGATAATCCCAGCTTCTTCTCCCCATTCTTCCTGCTTGGTCGCAATTCCAGGGCAGACTGGCTAACTCTGCGTGCAGGAAGGCATTCGCATTGACTGGATGAACAATGTCGAGAGACTCAGCGTTGAGAATGACTCGGTCGACCTCCTCTTGAATAAGTTCCAGAGACATCGTGGAGACACGCTAAACTCAGGTCCGCCCGTCCCGTTAATCGTGGAGTTTTGTGGGGAGGTTCAATGACTGATCAGCAATTTTGTCTTCTTTAGCGGCCATTCAAGCTCATGTCACTTCTCCCTTGGAGGGTATTATCGGGGTGAAATTTGTCCATTGGTATGTGGCTTCTGATTGTCGCATTTTTAGCTTTGATAGAGTTTCTACCGTTTCATTATCGTTCATCCTCTCATCCGTTTTCTCTGCACAATAGGGCTGGCCAAGTGGACAATGGCCCTCACTACAAATTGGCCTCCTCATACGGTCACACCAAGATCCACCACGAAAAGAGCAAGACGCTGCAATACAGCAGTGGTCCCCTAGACTTGAACATCAAGACTGAGGCAAATGAGCTGGATTTCGTATTCTCGGGAGCCAAGGGCAAGCTCACCGGCCACTCGTGGCGATCTATCGGATACATCGGAGACCAGACGACGGAGAAATCCCGCTGGGACGATGGTATCTTCTTCGAGCGCCAGGGATACATGCTCGCGGCGCTGGACCTGGGCGTCGGCGAACGGGTCTATGGGCTGGGAGAGCGATTCGGGCCCCTCGTCAAGAACGGACAGACCGTCGACATCTGGAACGAGGACGGCGGCACCTCATCCGAGTTGGCATATAAGAACATCCCGTTCTACATCAGCTCGAACGGGTACGGTGTCTTTGTGAACAACCCCGGCAAGGTCAGCTTGGAGATTCAGTCCGAGCGGACTACGCGCGTGAATCTCTCCATCGCTGGTGAGGAGCTGGAATACTTTGTGGTGTATGGAAGTACACCCAAGGAGATTCTGAACCGGTACACGGCCTTGACCGGTCGTCCTAGCCTGGTTCCGTCTTGGAGTTATAACCTGTGGCTTACTACCAGTAAGTGGTCTTTCTCTACCAGATCCCTCGTTGCCTAGCTAGTCCGGCTCTGACGCTTGTGTGTCCTTGTTCTCAGGTTTCACAACCAACTACGACGAGCAGACCGTCACTGGTTTCTTGGACGGGTTCCGGGACCGGGACATCCCCCTAGGCGTCTTCCACTTTGACTGTTTCTGGATGAAATCCTACCAATGGTGCGACTTTGAATTCGACTCCGACATGTTCCCCGATGCTCCGGGCTACCTCAAACGATTGAAAGACCGGGACCTTCGCATTAGTGTCTGGATCAACCCTTACGTTGGACAAGCATCGCCGCTCTTCGCGGAGGGCAAGAAGAATGGCTATTTCATCAAGGTGATTTCCCTCTCCCTGTTAATATCACGCAGACATCCTGACACGCACACAGCGCACTGACGGCTCCGTCTGGCAATGGGACTACTGGCAAGCCGGCATGGCCGTCGTCGACTTCACCAACCCGGACGCCTGCGCCTGGTTCTCGTCGCACCTGAAACGCCTTATGGACATGGGCGTCGACAGCTTTAAGACCGACTTCGCCGAGCGCATCCCCTACCGCAACGTGCAGTACCACGACGGGTCGGACCCCGTCCGCATGCACAACTACTACACCCTGCTCTTCAACAAGGTCGTCTACGACACCATGATCGACCGCTACGGCGCGTCCCAGAGTCTGCTCTTCGCCCGCAGCACCGCCCCCGGCGGCCAGATCTACCCAGTCCACTGGGGCGGCGACTGCGAATCCACCTACGAAGCCATGGCCGAGTCCCTGCGCGGCGGGCTCAGCCTCATGCTCTCGGGCTACATCTTCTGGGCCTCCGACATCGGCGGCTTCGAAGGCACCCCGCCGCCGGCGCTCTACAAGCGCTGGGTCCAATTCGGCCTGCTGTCCTCGCACTCCCGCCTCCACGGGTCCTCTTCCTTCCGCGTCCCCTGGATCTACGGCGAGGACTGCAGCGCCGTGCTGCGCGACTGCGTCAACCGCAAGATCCTCCTCACCCCGTACCTCCTCGCTGAGGCCCTCCGCGGCCACAACGAGGGCGTGCCCCTCATGCGGCCCATGTTCCTCGAATTCCCAGAGGACTTGACCACCTACCCGCTGGACACGCAGTACATGTTCGGCCCCAACCTGCTCGTGGCCCCCGTCTTCTCCGAAAACGGCTCCGTCACGTTCTACGTCCCGCGCACCCCCGAGGACGACGCCGGCCGCTGGATCTCCTGGTTTGATCACAGCAAATCCTACGAGTCTGGGCGCTGGTACACCGAGACGCACGGCTTCGAGACCCTGCCCATCTTGATCCGTCCCGGGTCGGTGACCCCGATCAACGCGAAGTTGAAGGCGCCGCAGGGCGACGCGCTCGATGGGCTGGAGGTGCTGGTCAATGGATCGTTGCAGGACAAGGAGATCAAGCTGGATGTCGTGGATCCGAGCAACACGGGCAAGGTCTTGAAGGTGGTTACCGTTGGGGCCAAGGATGGGGCGGTGGTTGCTGATGATGCCGCGGTGAAGGTCACTTGGGTGGGACGGTAGATTGTCGTATGTCCTCCAATTGTCTTTCGTATTACTCCGTAGAAATCTAGCTTATCAATGAAAGATCACGATTAGTATCCATGCCAGAAGACCGTTATTACCGTAGTTCTTAAGTTGAGTACGATTTGTTCTACCGTCAATTGAAAAGGGTCAAAATCATATTTGAATATTAATGTATGCATTCACAGCTATGATGACTGACGTGACTGGCGCTTCACATCATCACTCATGCTCGTATATCATGAGTCAGTCATGCATGAATCAAAAATAAAAACATATGGGTATCATGATGTTCAGCAAGAAAGGTAATAGTCAAAAGAGAAAAGGATCCAACCATCAGGTCGGCCAAGACTTGTTCACGTCGTCGAGAAAGTGACAAGGGAAGAAGAAAATGATGAAAGAAATTGGTGAAAAAAAAAGAGATGAAAGAGAAGAATGGAAAGGAAAAAGGGTGAAAAGAAAAAAGAAGAAAACCAAGAAAGACGAGGGAAAGAAACGTAGAAACAGCGGTCAACCCCTTTCCCTCAAAAGCTGACTGAATCGATGCGAATTTACCATGCTTCTTCGACATCAAGAAGCCACTTGCGCACTCCCTCTCTCAGTGTGTTATCCGGTCCAGCCAACGATCGCTTGCGCTCTCGATCAGCCAAACCAAGTTCACCGTCGACATCCTCGCGGCAGTGCTCGGCAGTTACGCTGCGAACAACCTCTTCCAAGGCGCCTAACACCAGCTTGCGGCATTCTGTACGGGGAACTTCGAGAGGAGGCACTTCATCCCTACTCGCAGTGTCCGATGTAGATTTGTCATCTCCCTTGCGAGCTCGGGACGGCGATGGAGCCCGCGTGGGTGCTAGCGAGGAGGGTCCACTCTGGGCGAGGACCCGTTCCAATGCATCAACTAAGGTGCCATCCAGATCCATGACGGGCTCCTCGACGAAACGTTCCTCAACTTCGTTGGGATCGTATCCATCAAGAATGGAATGGACGGAGGTCCTGCTGGAGCCGGTCCCTGGTGTAAAGAAGTTTGTGAATTGGGAAGCAGACGTAGAGCCTCCCGGGATGTGTCTCGGAGTTGATGGATGGGATAGCACCGAGGGTGAAGACGGAGTCTGCCAAGCATTACCAACAACCTTGCGCCTCAGACGCAGTCGCTTGACGGTAAATGTTCTGGCGTCCGCAACCAGTGTCGTCGCGACATCGACCCATCTTTCCGACCCATCCATATCCCCAGATGACGGAATCGGTGTTGGTTCTGCCTGCATGGCACGCTTAATATCGGCCTCTAAATTGGCATACGGACGGACCGCTTGAAGCAGGAAATCCTCGTGAAAGCTCTTCAACCAGCCAGCAACATTCACACCCGGTCCATCACTGTCTCTAAGCGGGCCATGGAACCCAGAACTGCTGCTGTGTGTGGAAGCCAAGGCATCAACACTAGTCACTGACGTACGCGTCTTCTTTGGAGAGGAGATGGTGGAGTCGCCGGACGAAGAAAGGGAAACGAATCCAGGTAGCGGAAGGTCCACATCAACAACTCCATCATCCCCGCGCACGGATAACTTCAGGGAAGATTCTCTAGTTTGATCAGTCGTCGAAGAAAGATCGGGTGTGTCTTCTTCGAGACGCTGAGAACTTGAGGAGTGAGGGATAGAAATGTTACCACTAGTAGACGTGCCCGGAACAGGATCCTTCGGCATAGGAACCGATGCTTCTTTGACCATTTGGGAAAGGGTAGGAGGCCCTCGTTTTGGAGGACCTGCGTAGACGGAGACGGAGCGCTGGCGGGCTTCGACCTGCGAGGCAGCCGGTTCTGAATCCTGACGAGTCCACAGGCCAGAGAATAGGTTGCCCCATCGGCCACCAGTAGATGGGAGACTATTGTTGGTACAAATCGCGGAGCTATCGCTTCTTCGCAAGTTCTTGAGAAGGTTCTCAGACGCCAGGCTATCATTACCTTCAGTCACAGCGGGATCCGCTCTCTCCCGCTCGGATCGGCTCTGAGAGGCAAAGTGTGGCACCGGCACAGTCGTGCTGGGAGTGGCAGTAGACGTCGTGGCCACCCCGGCATTTTTACTGATCCGAGGATCCTTTGCATGCATGGGCACGGCGATGGTGCGAATGGAACGTGCATCAGATCCTCTCCGGCGTGAGCTCGTGTCCATCGGCCCCACGGTGTCAGTCTCATCCGCCGAGCGGTGCGCAGTCTCAGTAGACGAAACGCTGACGGACCGTTGGTGTTGATCTCGATCATTGAGAGTGAGACGTTGTGCGCGTGACCGCCGTTCGATGGCTCTTCGCAGGGACTCCTGCCGGAGGACAGGTACATTGGGGGGGCTTTGTGAGATTGCGCGCGTAGAAGCCGATGTACCAGGCCGGAGGGGGGAAGGGAGCGGCTCAAAACGCTGCTTCGGTGGGAGAAATGCAGCTAGCAGAAATATCAAACGACGAGCCGTCATTTTGTCTGGTGAAATGATGACGGTGCGATTTGCGAGAATGGGATCCGCCTCCTGTTGCTGGGCTTTCTGCTGAAGAAAGTGTCGACGGCGATACCAGTCCGGACCTAGTACATTGAGCCACTCGGTGTGGTTCCCCAGAAAAGCCGTAATGAGAACCAAGAAGAAGAAACTGTGCTCTTTGTCTCCGAGGCTGCGGACAATCGACCGACCTTCCTCGCGCCAAACTCCCCACCGACTCTGTCCAGTCACAACATGCGGGGTTTGCAGCGCGGTACTGATGCGACGAGTGCTTCGAATAGCCTCCTCTTTCAGCTTCGAATTCACAGACAATATATTTGCCGGCAAATGGATGATGGTCTGGTTCGTGCGTTGCATGTTAGGGGCTTTCGCGGGCTTCGGATGCGCACCAGAGGACGCGTCCACCTTTTTCAAGAGGAAAAGAAGTTCCTTTCGTGAAAGCCGCTCTAAGTGCGAAAGGGCACGATTGATGACGTCCCATTGATCCACCAACAGATCAATCCGCTCATCCAAACTAGCCGGAGGCGATGCCATTGATAGGCTATCATCTAGAAAACTAGGGCGCCAACGATAATCCGAATCCAGCGAACAAGACATTCCTGGTTTGGGCGAGTCTGCACCCTGGGTGCTAAACCGGGAGACGGGCCGGCCAGTATTGCGACCCAAAAGCGGAATCTGAATCGTAATCGCCACAGCATACATTGGGGTCTTCTTTTCCTTGATCTTCTTGCGCTTGGTGATGTCGGGAAAAGGAAATCCGGTGTCACCGAAGGATTCTTGATAGTAGGATGCCGGCATATCTGGTTTGTCAGGGGATGCATCACCAGTCTCCGGCAAGTTGACGCTGAACATTCTCGTTAAGAGAATAGTCACCTTGGATGGCGGCTTGGAATCGTTGAGGGAGTTGGGGCTTGCGAGATCTGGGCTTCCAGTAGTATGTGCCCGAGACATGTGACTGCGGGTTGTTTGGTTCGTGGTCGAGGCCTTTCCAGGTTCCTCATCGGCGGATATGATGTGCATCTTCGTCGAAGAACCCCGATAGCTGAAAGCACTGCTGCCAAATATGCAATTCAAGAGGCTCGTGTCATTAGAGTCGGCTGAGTGGCGCGAGCTACCAGCATCATGAAAGCTGCCGGCAGGTGCAAGAGTCGAGCTGCGGCCACGGGCACGCATGAAAGCGCCGGAGGAGAGGGGCGGAGAACGGCGTGTTTCCGTGGCGAGTGAAAATGGACTGGGGTCGACCACCGGTGCCTGAGACAAATACCCTCGACGAGCCCCTCGGGAGAGAGTCGAGACCGTCCGTGCATGTCTTGCACCAGAGCTGTCCAATGGCGGAGAATCCAATCCCAGACCATGAGCGTTTGTCTCCGATGCGCGAGTATCCAATAAAACACAAGCATCTTTGTCTCCTAGGGCATTCTGGGCAATGATGACACGAAAGTCCTTCATTGGGTCCAAGTCCACCCCAACCCCTCGGTCATCGTAAGCACCTGCCGACGAGGCATTCGGAGAATTCACGGTAGTGTGGAGGGGGTATGCATAGGTGTTCGAATGGCGGAGAAGGCTCGCATCGGGAAATAAGAGGCCAGAGGTGTGCTCCTCTTCCGTGACGGATTCAAGCTGGTGGGCATTTTTGGTGGAATAGGCCGCAGGATTCAACGTGGACGCTGCGGTGCTCAACAACCGTCCGAGCATGGTGATCGAAGCGGAAGATAATGTACGAAAAGCAGAAAGAAAGGAAGGAAAGCAGTGGAAAAGAAAGAAAGAAAGCAGTTATATTAGAAAGAACTGTAGTTCCCCATTCTTCAAGCCTACCGAGCAACAACCATGATCGGAGGATTGAAGAGCCACTTGGGAAGGAAATAATGTGCAGTAGAGGTGGCGGTAGATGAAGACAATTGAGGGGTACTTTTCCCAAGCAGAGTGGGACCGATCAACGTGGATTCAGGGCTAGGACCCAAAATGGATGGGTGAGGAAGCAGAGCAGCAGTGAATTGAACCCCCGAGCCGGAGCAATCAGAGCAGGGAGTGGAGAGAGAGCGGAGGGGAGAGGGCGAGGGCGAGGGAAAAGGGAAGAGAAACGAAGGGAAGTTCGGAAATGCAAAAGGGCGGTGAGGGAGCACATGATCTCAGCCTCATCGCATGCGGCCGGACGCTTCGGTGACACAAACCACCTCATCTTGCAGATGACAGACGGCCGCCTTCCAGGATCCTGTCCTGGAATTCCAATAGCCGTCCCTTTTATTCTCCAGGGATCCCGGTTCGATGCGGAGAAATGACTCAGAGAACATGTTCGCTTTTGATTGATCGAGAGGTCATGATTTACCTGACCTAACTATGGTATCCTGATTTACTGATTAACACCCCATCCCTACACCGTGTACTACCTAATGCTGTGCCTTTCGCTTCACTTTGTCCACCAGACTCTTCAGTTCTTCATTGCCTTGTGGCGGCTTGGACGCATCCTTCTTCTGCTTCTTATTCTTCTGCTTCTTGTCCTGCGTAGGAACCTCGTCTTCGTCCCCACGCTCGTCCCGGTCCCGTCGCCGTTTGCGTCCTTCGTCCAGCAATGCCTTCATACCCGATGTACCCTTGAACCGAGGGTTGGTCGGGTCGATCGCATACTCATGGCTCTCGAACAGTCGGGAGAATCGAGGATCGCTGACTTCCATCTGGAAATCATCCTGGATCTCGGGAGCCGGCTTGCCCTTGCCCTTGCCCTTCTTCTTCTTGCCGGCTTGTTTCTCGGCCTTCTCGATTGCGGTCATGTCGAAATGCCGGATGCCCTTGTTCTCGTCGTCCATCATCAGAAGCTCCAATTCAGCACGCTTGGCTGCTTCCGCCGCCTCCACTGCCTCCCGCTCCGCCTTCTTCTTGCGCTTCTCCTCCTTGCGGCGAGTTGCGGCAGTCACCTTCTCACCAGGATCGTCGAAGAAGGGGTCGTTGAATCCCAGGTCTTCTTTCTCTCCTTCAGATGCATCGTCGCCCTTCTTACCCGACTCCACAGTCTGATCTTCATTCTGCTGATCCCCATCACCTTGTCTGATTGCCTTGAGTTTCTCCTTTCTCCGCTTCTTTCTCTCGCGCTCTTTGCGCACGTACTTGTCAAGCGTAGTCTCTTCCTTCTCGGGCTCATTCTCGAAGATTCCGTCCTTGTTGGGGCCTCCCGCAAGACCAGAAGTGAACGTAACCTCCATTTCACCAACGGGTCCATCTGATTTGGACGCGCGGGACGGCTCCGAGCTCAAGCCCAGAAGGGCTCGCATACGCTGCCTTTCTTCCTCTTTCTTAGAGATCTTGGAGCTCTTTCCATCTCCCTGTGTAGCGTCAACAATCTCCACGCCCCCCTCCTCATCGCTCTCGGACTCGTTGTCGGAACTGTCACTGGCAAGATAGGCTTTCAAGTCATTCTCGTCGATGTCTTTCCGGCTGCCTCGGAAAGCGCGAGCCTGGGCTTCCTTGCGCGACTTGTCCTCCATGTCCCACGTCAACTTGACTTTGCTGTGCTGTAAGGCATCGGTGACGAATTCGTTGGGCTGGTAGCCATCTGGGATCCGGCTGCATTTATCCCGGGGTTTGTCATCGGAAAAGTCGGTTTCGTCCGGCACAAAGCGAAGGTCGAAAAAGTTGGCACTCGACAGGTATTCAGCTCCGTCCACCAGGTCATAGACATGCTTCGCAGCTTCCCTGGACGAGAACGTGAGGATAGCATAAAAGTAGCGCAAACGTTCCAACTGGTACTTTCGTAGCTGTGTAGAGTTGAATTCCTCGCCCTTGTCTTCCTTCAACATGGACTTCTTGATCTCTTCCTCGTCTTCGTCGGAGCCGAAGTCCTCAAATTCCTCCTCCTCAGAATCCTCATCGGACTTGCCATCCTTGCCGGAGGCAAAGATCTCCCGAGGAGGACCCTCCGCCTCCTCTCGCTCCATCCGCTCCTTTCCAAATTCACTCGGGTAGACCGCAACATTCAGAACACGGCCACCGGTGGGCGCGAAACTGGAGAACACGGCCATCAAATCCTCCGCCCGGATGTTATCCCAGTCCAGATTCACCACGGCAATCCGCTTGGTCACGTCGCCCGTGGGTATACCAGCCTGTTCCTTGTCAGGGAAGTCAAGCTCCTCACCCTCACCAAGCTCGGCCTCGTCCTCGTCGTCTTCTTCGTCACTGGTTTCCTCCTCGGACGAAGAAGATGAGAAACCTCCATCTCGCGCAGGATCATACGATTCGGCCTTTTGCAATTCCCTCAGGACTACGTCGTCGTCCTCGCCACTAACTTCTGCTTCGTCGTCATCTTGTTCGTCTTGTTCGTCTTGTTCGTCCAGCTGGTAGAATCGTTCCAGCTGCTTCTTCGTGTCGTCTCGGGCGAGCTTGCGTCCGTAGCGGTCAACTGCGGCGTTTCGAGAAAAGTCCTTGTCGCGCAGCATGTGCGCGAAACGCTTGTCGAGTTTCACATGGGTCTGGCGTTTGCTCGGAAGGCGATACCGAGGGTCGGTTTGGATATTGGCAAATCGGGGATCCTCTGTAACACGCAGAAGTAAATGTTAGTTCATAGATGCCCTTCAAGAGCGCAAAACAGGCGGATGCCTCACTGATCACAGAGTCGGCCTGGCCTTTACCAGCGCCGCCCTTTTTCGATTTCTTCTGATCAGGCATTGTGACAAATCACATGCAAAAAAATAAGGGGAGAAAAAGTCAATTCAGGTGTGTACGCAACTGAATATCGTTGGAGGGAGAGGGAAAGGAAGAAAAAAAGTTGGATCGTCCAACGGTCGATAAAAAAAAGGCGGCCGATTGAAAGCGACGATAAGGATAATTTTCTGCGAGGAATGTGGCCCGTGCGCTCCTCCGCGGCTCCTCCGTAACTGGACTACCAGGAACTCCCCTACTGCCAGTACATTTAGGTTCCTGCTGTCGATCCCATTCAATTCATTGGTTTTTTTGAAAGTATATATATTTGAGCAACCTATAAATGCCGAATTATGTACTAGCCAAAATTTGTCATTGTATGCACATCCCAAATGCAACTCCATCACATGCTTCAAGAAATCAGCACCCGAAATATCTCTTTTCTATCCATCGGGGTTCACGCTCCTCTTCAATTCGTCCCACGATAACCTTCAGGTTAGGATATACCGTAGTCAATCGCTTAAGGCCGATCTTGCCGGCGGCACATGTCACGAAGACAATTTTCTTCTCTTCCACGCCGTGGTCAATCAAGATACGAACGGCCATCAAGGCAGCGCCACCACTGGCCATCTGGGGATCCATCAGCATAACGGTAGCATGAGTTTCAATACCATCGGGTAGTTTGAGGTAGTGCAGCTCGGGCTCTTCATTTCGCGCATTGGTTTGGATGAGGACACGACCCGTGATGCAATCAGGAATTGTGCGCTTGAGAGCTGTCTCGAGACAAGAGCCTCCTCGTAGGACTGCAACAGCAGACATAACACCTGCTGGGTTCAGGCCGTTATATGTGGTCCCTTGAGGTGTCTGCACAAATGAGGGATCGTACGCCGCACTGTCCAGAGCTCTGTTCCACTAGAATTAGCGGCTGATGCATTGGAGTTGCATGTTCCACGCAACTTACTTTTCGATCAGCAAAGAAGCCAGGCGGTCAAAATAGAACACAAAATCAACTTGTTCCGTGTCCGGATTCTGAAGGATTGTGTTCATGCCAATGAATTGGGGCGTTTGAGGCATCATCAAAACATTGGGAGAAAGTTGCAACTCAGAGGCGATCTTTTTCAGCTCACGCAGGTCTGCACTGTGCTTCTCCGATTTCTCCTCAAGTTTCCGCTGGATGTGTTTCACCACCATGTCTGGATAAGTGCGTTAGCAGATTGCAACGGTAATTTCGAGCGATACTCCTTACCAATGGCTGTCTTGTTCTCAATACCTCGAGGAATGATGATATCTGAATCGGTTAGACACGATAGCTTGCAGTCATTCGGGCTACATGCTTACCGGAGACAGATCGTTGGGGTTCCACATAGTACTTGTACGACGGTTTGACATATTGAAACCACTGTTTGATGATTCCATCGATGTCTCTTCCTCTCTCTCGAACATCGCGCATGACTAACCCACTCTCCCGTTAGAGCATTTTCTTCCATGATCAGGATCAGTAAAGATAACTCACTTCTGCGTCCCAGACAAACATCCATGTCTGCCTCTACAAATATCTGGATAAGAGCTGTCAGCACTTTGGAGCAAATAAAATAGCATAAAGGAGCAGGAATGGAAAGACTCTTCGACTACGCAGGTGCATATCCTACCTTAACATCCAACATGTCCATGATCCTTTGGTCATGCAAAGCTAGAATACCCTCCAGAATCAGGACTCGGGGAGAATAGAGGGTGGTCGTCTGAGGTTGACGTTGATGGTGGGCGAATGAATAAACGGGAATGTCTGCCTTCTTCCTTTGTTGTTGAAAGGTCGAGAGATGTTAGTTACGTTACAAACCATGCCTGCTGGTCGAGACCAGAGTTACGATGAGAGGGTTTTTTATCAGTACCCTTGCTTTAAGTCCTTCAAGGTGTGTACCAAGGCATCGAAATCAATGGCATCCGGACAGTCAAAATCAAATTCATTCCTATGCGCTTTGGCATGTTGGTCAGCGTCCAAGCTTTTGTAGAACGAATCCTGTGGCAACCAAGGTTAGAAGTTGCAGGAACGTTTTCCACAATTGGCATTTCTATGGCGTTTGAAGGAAATCAAGGCAATGATATACCATTACGAGGATCACCACCCAGGGGAGGTTTAGCGACTTCACGATCTCCATAGCCACCGAAGTCTTGCCGGAGCCCGAGCTACCGGCGATACCAATGATACTCAAATCCGCCCATGGTGGAGAGTAACGCTTCTCGGTGGCAGCCGAGTATACGGGCGAGATGGACTCCATTGTTCTTTCTTTCTTTCTTTTCCGGACCTGTCGACAGGGGCAAGTCAGGCCCTTCGCCACATAGCAGAAGCACGCACAAAGCCAACTGATAAGAGAGACGAATTACTACTTCTGTGCAGGCGCCAGACCGACTAACGCCCAACGCGGCTAGCCGCCGCGCTTGGGCTCTTCGGGCTTAGCCGGCCCTCGTGACTTTTTCGCTTGCGACAAAACGTGACCAAGCTTCCCGCCGCTTTTTCTTCCCGAGCTTTTCCTCCTCCTCCTCTTCTTCTTCTTTCTTCCTCACTGCATCTTCCCTCGCAGCATCCTCATGGCTCCCGTCTGCGAAGCTCTCCATCTTCACAGACGGCCATATTCTCAGTCCCAGGACATCTAATTGGATTGTCCCAGTATTCTTGCTACCACAAGCATACACCATGTCCACTGCTAATTACGTATGCTTCCCGACGTGCTGTGCGTACGTGGTTGCTTGGTTTTAACGGGAAACAAAACAGATGTCTCCCACTTCCTCGACAACGACGCCGACATGGCATCAGTTCGAACGGAAGGTGGAAGAGGTCAAGCCATCCAAGACGTGAGTTTCTCCCACCCCGTGTTTGTTTGACACAATTGCCCCTCCATATGATGCATTTTGAAAATCAAGTTGGGAATCTCTCTGAAACCATTTGAGGAGAAACAAATTAACTTGTCCTTCTGAACCCATTAATTCGCATGCGAATTTGAACGTGATTTGTTCAGTCGGCCGTGACTAACAGGTCAATACAGTGATATCAATGACTTGGTCATGGACTACCTCATCACCAATGGCTACCCGGCCGCTGCGAAGAAATTTGCAGTTGAGGCCAACATCCAACCCAAGACAGATGTGGAGTCTATTCAGGAAAGGGTAGCCATTCGAACTGCGATCCATTCTGGTAACATTCAGTCTGCGATCGAGAAGATCAACGAGCTCAATCCTCAGGTAAGACTCTTCCGTCCTATTCACCTTCAATCCACTTTCATCCCTTTTGCTATGATTATATCTTGTTTTCATGCACCACTCGTAAAACCTCTTCGGGGGTTTGACGAAAAACAAACATCTTCAGTCCTCAGTATGATGCAAATCATTATTCTATGCCATGTCCTGTCAGCATTAGCTTCGGTCGAACCATCACTAACGTGCTCGACCAAATAGATCTTGGATGAACATCCCTCGTTGCACTTTGCGTTGCTCCGTCTACAACTGGTGGAGTTGATTCGTACCTGCACGTCTCAGCCCAATGGAGATATCAGCCCTGCTCTGGAGTTTGCGACCTCGCATCTCGCTCCACGGGCGCCCACCAACCCTCAGTTTCTGGAAGATCTAGAGAGGACGTTGGCCCTTCTGATCTTCCCAACTGAGAACCTCACCCCATCCCTTGCCCCCCTTCTACACCCCGACCTACGTAAAGAGATCGCCACTCGCGTGAACGAAGCCATCTTGCAAAGCCAGGGCGCTCGTAAAGAGGCCCGGCTGCGCAACCTAGTCAAGCTGCGCGCATGGGCTGAGCAAAAAGCCCGCGAAGCTAAGAAGGACCTTCCCGAGAAGCTGGACCTCGGGCTCGGCGATACGAACGCCACCAATAATGACAAAGACGCCACGAAAGCCGGCCAAAATGGCTCTAATGACACCGTAATGACCAATAGCGGAGACGTCGACCCGATGATCTCGTGAAGTTGACTCCTAAAGGTCCCCTGGTCTTCGCTCCGGTAGCAATGAACCGGGACCGGGTCAACGATTTTTTTCCTATTCTTTGTTCCTACTACCTTTCTGTGTAGCGAGGTGTTTCTGGCGCGGGCTCCATTGGCAGTGATGCTCTTGTAACTTTGACCTTCTAATACCAATACCACAACTTTTTTTGCATCCATTTCTTATATCCACATCTACATTTTTGTCACGTACCGCTATCCTCGGTCTGCCGAAGTTCGCATGAAAGCAGAAATCTCTTCTGCTCATTCACCGATCCGGAGCGTCGTCGGTCCTGTCCTCGGAGATATATCTCTGACCTGATTCTATCCACGGACTCGGAGCCTCGGGATGAGTGCTCGGTGAACCTTCACGGCCTAGTTTCCTTTCCAATCGGTCCGCCTAGATCGATGTTTCTTCCGTCGGCGGATCATTAACTCGGAGTCGGAACTAGTTGGTTAGTTCGGAGTAACTAGTTTGGTCGTTAGGGGCAGCGAGCTGCATTGCGGGTACCTCTTCGTCCGGTTGAGTGGTTTCAACTTTTGTGTTTGATGGTGAACCGAAGGGATCTTTATGGATTGAGACTCATCTCGGGATTCAATGCTTGGACTTTCAGTCAAGAACTGAACCCAGTGTTTGGAATTTCGCAAATAAATCTGATGTTGCTGAGTTTAGGTTGTCAATGTTGTCGAAAGGGCGAAGTAGACTAGTGACAGGACCATCGCCGGATATATATTCAAACTTCTAGTTATTAAAGATATACTACACACTTACAACCCCAACTTCAACCCCCCAGAACAGTTATATCACAAGTAAATGAAGCGAGTACACAAAGTGAATCCGATCTATAATAGCAATAGAATTTCTTTTAATACATCTAGAAATACCACGACAGGTAGTAAGGTTTGAGTACATGAGTTAACTATCGGCCATTCAAATGCAACAAAGGAAAAAGATACTAAAGTGGCAGAGTAAATAAAGGGGTAAGTGGTAAGTTAGTTTTTCAAAATTCTCAATATCTAAACCGATCCCAAGCCAATTCGGAACGCTAAGACGTTAGTAGAGCTTGCGAGAAGATGCTCTTGTTCATGTGAGCTGTATGAAGGAAAGGGAGGATAGAATAAGGTAGATAGGCAGGCGTATCACGTAAATGGGGTGCGCCCCTTAAGATAATTAGAGTGGGTGGCTGCTCGTCTTAGGGAAAGGGGCGGGGTGACTGAGGTTAGTCTAGTGGGTTCAGGTTGAGAGATGTTTAGAAGCTCATGAGGTCTAGATAGTTTACTCGAGGTCAGTATTTGAGGATTCCCAAGGGCACAAGGATTGAGAAAGAAAGAACTAACCTCTTCCGAAAAGCGCGCGCTTGGCCCAGTCCATAGCAAGCATCACACGCGTGCGGAGACTGACACTCTGAGCGAAGTACACGCTACGCCAGAGATACATGGCCAGGACGCCACCGCTGAAGTTGAGACCGCCGAAATCAAACACGGCGGCGTTACTGATGTACGCCAAGCTTCCCAGGTGGCGGTACCGGAAGGCCTTGTACACGGCCTCGTCCAGATCGCCGTGGTCGATCTCGTTGATCCTCATGCCGGGAAGAGCGGCGGCCATCTTGGCCAGCTTGCGACCCAGATATTCGCCTTGCTGGTTGGCACGCTGGGCGGTGGCAGGCAGAGAGGTCAGCTTGGTGTCGATCTGGTGGAGGAGTTCGGAGAGCTCGCCGAAATCGAGGGTGCCGGAGTGGTCTTTGTCATATTGCTCGAACAACTTGTCGAGGCGTCGAAGGTGGTTGGAGGCCTGAGGGAAGCGCTTCTTCACTCTGGTGGCAACGTCTTGCCATTCCCGGAAAGTGAGGTGCAGCTTTTCGGGGTCCTTGCCTCTCTCCCACGCGATAGTGCGGAGGAAAGACACGATATGGTTTGCAATGTTATTCTGAACAGTAGAGCAATCACCAACGGCATAGACATCACCTAGAGGAGCTCCGATGAGGCGGAGATGGGAGTCCGTCTCTAGGGCGTGTTTGTTATTTTGCGAGTCCAGCTTGTCGGAAAGCTTCTGACACAGTTCAGCCCGAGCTGTAGGTCGGTTTAGCAGGCGACATGGCACAGGGTGATGGAAGGATTTACTCACAGACACCGGTAGACCACAAGCAAAAGCCCATGGGAATCTCCTTCGTAACCGTCTTTCCATCCTCCACTTGGGAGAAGACAACCTTGTCGTCGCGGACTTCCTTGACGCGAGAATTCGTCAAGACATCGACAGAGTCTCGGGCGAAACGGGCCTGCAATAATCAGCATCAGAATTTCCAACGACACTTCGAAGCAACGGCAGGGCATACTTCGGCAAATTTAGAGAGTGCTTCATCGTAAGTGTTAAGGATATGGGTTCGGCTCTGAATAATATGGACGGAGATTTCATTCCTCAGGATCCTCGGGAAAGAGTGAAGCAGATCTTCGTTGAGCAGGTCGTACAACTCGGCTGCGAATTCCACGCCCGTCGGGCCTCCGCCACAGACAACGAAGGATAGCAGACGTCTACGCTCCTCGTCCGTGGTCGTGGGCAGGCAAGCCATCTCCATGTTCTCCAAAACCTGGTTCTTGATCTTGCGAGCATCATCGATAGTCTTCAAGAAATGGCAATTTTCGAGACCCTTTACGCCATGGGGGTTTGTGATGCATCCTGGAACACAAGATGTCAGTAAATATCCCCAAATGCAGCTGTCCAAGCGACGACACATACCAACACCAATAACCAGCTTGTCGTAAGGCAGGTAAAAGCTCTTCTTCTCTCCATTAACATCCTCCCGAGACACCTCCACCAGTTTCTCCGAGAAATCCACGTCCACTGCCTCTCCCTTCAAGAAGTGGCCGCGGACCCGTTGGATGATACGTCGGACAGGCTCGACAAGCGACCTCAGTCCCAGAGTACCAACGGTCGCAGATGGTAGCATAGGGGTGAACAGGAAGTAGTTGGTAGGCGACACAACCGTGACGTGGTAATCACCCGGATGAAGCTGCTTCAGAAGCGCAATGCTACCCCAGCCAGTACCCAGGATGACCAAGCGCGGTTTCTCATTTTGCTCTGCCATTTCATCCGTGTCATAATCCCCGACCAGCACCTCGGCGATAGGCAAGTTCTTGGGTCCTCCTCGACGGGGGTTCAACGCCAGCTCGGAGACCGGGATGTCTTCGGCACTGGGACGTTCGCGGTATGTCGTCGCATCGTAGACAAAGAATGCCAGCACCGCAGCACCGCTCATGACAATGAAAAATCCACAGTATGTAAACGTTTTGATGACGGCATTGAGGGCAGACGACTTTCGGGGAAGTTCAGTCGGTGTGTCTGTTGTCGTTGTTGAGTTGTGTCGGACGGGGAGGTGGCTGTTGAAGGTGCGCGACGCGAGACATTGAGGCACCGCATTGTGACGACGAGCCAGAAGTCGGGCTGCCGAGAGTCTGGAAGAGGAAACGGATGGTTTGGATGAATATAGTCGACCTATTGATAGCCCAGCTCTTCTCAGCGCTGTGGTCTCCGGTCGACTCCGGAGCAACACTGCGCTCATGGCTTGTAGGGAGAGTGTTTATGCTCCAGCGAAGCACAAAGTTTTGAAAAGGGGGGGGGAGGGGGGGAATGAACAAGCTAATTAGGCTTCTATAAATTGACACAGAGAGAGCGAAATGAAAATTGAAGTAGGGAAAAGCGCCGCAAGTGAATTAATGATGGTTCCAGAAAAGGCTAACAAGTTGGCAGGCAGCGAGTTCCGACAGACGGAGGAAAAGAGATCAGATCACGTTGAGCAGGGAGCTTCCGGCGCTACGTCATCCTTAGCAGACCCTCTCGACCCAAGCCTTGCCAGACCCGCCCGGCCTGCCTTGCCGTCTTGGCGCCAGTTTCTTATCTCCCGGCGATCTGTTGATTTACTCCGTACATTGTAGGGGCATGGGAAGAAGTTCGTTGCCACTTGGCTATTCTCTGTAGTATGTTATACTAGCGCTAAGGATAGATGCTGTATAAATGGCACAGAAAACCACGGTCAGTCCCTCCTACGCCGCCACCAAATCGAAAATGCCTGCCCGAATATTTTGGATCAAGAAAAGAACAAGATAGAAAGATAGAAAAGATAGAAAGAAAATACAGAAGAAATAATATGATGCAAAGCAAGTCCGGGGGCAAAAATTAGAAAAGAAATAAGAGAGATGAGCCTGCCTCCCATGCCGCCCTAAAAAAAGACACAAAAATCGAATATAGATGCCGTAAAATGAACGAAAGCGTGCCGGATATTCCTAACGCCAGTCTCCGTTTCCCATATGCGACGTCTATGAGCTAAAGCAAATAACAACGGCCAAAGAAACAAGGTGTTGACGATTCCTTGATGGCCGTCAATAGGTTGGAACCGATCTTTCTCAGTTCCAATCCAGGTCTTCTTCGGGCTCCGTGCTGGCCCGTTTCTTTCCAGATCCAGGTTTCCTCCCACGGGGTCGCTTGGGAGGATTCTGTCCCGGGATGGAGTTCTTTCTTTTGCCAGGGCGTGGTGCAGCGGGCAGGGCCCCTGCCGTACCGGGGTCATCCATGTCGTCAAGACTGTCCCCGTCGGCATCCTCTTCCTGACCGATTTTAAATTCATCGTCAATGGCAAGCAACGTGGCGAACTCTCGGCACTTGTTGACCATGTTTTCCTCGCTGTCCAGCGTTGCGAAGTTGCGTTGGATGGCGTCCCAAAATTTGTCACCGGTTACCCCATGGACCTTAGTTGCTGACTTGTGAAGATCTTTTGCAGCTATTTGTCCCTTGTCTCGCACGTGCGCTGTGACGCCGTAGAGACGCCGAAGGTACGTTCGAGCCTCCCAGAGCATTGACAGGGATGCCGCAGCAGTAGCAAGTAGCCTCAATGTTTCCGGATTGACCTGTTGCGGCGGCGCCATCGTACCGGGTCCTTCAACAACGGGCATAGAGAATCCGTCCGCCGATGGGACCTGCGGAGGCTCTAGCTTGGCTGGGAAGATCTCCGTCTCGATGGAGTGGGCCACGACCGTACCAGTTGCAGACACAATGCGTTCCATACATCCAATAGTAGGCACCAGCTCCGTATGCTGGGCGTAGTCAAAGAACGCTAGATTCTGCGACACAAACCGAGCCAACAGAAGGTGCTCCGGAGGATTGCCCGTAAAGTCGAGTTTTTTCAATTCAAAATCGACCTTGGCACAAAGGTTGGCGAGAAACTTTTTCTGATATCGGCTGTTACTGATTTTGACAATCTCAAACAACGGCACGAGTTTGGCAATGAACGGGCGGCTGAGCGCACCGCTAGGGTCTCCCACAACATCCCGCTGATAATAGAACGCCTCCTGGACAGCTCGCATGTATTCTCTTTCGAACATGGATTCGTACTGCTGGTGAAGCATCTTGTGAGTGTCAAAGGCAATTTTCGCGATGGCCGGGACCGTTGATGTTTCCAGGGAAACCAAGACGCCCGCGCATTCCTTCGGGTGGACAAGACCTTGTCGGTTGATGCTGGCTATCAGTTCGATGGCAGTCAAAGCGTAAGAATCCTGTCGCGATTGTGCCACGCGAAGCATGCTTTGAAGGAAATGCTGCGCAATCAACGCAGCCGCCCCATCGTTGTCGCTGGCTTTCAAGGATCCTCCGAGTCTGGTGGAATTCTCTTGATCTGCAACTTCTGCTACGGGCATGACCGACTTCTCGGCCCGGCCCTCGTGCATCGCAAAGAAATCTGCAAATGCCCTCAGCACGATGTTTTGCAGACTGGGATTATCCTCCTTGAAAACCATGCCCAGTATCTTTCGTGGTTCTTCCCGGCTAAACTGACCCGGCCAGGATTGACAGATCGAGCCCAAACTTTCGAGGGCCATCACTCTCAGTTCTAGCGGCTGTCGAGGAAGAGTGAAAGGCATAATGGCGTCAACCATCAATCCGGCGACTGAACCACCCTTCCACCCGGGAAATGCATTTTTGAAGTGCGGTTCGTATTTTTCGAGGTCGCAGTGTCGCCCAACGCAGCCCGCGATTCGTATATAGCTTTTGGCCCTTGCTAGGACGGCTGTATTGGCACTATCCGAAAGGTCGATGTTCTTGTAGTGCTGTATAGGCTTTAGCACGGAGATAGTTAGCTTCACAAGTCTGTCTGTGTTGTGAAGCACTCCGTTGATGGTCCAGAGACAAGCCATAACCTCATTGAGCTCGGAGCGAGCAAGTTTGGCAACGCTTTTGAAAAGGTCGTTTTGAACCTCCTTGAGGAGGGTGTGATGCGCCGCGGACAAGAATGGTAGGACGCAACGATAGATAACCACGACGGACCGAAACAGGAAGAGATCCTCTGCCGTTGCGAGATGTCCAATGTAGGGGTGAAGGGTTTCGAGCTGATCGGGCCGGAAAAGCTTCGCGTTTGCCTTTGAAAACACGGTAATTGTCTGCAATAGAGCTTGCTGGAATTCCTTACCCGAAGCGTCGTTGCCTTCAACCAGCTTCTCAAACATCATGGACACCAGCGCCTTGCAAACTTTGAAGTTCAGAGATGCGGACTTGGATTTGTCGGATAGGATCTTCTTGAGACAATCTCCGAGGGTGTCAAGGGCTGTTTCGCTCCGTTGTACCAATTTGACAACCAACGTGACTCGTTCGCTGAGGCCAACCTTCAACTTTGGGCCATCCTGCGCGGAATCGACCAGCTCGTAGAAGGGCGCCAGCCATATTTCCTCGAATGTCTGGCGAGCCAGTGAAGCTACACCTTCTTCGAGATCTCCAGTCCGCTGGAGAAAGCTGTCCAGTATCGCTAGCTTCAGCTCTGCGCGAGATGACTTGAGGTAGATGTCTTTGAGCAAGCCAATGCAGCGTTTTCTCACACCCGCAGTGGAGTCGGCAGCGCAGGCCAAGATACTGCGGCACCCATCTTCTTCAAGCTTTGGCTTCAGCGTAATGCACTTGGCGATCAGCGAGAGTGCAGAATCGCGCACCATGGGAGATGCATCGGTTGCGCATCGCAGAATCACGCGCATGACGGATGCATCCCTATCAAGCAGACTCGGGTCTTTCTCGAGCATGTAAATCACACTCTTCAAACTACGACTGCGAACTTTGGCCTGGTCACTGGTGATAGAATTGAGAAGAACTTTCAGAATCGTGTCAAAAGCTTTGCAGAAGCTCGAGTTCAAAACCGTTAGAATGTAGGCGAATTTCCCATGCGCGGAAGGTATTGTGTCAAAGTGTTTATGAGTCTCCAACCACAGCGGGTCTGACAAAAGTTTCGCAAAAAGATCGACCAGATCCTCAGTTTCATCATCATAGGTAACTTCATCCTTGTCCTCGGGGTTGTAATAAACGGAGCAGAAGGTTTTGGCCCATTGCGCCAGGAAGTAACCCCGAGCGCTGGTGAGCTGCCAGGTATCGGAGTTGTGGTCTTGTATGAAATACTCCAAAGTCATTCGGTAAGGTCCCTCGGCGACCACGAGATCCTGAGGATGCAAAGCTCGGTTCGAATAATCATCGAACAATTGTCGTAAATAATCAGTGAGCTCACTGTCAGACTCTTCCATCCCTGGAAGCAAATGCTGAGCGGTCACTATGAGATCGGATATAGCGGACCCCATCCAGCCAAGCAGCTCTAGGGCCATGCTCTTTGCAGTGGCGGGGCTCTTATCTAAGTCGGCTATACCAACCATGTGAGACGCCATGATACGAAGAAGCAATTCGGCCGCTGGCCAATCCGTTGAGCCCAGCACCCCGATCAAATCTTCCGTAAAAAGATCGAGGATATTGCGGTACGGCTGGTCGCCAGTCTTGGTAGATGTCATCGCCCGCTGCACAATAAATTTAACGATATACTGGGCGCTGCGAACGGCATTGTCGTAAAGGCGGTTGACCTTGGTTGCGAGCTGCTCGAGTGAGATTTCGGAGTCGTCGTCCATTCCATTTTCCTCCGCAAGAGGCTCATCTTCGTCTTCTCCGGCAACATCGCCAGACGCTGATAGCTTTCGCTTTGTTTTCCCTTTTCGAGACGATGGTACTTCCAAAGCAGTCGTCTGCACAAGTTGCATCACTAACGCCGTGAGCAGCTGGATGTTCTTCCCGTCAGAGAGTTTGAACTGCCTGGCGCTTTGTCGCGTGGACGGAAGCTTCTCCAAGGACACTAGGATCTCATCGAGGATAAAAGGGCGTTGATCAGGATACTTGGAAAAGATCTTGGCAAGGACATCCATTGCACCACGTCGGACGGACTCGTACTTTTGAAATCCAACCGCGGAGTCCTTCTCCGTGTGGGCGTTTTCCACGAATATTAGTTTAGCAGCAAAGAACTCCATAGCCGTTACTGTACCCTCGGAGACTTCAATGCGTGAGAGGAAATCGGCGAAAAGGGAAAGGACTTTTTTGTTTTGTTGGACCACCCCCCCAATGACTCGCCGCTGAGCTGAGAAGAAGCCAAAGAGCTTCTCATCCTTACCATTAGGGCGTGCTTCCACCGCGGGGATAATACAGTGATCAAAGGACTGATTAAGTACGTTCGGGATGGCCTCGATCAGATCTTCAGGGCAGAGATCCCTTTCGGTCTGCGAGCCCGACATGGTTTGCAGCAACGTGCCGACGGCAAGAAGGGCATTATGTATGTCTTCCAACTTCTTTAACCAATCTTGAGTTTCGCCTTCGTTCGAAGGATCGTCTAGTCTCAAGTCTGGTGACTGCGCAGCAATAATAGGCTTTTCACAAAGTTTCTGGATTCTTTTCAGGTAGTCGGAAGGAATATCTTGAAGTCTTTTGAAGCCAACAACCTTTTTCAGAGCCTTCTGAAGGCGACTATGCGCATCGGAAGAGAGGATGCGCCCACTGACCTCGAGCGCATGAGCCGCGGTGAAAACAGGGTTCGACTGATCAGCAGCTACATTCGACGTTCCGGGCTCGAGTTGATCCTCGGCCTCGAAGACCTCGTGGAGAAGGTCCTGGAGGTTTACCAAAGCCGCATCTGCTTCCTCCTTTTGGTCTTTCAAACGTATCGAGGCGAGACTATCCTCCCCTTCCGCATTGAGCTTTCTTCTCTTTGACACTCCCCGATTATCGTGAGATGGGATGGGTTTTACTGGGATGACGACGGACAGGTGACTTGCTTGAGGGCCTTGCTGGTGATAAGACGCGGGGGTTTGCTTGTTGACCGCATGCGCTTTCTGGTTCCAGGAATTGGGTGTCTGCGGAAGCTTTCCGGTCTCAGCTTGGGGCACAGTGGGATCTGTCATAGGTAAGTAAAGCTTCTATGTATTTCCTGATCACAGTATCATCCTTACATCGAAACGCTATGTCCGTTGAATCCAGCATCATTTTTGCAAATGAGCCAAGGTTGTCGCGGCCAGAAGCCTGATCAGGACCGGGTGTCGAACGCTGGGAACTACTGATGCCTGCGGGCAGCTTGAACTTACTGGAAGATCAAGCGAGTAAGTATGATGTTGTCATGTTGAGGCATCCGGCAAGCTTACAATTCAGTCAGATGGTCTCCATCTAGCAGCTGCTGCAGGTATTCGCGCGACGTCTCCAAACGATCATCACGTCCGGACTGGATCTCGGCGTTCAGGTCATTCAACGCCGTCCGACCTGATTGAAGAATGTGATTGATGGAAGTTGTATTCGGAGGGCGACCGACGTCAGGACGTAAGATACAGTCTAAAAGGGAAGTCCACGAAGGTTTGTCAGTTGAATTTCACATATCACTCAGAGGGTCTGTCGATCTATGAATATCGCACCTAAGCCGAAGACGGGAGAGCTAGACATGGGAGAGTACTGCAGCGCTTCCTCAACAAACAACGGCCGGTCCCGACGCGGTATAAGCCCAGCCGGATGGTGAGCCTGCGTTTGAGAACGGCCATTGATGACGACCTGCACGGCCGGATGCCAGTTTGGGTCCATGGTTTGGCGGAAGAGATCCCCTTAGGGGAGGAGTGGTAGGGTGGAAACGAGACGAATAAGAGTGATCTGGGAGAGAAAGAGACATGCTCCGCCCCAAGACATGGCTATCAGGCAAGAGAGCGGAATCCCATACCCAACAACGGACCAGTCCAATTGCTTCGGCTGTCTTTCTTCTTTTTTTCCTTTGCTGCAGTTCGGAGGTTCCAAACGATGTAATTATTCATGCCAGGCACCGCTCGCTCTTGCCGCTGCCGTCGCTGACCGCCCGGCACTACTTTGGGGCGTCCGTGCGCCGATTTCTTTCCGATGGGAAAAATTATGGACGCTCTCCGACTCTCTTTGCTTGGTCTGTCTGTCTACTTGTTTGATTTGGTGTACATTCTGTGTTAAATCCATTCTCCCTTTGCTTGCCAGTCGCTGTCATCGCTGTACTCTCCGAACCCCTCCTCTCACAATGTCTGCCATCGGCTCCCTGATCTTCTGCAACGACTGCGGAAACCTGCTCGACGAGTCTTCGGGCGATCCCACCAAGATCGTGGTCTGCAGCGTCTGCGGAACCCGCAATAAAGGTACGTCGAGTCCCTCTCTCGGAGAGACATGAGACAAAAAAAATTTTCAATTTGTTCTTCGCCGACTTTTACTAACATAATTCCGCGTCTAGATATCCTCCCCAAAACCATCGTCTCCGAGTCCAAACCGAGCGCATTCCCGTCCGCCCTCCGCGCGAAAAGATCTGCGGTCCAGACTTTGACGGCCGAGGACAAGAAGACCGAGGCGCTGACGCAGCATACCTGCGCCCAGTGTGGACGGAAAGAGATGTACTTCACGACGGTGCAATTGCGAAGTGCAGATGAAGGAAGTACGGTTTTCCTGCGCTGCGTTTGCGGTTACAAGTATGGCTTGACTGGTTGCATCCTGGCTTTAGATCGGCTCAGTACTGACCAATCGACACAGGGAGACGCAAAACAACTAAACGGAAACCCCCAAAAGAAACGACTCTATTTTCTTCATTTTTTTGCAAAGCACATAAAACTTTACGACTGTACATCTATGAAAGCAAGCATTTTTCATTAAATCACTCCGACACTGTAATCCCTTTGATCCTTTGTTTTTGCGGAGAGAACCCCTCATGCGGCGGGGACGGCAGCAGGGGCCGAGTCGGGCACCAGCGCGTACTCGATCTCTCCGTTCTTCTCATACTCCGCCATATCGAGCGCCACGATGATGCTGTCTCGCACCACTTGCTCCGGGTCGTTCACGAATTTCTTCAAGGTCTCCTCGACACCTTCGACGTCGCCCAAGCTACCCAGGGCCTCGGCGGCCTCGTGTCGCACCATACCGGCTTCCTCCTGGTTGCTAAGGCAATCCGTGAGGCTGGGCACGGAGGCGGGGTGGCACAGCTGACCGAAAACGAAAGCGATCTCGTGGCGGAACAAGGCGGAAGGGTCCTTGAGACCCTTGGCCAGAGCTTGAATGGCTCCGACAGCCGTGGGGAGGTCGGGAGGCGAAGCAAGATCACGCAGAGCGAACATGGCACGGTATCTTTGGAACAAGGGGAGTTTGGTGTCGAGCAATGTCTGCTCCATGTCGGCAATGGAGGGTTGGTTAGACGCCAGAGGAAGCGGGGGAGCCGGGTCGATGGAGGTGAAATCACTGCATTGGGAAGAATGCCATTAGCGACGTGTACTTTTCAACGGACCTTTGATAGAAAGAATCCACAAGAATTCGCAAACATATCCAGATGGACAAGAGAAAATCGCTCACCTAGGCTTCAACTTCTCGGCCTGTCGCTCCTCCGAATTCTCCCAGAGAATCCGATCGACGGCGATATCGCAGGTCTCCCGAATGATGTCCAGCTCATTCTCGTCGTCGCGCAGAGCCTTCAAGATCTCCAAGCTGTTGTCGTAGCCCAGCGCCCCCAGGGCCTCGGCGGCCTCATGACGACACATCGCATCCTCCTGGGTATCCTTGACGACATGCTGCAGGTACTCGACAGAGTCCGGGTTACGGGTCTGGCCGAGGCAGTAGGCCAATTCGTGCTTCAGCAGAGCAGACTGCGAGGTGAAGGCGGCGGCGATGGCCTGGATGGCGGGCAGGGTGTTCTCGGAGGGAGGCTGCAGACAGGCCAGGTGCTTGAGGGAGAATAGGGCGCGGAATCGGCGAGCAAGGGGTTCGGACTCGTCGGTGATCACTTTGCGAAGGTTCAGGATGGTCGCGTCCACACCGGCCTCGGGGTTAGGTACCACAGGGGCCATGTTGTCGATTCAATGTATATTAAAGAAGGGATCGCCAGAGGGGATTTTAGAAAATAAGGAAATCAAAAAGAAAGGACGATCGCGGGAGGTACGGAGGGGTATAGTATAGTTCGGGAAATTTTTGATTTTTTTTTCCCTCAGAAGATCTTATCACCGAAAGATAATAAATTTTAGGTGGGGGTGGCGGGGTAGTTGCTCCTTCTCTTAGGGGCGCCTAGGCCTGCCTGCTTGAAAATGCAGGTACGTACACACAACACACGGACAAGGCAGTAGTTATGCTATATGACCTACTCTACCTACGTTGTAGGTTTGGCTTCAATTATCATCCTCGAAAGTACATACACTCGAATATCTTAGGTAGTGCCCAACCTCGACGTTTGTCACACCGGCTATCTGTGTAAATATAGGAAGTGTCAGTGTAACCAAATCCTGTAACCGCCTTAGACCACTATAGTCAGTCAATTAGGTAACAATGTTAGGCAACAGCGCCGGAGTGAAATTCCACAATTGGCCGGCATCGTGCGAAAGAACCGCCGCTCCGGTGTACCAAGTGCTTCGGTATCCTTGCAGCGCCTGAAGCTCCCGATAAAAGCCGCCCTCGATCTCTTTGGCAGACACTGCGAGCTGGAAAGGTGTGTGGCTCTTGTACGCCAAGAAGCGAACTGTCTTTGTCCATTCGTTGGACTTGTTGATAGGCCGGGATAGACGCTCGATGGTTGCAGAAATGTCGGTCTTGAACTCGGCTCCTGCGGCGGCCTTGGACGCACCGTATCAGACGTAAAAGATCCCGTCTACAGCCGTCGGATTGATGCTATATATTGCAGGGAACTGAGGAATGCGATAGGTGCCGTTACTCGTGCCAATGTGTAGAAATCGGTAGCTAGTAGGCAAACTCGTGTTGGCCACGACAGCAATGTGCCAAGGACTGTGATTGAATCTCTGAAAAAGCACGTTTTCCCGTCCATCGAGATCAAAAGGTTCCATATTCTCGAGACTTGGCGGTATGCTGACCAGCACTTTCGATGCTAAGATGAGCTTTTGGCCATTGGGAGTCTTCACGACCAATCGAACCCCATCTGCTGATTTTTGCGCCGCAATGACAGTAGAAAGAGACAATTGCGTCGGACCCAAGCTCCTGCAGGGGCTTCTCATAGAGCTCGTAATTATTGTGGTTTGCCGTGGTCAGAGTACCTTCTGATAACCCTCTGATGAACGGCCCATCCACTGCTTTTAGTATATAGGCGGTTGGTTGGCGTAGGATATCTCCGGATCCTAGCGCGCTAGACCATATAGCATATGCTATGTCCTTCAAAGAATGCTTATTGATGAACTCTCCAGATGGTAGGAGTAGATCCTCCGGAACGGGGTCAGGTAGATCCCAACTTGTGGAGAGGTACGGGTACCTGTTCAGTTGGGCATTATAAGCATCAGAGCCGTAACTGGGCGTCGAATTCAGAAATAGCTCGCCGAATTCGAAATCGGCGTATATCGTGGAAGAATTGACTGATAACCTGGCCAAAGGAATTTGAAAACGGGCGAAAAAATCCCGGTCGACGGAGAAATTCGTGAATGATTGCACTCCATGGTTAATTGCCTAAGTGTCGATGTATATGCCCGTGTCCTCCTAAGACTGACTCCTGTTCGACCACAAACACTTTCTGACCCAGATCGGGAAGCCTCATCGCTGCGCACGTCCCAGTAGAGCCACCGCCGACGATAACAATGTTCCTTGTAACCACATCATCTCTGGCGTAGCTGTGGGGGTCAAATTGGCCGCCCAGAGCGATGACCAAGCCAAGGTTTGACAAAAACTCAGCAAAGATTTTCATGGTGTTTTCAAAACTGCCTAAGATAGAATATGGGGCCTATTCTCGGGATTTTATATTTACCTTAAGAGCTAGCATTGAGTAACCGGTCCGTAGTTGGCCAAACGTGCACAGGCCCTTATACTTTCCTAGTGTCTGTATACCCATGTCCAGTGCAGCTGCAAAGGCTCCTCTGTCCAAATTAGATGCTACCTTAGCTACCTAGGTCCCGGGTAGTAGTGGTAAATAGAGTCATAGAAGATGGCTTCAATACCATACAAGCGATGGGTTCGTTACCTGTGTTGGTTTAACATTCTTCCCACAACACCATGTAGGATTACAGCAGAAACCTAGATCCGTGGTTACCCTCCCTACATACTGACTGTACTGTAATGCGTATGCAAAAAGCTCGGCGGCAAATATACAAATTCATAAGAAGAAAAGGGCACCTTAATCGTAAAGTTTGTTGCTATATTCGACCTAAAAAGGCAGTATACTATCGGTCGTTTCAACTATGTTTGACATAACCAAAACCTACTTATATGAAGTAGAAATATCAATATAGATAAAAATCCCCACAAAGTGAGGTATCATGGTCAGGTTAGTTGTAGATGCATCGGTTTGTGCTCAAGGAGCTCTGGTCAGGCGCCGTGACTCTCTTTGCTTTTGTACTATGACGTTGTTTCTTAAGCCCACCTTGGCTACCTAAGAAGAATAATAATCCTTTTGTTTGAGAAAGAGGCCATTACACTCCAAAATTAGGTAGAGAATGCTACTTTTACCCATATGGAGGACAGATAAAGTTATCTCAGCACATGACTGTATTTCTGATGAGTCAAAGGTGTATAAAGATGACCAACATCGAAAGAAAGTCTTTACGTACTTATTCGCTCATAGTTGGGTACAGGCCGTGCACAACTAACTTTTCTTCCGGACAGTAGTATTTAGCACACATGGTCATTGCACTGATATCTTTCCTTCGCCTATATCTTATACGCCTATGGTCCGGACTACTAGTCACTACTATCTCTACTACGTCTTGGATATCTTTATTTCCATCATTTTCTATGCAGTGAAATCAGCATCCCTCAGCAGCAGGTCACACAAGTCTAGCATTCTCACCCTTCTTTATACCGCATTTAACCCGTCGATCCTCTTTCCTATTCAATGTTATTCATGACAGCTGATAAGTCGTCTTGGTACTGCTTGCCTGCCGAGATCCGAATTCTGATCCTAGAAGCCTTATTGCAGGATGGATGTAGCTTGGCTGGATTCGCTACAGTCTCTCGAGACTGGCAGATCATTATTGAGCAGCATAACTTCGCCCGTATCAACCTCACACCGTCCCGCCTTGCTGAGTTTGGCTCAATGGTTCGCCGCAATCAGGCTCTTGTACGCTATATATGGGTTTGCCTAGAACTCGAAGAATATGATTGCACTCAGTGTGCGCCTGAAGAACTAGAGATGGTGCTGCTAAGTAACACAGACAATACCCTAATAGCCACAGCAATCCAAGATCTGTTCTCAACTCTCAGCACATGGGAACCAAATAGCAACTTGCGACTTGATATCAGCGTTCACTCTCCCAGTGACTCAGAGCACTGGTTCAAATATTTGACATTTGGGCCTGATATGCCCTCTGATAAATGTGAACTGAATTTGTACGCAGAACAGTCAATACCAGCCAAACCTGATGACCACCAGCATGGTTGGGTTGCTGGGAGTCAAAGTTCTGTTCCGCCCAGGAATACTCTACTGAGAACTTTTGAAGAAATTATGGGTGAAAGTCCACATAAAACCGATGAGGAGGAGAACCAGTGGTGGCAGCAACTGCCACTAGTTCCAGCAGTAACAGGTGTACTTTTACGCCAACAGAACCGCCGACGGTGGAAGCCACGGGTATTAGCATATATGTTTGCTCGTCTCCCCAGACTCCAGGAGATTCACTACGAGCCTTGGAGAGAATGGAGTTCTCTCCATCAGACGAGGACTGATATGTGTGAGTATTGCTGCGTCCGTTCAACATTCTTTACCATGTATGTGTTTATTGCTAGAATCGTTTCCACTGACAACCAACCAATCCTTATCTTTGGTCTAGTTTATCGATCGCTTTTTGAATCGCTCGCTTCAAGCAAACTACGAAGACTCATACTCTTTGAGAATTTCAACCAACATTATGTGCTAGCTGCCAGAAGTTTTTGCGACCCTATCCGCGTCCCGACCCCTGGTGTCAGCTGGGCAGTCGCCAAAGCCAGTCTTGAGCTTGAGCACCTCTCAGCATCATTTATAGTGGATGCTAGCCATTTTTTCCATGCTTGTGAACCTTCCTGGAAGTGGGCCAACATGACTTCAATTGCGCTGACCTCACAATTACTCACACCTGATGAGAGCCCAATTAAGATTGATAAAATGCTACAGGGAGCAGCAGCAGTTGGCATGCAAATGCCAAAACTTGAATCAATGGAGATATGGAATGGACGGAAGGGATCGGCAATGCTCTTCAGATACCAGCTAACTGGGGAAGGGCAGCCTGCTGTGCTAACCTGGAGAGGAACATGGCAATTCATCCTGCGGCCTCTCATCGTCCAGGCGTGGGAAGCTGTGGCACGGAGACGCTGTAGTCACCGAACTATTATTGTTGAAGAGTTGCTTGATACTAATATTGTCGTCAAGTCTCATGGCGATGCGATCCACCATTTGGGGTTTTTAAACCCGGTAATTCGGCCCGTTTCGTTACAGCAGATTCAGCTGGAGCACAGAATACGTGAAGGAGTAGTTATATGACTGGTAGCTCAATTTCTGTTGTCAAGTAACAAAACTATAGTGATTTCAGATGTCAAGGGGGGGGAATGTCTGCCGAAGTGGAGGAAAAACGATTGAATTGCTTGAGATACTGAGCTATCTAGGAGTCTGAAAACAGGGCCCTTTTATCTTCAATATCACGTAGTCTTCATGGCCGATTTCATGGAATCTTCCGCTTCATATAGAGCTTCTCGGAACTTGCCTTTTGCAAAGGTTTGGCGGAATGCTCGAAGCACCTGATTCTTCTACAAAAATAAATTGCTGCCCTCTCACTTCGTGGGCTGGACGAAGGCGCTCCCAGTATTAAATATCCCCTGCATAGGCGAGAACCTCGCGGGCTTGGAATTTCGAATGTCATCATTTACGGCGCATATTTTGTGCAATGCCTGAGATGAAGAAAATGCCCAGTAGGCACTTCCAGAAACCGTCGTATTGAGCTTCGCCTATCTTTGATCGTCTGAATCCCTAATCAACAATTTATACAACTGCATTCTTTGATGCCTGGCCTAGTCGTCTGGGCCATGCATCTTCTGTTATTGGAAGACGTAAGAAAAAGCGGTCATTTAAAATCTGAACCAAAAAATTCCGAATAGCAAAAGCCGGAGCAATTATGTACATAATGCATTTGATGGGAGATAACTGTTTATTTCGTCTTGATGTGCTTGAGCTTCTTCGGTTCGTGGTTGAAGTTATTGGCGTAAGCCTTGGGAACGAATCGACGCTCGTTCGGCTCCTGAACGAAGTATTCATATCCCTGCTTCTGCGCGAACAAGATGGCATCCTCCTTCGACTTGAATTTCAAGTTCGTGCCCTGCATGCAATCAGCAGACGACTGCCATCCCATTAGAGGGTTCTCCCAGCGGTGTCCCTTCTGCAAAATATCCCAGTCCATTCTCCAGTGGTGAGAGTGCCAGTTTCCAGACTGCGTGGCGGGCTTAGTGGGACGGTAGATCCTGAGGGGACACAATTAGCCTCGAATTTTGAGATTCACATGTTACCATCACCTACCGGACAGTACGGGCCTGCAGATCGGTGGGAGCGCCGGACAGAACGGCAGCAGGAACAGTTTCGCCAGGCTCACTGCCATCCATCACGCGCTTGGGAACGGGAGAGAACAGCCTGTGTTCACGTTAGTCTTGGGTCTTTGTGGAGGGCGACCGGGTAATGCCCGCGCAAAGGGTTCGCATACGAGGTGCCGTGGTCAATGGTAGCCTCGTAATCGGGCTGGTGACGAGCCATTGCCTGGGCAGGCGTCTCCTGCTGGATGATCGAGCTGTCCTTGGGAGGGACAGCCGGGGCGTCAGAAGGGTTGGTTTTCACGGAGGGATCACCGCGACCGGTGTTGGTGGCCACGAATCGGGCATTCAAAGGGGCGGCGAGCCTGCCTGCCCGGAAGCAGGCGGCGGTTCCTGCTCTCATGAGCGACATTATGACAATTGAATCCGTCGGGGTGGTGGGCAGAGCAGGGTGATGCGGAAGTGCAATTGAAAGGTGAGGTATGCGGCGAGTGCCGGTCGTCCAGGCAAAACCCAATGCAGTTTAGCGCGAGTATGAGGCTCGCAACCGCTAGGAACCGCTCATCCGACAACCCGCTTTCTCAATCACACTCTCTTCTCCGTCCTTATCCTTCTGTCAGGTTCACCTGCTTTTATTCCGGTAAGTGCGATCTTCTTCTGTCCGCAAAGTGATGCTGAACGGAAGATTTAAGAATGCTCCAAATTTCTAACGCGCCCTAGTCCATACAAGATGAGCTACATCACCCGCCGAGGTCTCTCGACCCTGATCCCTCCCAAGGTAAGGAAGGACGAATACACAGCCGCGAGCACACAGAAATCTGCTAGATTAATGTAATGCTAACTTGTTAATCAGATCGCTTCCCCCAACGTGAGATCCCTTTAGTCCCCCTCCATGCATTGCGTATCCGACAGAGCGTCACATCCCTTCGTGCGAAACAATCTTTTCGTCGCAATTTGACACTCCAACTCCACCGCATAAGCGTTATATACATTGATAAACTTTGCAAGTTCGGTCAGAACTAACCCTCTTGAAACCATAAAGGCGATCGGTGCCGCCAAGGATGCTGCCCGTATGGACCGCGTGGTGAACTTCTACGCCAGACTCCCCCGTGGCTCCGCTCCTGAGGTCAAGCCTACCGGTCTGATCGGCCGTTACCAGGCTCGTTACTTCGGCAAGAACCCTTCTGCCGCTCGTAAGTGATGTGCCGATCTGATCAGATGCCTTTGCCGTTTACTAATGATCGATTTCTTGCGAAACAGCCCTTGCTCACGCCATCGGCGGCATTCTCCTTCTTGGATACAGCATGGAGTACTACTTCCACCTCCGTACGTTATTGTCTCCCTTTCGACATAATCAGATAAGGGAGATAGCATGGCTAACAGGATTCCAGGTCACCACAAGAACCACCCTCACTAAACTTTTCCCGGAATGTTAACGGGCGCGGAGGATTTCATGATGTATATACCGCAGACCCTTTACTCGAGGACTATGTAGAAGACTAGTTTCAAAAAAGACTGGTGATCCATGCTGAGTTCATACCAAACTCTAGCTATTAATTAAGGGAACGTAGGAAACGGGGGATGCAGAATTTAAGCAGTGGTGAAGCAAACACCGGATGATTCCACAATCATGACAGCAACTCCCAAAGACAGCAAATCCCAAAGACAGCAGTCTTCCCGTGGACAGTAGTTGTTTTTCCGAGGACAGCAGCTGTTTTCCTGAGGACAGCAGCTACCTTCCTGAGGACAATAGCCTTTCAGAGAATAGAATTGTTCTTTCCTGCTATTATCTTTTACGTTATGGGGCATAACAATGTAGTTCGTTCTTTCCATTTTCTAAGGCTGTAGCATCAATGTAGAAAATGAAGACTTATTTTGTTGTTATGCTTCTTTTTCTTTTCTTTAGCACAATCATCACGAACAAAATGTAAGTTTTCCATTTCCATTTCCCTTTTACATATATTTTATAGTGTTAGATATAATTAGTTTGGATATAGATATTAGTTTTTTTTACTAATTATTTCTACAGGGCATCTGGGTACGGTTGTCGCCGGATTGCAGAAGAACGTGCCCAACGAGCCTTTGATGATGCTCATGAACGTGTGATTGATGCTGCTCAACGTGTTCTGGATTCTCGGAACAAATCAATTCAGGCAGATCAGAAGTGTCGTCGAGCTGAACAGGCTCTCCGTAAAGCTGAAAACGCCCAGGATCGTGCTGACGCACAGCTCCGTCTGGCAGAAGACTTGTGGCGTCGTGCTTTGTGGGACGAAGTTAGCAAAAAGACTGCTCTCATAGCACTCAAGCGTGGACTGGGTGGTGAGGAGTTCCGGGGTTAAGTAAGTAATGGCTAAACCGAAAACAGCCGGTGCCAACCCTCCACCTCCCGTTCATTCATGACCGCAGCAGCAGCAGCAACCATCGAACAATCATTAACCTGCGAGCAGATCTCCCACTCCTATCGTCCTCCCTTTTGGGAACTCACTCTCCCCTAGTCCTCCTCGTCTATTTCCCCCCCCTCCCCTCTCTCTCGGACATCCTCTGTCTCATCCTACCTCTCCCCGATTCTACTCTTTTAAACTCCCTTCTCTTCGCGTCCCGCTCTCGCACTTCCTGTTCTTACCTGTTGAAGACCCCCATCCTTCGCCCGCCCTCAGGGTTGTTCTGAGCAACTTGAGAATTGTTATGGCAGAGCCGAGCAGCCACGATGCGGTAAATCAAACCCGGTCGGGCGGCGACCCTTTGTCTTCCGACGTTCCTGCGAGCATTAACGACAAGAAATCTACCGGTGGAGACGTGGGGGAGATTAATCATACCGCTACAACAACAAAATACGAAACGACAACAAATACTGCACCTATTGAACGAATGGAGCCTTCCGAATCGTTAGCGCACAAGGACGAAGCTGGGCCGGGCACTGAACGGCCGTCGACTGTGAGTCTTGGCGACATGGAACGTAACCAGAGTAACTACTGACTGAATACTGTTTTTTAGGATCTCTCGCGACCTGGTCCCGGACCCGTGGAATCAAGAGCTCTGGAAATGAATGGAATGGCTTCCGCATCGGACGGCGGGGAGGACACGGCTTCGCAAGGTGGTTCGGAATCGGACGCCAGTCGAACGGACTCCAAACTGAACTCGCGTGCCTCGTCGACAAAACGACCAACCTCGTTCAAGCCTGTCAGCTTCGCCAAATTTTCGGTCCCGAAGGCCTCAGGCACGCCTCCCGCGGCGAAGGCGCCCGAGAAAGGTATTTATACATCGGTCGCAAGAAAGCAGTGAAAAGATCTGAGTCTAACAGATGGTAGCTCCGTTGTCCTCGGGTACCCCGTTAGGTCAACCGCCGCAAAACTTACGCCCACGATTAGTCGCCAAGACGACGAGTTTGCGCGATTCATTATCCAAGGGGGGACCAAATGCGGCCAAGCCGGGCGGAGGTGGTCCTGATCCCGGCCAAGTATGGAATCGGAATCAACGTAAGAACGCTGCAACGTTACCAAAAGATCTCAACTAATATTCTGCTTGCCGTAGCGGTCCAGCAAACGCCTCCCAAACACCTAACAGACGAGGAACTGAAGCAGCAATATGGAATCCACATGACTTCTCGCATTCAGGAAGACGGTGGCGGAACGGAATCGAAATGGGCTGATATAGACGACGACGAGGATGACTGGGCCCCGGAGACGATAGAATGGACCGATGGGACCAAAACCAACCTCACTCAACCGGAGCCTGCGCCGCCAACTGTTCAGGAGAACCGAGTACCTGCGGAGCCCAAAGAAGAGCCTCTACCTCCCGAGCAAATATCGACTGCCAGGGAGGCACCTAAGTTCATGCCAAAACCGACAACTTCCATCGGACCCAACCCCACCGTCCTCAGACTTGGTGCCAATGCGGAACGACAAGCAAAGAACGCAAGCATATTGTCTAGGGGCTCAAATGAGAAGTCTCCTTTACTGTCTTCCAGTCCGGCTCCTCCTCCGGCCAAGTCGCCATGGGCTCCGTTGCCGCCCGTTGAGAAAATCTCGCCCGTTATGCCGCCAGTCCAGCTTCAGCAGCAACCCATGCGGGCCCCTGTCCGAGAACCGCCTCACCTGCACGACGGTGGCGCTGGGACCGCACATCTCAAGGAGATTGCGGCAGACGATTTCAGTCGATCGCTGAGAGAAACGCAATATGGTACTCGCGAACTCTTCAATTCGAGGTCAGGCCGCTACGAGCCCGTAACCGATAATAGGAAAGCACCCTGGCGTGCGGAACAGGGCATGCGTCCCCCATCTCTGCTGCAAAGACCTGTTCCGGGCGAGCCCATGGCCCCCCTGGGCCCCGCGGAGCCATCGCCGGCCTTCCAAACCCACCGATCAGGTGGCCCAGACGGTACTCACTGGACGCGACGTCGAACATCATCCAATGTGAGTGGAGGAAGTGGCAGCTTTGGGCGACGGATGTCGATTGGCAGGCCCGACGCTGCGCAACGATCCTTTGAAACTCGGAGAGGTTCCCAGGCAAATGGAATGATGGAACCACCAGTTTTTGGTAGAGACCTGGGACCTGCCAACCAGCCATTGCGAGAAGTTTCGCCTACTCGACATGGTCCTGGAATGCCCTGGTCTCCGCGTGGCCAGCCAGCTGCCCTGCATGACAAAGCCCCAGTTACCCATGGTCACACCGTTCAGCCGCCTCACGAGGCCCAAGCTGGCGAACAAGCAACACCTCTACCTCAAGGACCCGAGGGATCTCAGGAAGACCCGGTTCTTATGCAGCAGCGCATTATGAAGGAAAAGAGAATGGAGGCTCGGCAACGACGGTTGGAGCAGGAAGAGAAGGAAGAGGCTGCAAAACGTGAACGAATCCGACAGAAGCTTGAAGCGCTTGGTCCGCCCCCTGACAAAGTCAAGCAGCCTCGCCGGGAGTCGCTAGATAGCAACAAGCTAGAGGCCCATATTCCAGCCACTGCAGCGCAACCCTCGCATTCACCCCCCAAGCCTCCCGTGCCTGAGCCGACGGGCGAACCGAAACAGTATGGAATGATGAAGGTCCATCACCCAGATACCGTCAAGAAGCGCATCGAGAAGGAACGTGCCGCCGAAAAGGCCGCGCCAGTAGCCACTGGTCGACGTGCCCCTTCTCCCACCCGCGAGCTCAAGCCTGACGCTACCATTGCCAATGGCCTGCAGTCATCTGAGGAGCCACAGGCGCAGACTCCAGAGAAGTTCCCTGAAGCCAAACTTGAGGAGCAGGCGCAGTGGCGAGGAGGCCTCAATGTTTCCAGTCCCTATTCGCCGTGGACTACAAACACGAAGCTTGTCGGACCGCCGCCTATTATGAACCCCTGGAAACCCCTCAGTAATGATAAAACACTGGGTAATGGCATATTTGAACAAGGCCTTGGAGGCTTCCCGACCCGGGATATCTCTCTGCGTGGGCCTCTTGGCTTGGATCAGTCGTCTGTCACACCAGCGTCGCAGCCGTTTTCAGCACCTTCGCGCTCACCGCAAGAAAGTGCATCCATCTCGCCATTGCCGTCTCCCGAAGTCCGACATGCATCCTATGAGCCTATTCATCCCATTGCACGCCCAGGACCCATTGGGCCTCCAAGCTTGCAGCATTCTCACTGGCAGCATGATAACCGCGTGCCAGGGACCGCAGCATGGCACAACTTCCATGCGGTTGCCGCTAAGCGGGAGGCCGATGATAGTGAGAAGCTTCGCAATGAGATGAACACCATGCGCGAGGGACCATCGTCCCTCCCGTTGACGCTGAATGAGACTTGGAGGCAAGTCCGGTCGGGAGACCAAGCTGGACAGAGGCAGATTGTTGGGATTTCACGGCCAACAGACAACAACCCACCGATCCCGAATCCTCTTCCCGGGTTGGATCACCCTGTTGGTCCTCTGCCGTTCGCCGAAAACCCTGCACGTCCGCTTGGAACTGTTCCGGCCCGTAGTTCGCGATTCTTCCCCCAAGCTACGGAGCAACATAAGAAGCCGACGTTTGAGGAGGGCGACGATATGCGCAGTCCGTCACCGCCTCCTCCAGAAGACATGTCGAACCATCCCGTGTACACCGGAGACACGAACCGGCCCCTTGTCCACCTTCCTGCACCGAAGCCAATTGTGAAGCTACCTCCTAAGGTCGTTGCTCCCCCACCTCCTCCACCTACATTTGCATCGATGGTCGCTGCGCCGCCACGGGCTGCGCCGGTGTCCACGGCAACGTCCTGGCAGGAGAAGATCAACTGCCTTTTCGGCAAGAAAACGGTGTCCGAGAAGAAGAACGCTTTGGCAGTTACATCGGCTTCCAAAGAGCCCCTTGATGTTCCGCTGCACATCGCTTCGGTTTCTGTCTCACTCCCTCAAAAGGATGACCTTCCAGCCGGTGACGGCGAACTTTCGGCCCGGAAAGTTGAAGAAGCAGAAGAGATATTCGAAGATCGTGAAGTCGGATCTCTACCTGTTGTTCGAGTTCCTACCATGGCGCCTGCTGCCGCTTGGCAGGCAGCGCCGGCCCCTTCGCAGTCTCGATTGCGGTCAAAGCATTTGAAACCCATGCAGGTTCACAGTATTGAACCCTTTTCGGTCGGATTTCACGATAAGGATGCAGGAGGGTTCCGAGTTTTGATTCGTCTTCCAGGAGCCGTCATGGCGAAAACCATGCTTCTCCCTCAAAAGGCAGGAAGCCTTAATTCGCTACGATCTCGCGGCTCTTCGAGCTATAAACCTCGCAAGACCACCAAGCCTCGCGAAGCAACTGGTGGTTCAAATTCGAAAAAACCAACGCAATCTCAGCACTCAAGTGGCAACGGACCTGCGCGACATCAGTCGCGAACCGCATCCTGGGGTCCACGCACTTCTAGTGGATCTCGCTAGAGGTATTCTACTGCGGAGCATGTGTCCATTCTTTCTTGAATTGGTATTCTATTTGCACAGGGTTTCCATTATTCGTTGAGCGTTCATTTCGGTCTTGATGAGCTTACGCTTGTGGGGGAAATTTCGAAAGGGTCTGGTTTGAATTCCTAATGCTCCTTATCAAAGTCCTCCTCTTTGTCTCCCCTCTTCCATTACTTTCCCATATATTATTCCCTCTCGCTTGATTTTCTTTGTTACTACTCGCTTTCCGAAGGTGCTTCCACTTTATTATTACTCCTTGTCTGAAACATCAGAGAGGGATTCTAACAAACTGATATGCGAGTTTGGACGGCCCCATGTAAACTATCGACTCTTATGAATACAGCAATGTCGATGATACTTGGATGGTTGTTCTTTCCCCCGTCGTACTTCTAAACATCTTTAAACTGGCGCATTTCTTCCTTCCTCTTCGTATGACCCTCCTTGAATGGAGTCGCGTCGGCTGACTGGCTCTATCTATCTCGGCTCCCTGCGCTCCTACCCTCACATCCTTTCCTCCTCATCGTCATCATCCATCTCTAAACACCTTTTAATCATCCTTTCCCCTTATATTCCGCGGGACTACAATCTACTTCTTGAATCCGAGCCGGAGACGGGTGGCCTTCAGAGCTCCTTAAATCCATCCGTCGGTGTCCAAATCAGAGGCGATCTCAGCAAGGAATTGAACGGAGGGAAGGATCAGGTGTAGTGTTTGAGCTGAGTGACCGAGTTGAGTTTTTAAATTGGGGCAGAGGGTGAGTGAAGTGTCACCGCGCCACGTACCTAGACCTACTACCTCTCTGTGCAAAATGTGCATTCCATTCTTTCATTGTCTTTTTCATCATGAGTAACCTTTCCCCTAGTATGAATATGTAGTTGTAGGTTTGGCTCGTTGAGTTTAAGTATTCTGTTTGCAGGAAAAATCTCTCCTGTAAGTCTAAGATGACGGAGTTGGATTTATTAGTACATAGGTGAATAAGCATTAATTTTTTTTTCTTTTTTATGCCCTTGTTGCATTTGCAAAGGACCTATCCAACCCATCATCCATCCATTCCAATTGTATGCATGTTCCCAAACAACACACCTTCAAACCCAGCCCTAGCTCCAGCACCGATACACCTAGGATTTAACGAAAAGAAACATATTATAATATCAAACCAAGTGTACACCACAAGAACAAAGATAAGAAACAAAAAGGAAAACCATGACTCCAATTATCTGGGTATCGAAACGCCACACATCCACGCTATTTCAGTAACTTGAACCCCAACCAACCCTTGACATAACACGACTCCAACCTGAGGTCGTTGATTTGAATACCTCGAATCTTTTCTCTCACCAGTTCCAGGTTCGGCTGGACGCGGTAAAGACAGGCGGTTTCCATTGCAGACGCGTCGGGTCGATCTTGCGGGATCCTTTGATCTTTTCCTTTTCGAGACGCTTCTTGTGCTCTTCGACGACGTTGTCGGTGAGGACAATGACCCAATTTGCTTTCTATAAGATAGTTAGCATTTGCTCTCCGAGGTTGGATCAGGAAAGTGAGAAGGGCGGAGGCGTACGTGATATCGGAGCATGTTGAAAACAACCAGAGTTTCATGGACGTCTTTCTCCGTCATGGAGGTCAGCACCGCGAGCTCGTTTTCACTGATCGACTCGCGGCCCGGCTCGATGAGTAATTCGACCAGCGTTTCCCGCCAGTATTGGCGGTATCCCAGAAGACCCAGATCACTGAGCGGTTTTTCGGGCGAGCCGAGTTTGCCTTCGCGCTTGCTGAGCTCGTAGCTGAAGGCGATGAGAAGGCGACCGAAGCCACGACGTTGGTATTGAGGAAGGGTCAGAATACACGCGAGGTTGTAGCCTTCAGCGGAATCCTTTTCCTTGGAGAAGTATCCGACCAGGTGGCAGCCGGTTTCGTCGCGGGTGCACATGCAGTAGAACAGGAAGGGGTCGACGTCGTAATAAAGCGTCTTGTGATCGAGGAAGAGTTTGCTCAGCAGACATAGGTTGCGACACCAGGTACGCTGGCGACGGCCGTCAACTTCGAAGAAGGAGATGTTGTCGTCGCGGTAGATTTCGTTGCCGGGAGGGTGCACGAGTGTGCATTTGGCGCGGTGGCGCTCGAACGCACGCTTGTTGTCGAAGTAGCTGAGACAGAACTCATCGATGTAGACCATGTCCACGTCGGAGTATTCGGCAGGATACGGAGAGAAGTACCAGGGCTCGATGTCGAACTTGCCCATCTGCAGGCGATTCAAGTTTCGAACGCGATGAATCTCCGTCGGATTCTGGGTCATACTACCGCTGGTCCGCAACCGTTCGATTTCCTCCTCCCGGGACATCTTGCCCTGCTCCTCTTTCAGATCGGAGAACCCGACATCGATCATGTCGACGTCGTCGGATTCGCCCTTCGGCGTCCCATCAGCCGAGACGGCCTCAGAGCCCAAGATGGACATGTTCAACGGCGTGTCCTCGCCGCGGTTCTCCTTCCCACCGGCCTTCGACGGCCGCGGAGCCTTACCGACATTGGCGTTTTTGCCCGTCAGAAGATCTGGCGTTGCCGATACCTCTCGGCTCCCTGCTCTGGGGCGCTTCTGCGTATTCTTGCTGGGCGCCTTCTGCCCGGGACCGGTTTTCTTCTTCTCCGGTTTCTCGGGCTGTGGCCACTCAACCTCCTGGGATAGATCGAGCCTTCCGGAATCAACCCATTCTAGAAGATGTGTTAGAATCACCTCCGTAGCCCTTCAATGGAACGGGCCTGTGAGTGAGAGACACTTACCATCGAGACGTTTGTTGAAATCGACATAATGAACACTGGGATACCAAGTCAATGCCAGGTCCAAGCAGCCGGCAACAAGAGTCATCTACTTACTAGAAACTCGGGCCATCCTTTCGCTGCCTAATGGATAGAATCTCGGCTTTCCTCAATTCTCCGTCCTATACACTAGAATATCAGCCATGCATCCTTCGCAGGGATCCCAGCCTGTCATCACGTGACTCGGATTAAGAGCCAGGTGAAAAAACTGACCTTCTGCACCATGGCCTTCACACCGATCCTACAGCCATAATTAGCACACCCGACCGAGAAAACCAAGCCTCTAGAGCTCAACATAAAAATATGAGAAATTCTTCTCGTGAAACATACCGAATGGTGTTCAGGGTGGCGAAGCCCTTCTCGACGGGGTCGGGAGTCCCCGTGGCCTCGCCATGGGAATCTCTGACACCCATGGTGAATGGTGAACAATTCTGCAGAGATCTATGAAGTAATATGAGATGGAAATGGCGGGGGTGGATGGATTCTGCGATGGAGAACCCAAAGGGGGTTTGTTCAGTCGCCCGGGCGGAGATGGAAGACTGAATGAATTTGCGCCGGAAGAGGCCGAGACCGCCTTTTCTGGTTCCCGGCCGCATTTGGCTTGCCTCCGGTAGGGGTGCGTCATTCATGTTATTGCACTGAACTCTTCCATATGCTGGAGTAAGGCACACTTCACTCAATCGTTAAACCTAGTCTATAGATAATATAGTGGTAGTGAAATAGTAGCCCGAGGGCAAATTACATTGAGTACAGAGTGACATAAAAAGGCTACCTAGGATCCAAGTGCTCAATGCCATCCGTTGACCATCCCTCCAGTCCCTGCCACTAACTCGTCCAGTTCGTCTTTTCGTGTGCGATAAACCTCCTGAGCTTCGCGCTCTCGTCTCATGGTGAACGACACCTCGTCTCGCAACCGCTCCAGCCGGTGTGCGAGGGCCGAGTCCTCCGAAATCTGTAGGTTGCGGAAGGCATCCAACTCGTCCTTGGATTTCTCTAGGGCGGAGCTGGCTTCCAGAATCTTGGTGCGAAGCATCTTGGCTCGGTTCTGATATCCACCATAATGCAGAGCAAGCTTCTTTTCCAGCTTGTTCCCGCGCTCGGCCGTAGAAAAAATAGAGGCCTGCACGCCATCAAATGCGCCGATCATGCGCTGCTCCTGTTGAAATTCATCTTCCTCCTCGTCGGCATAGTTGGAGAGGCCCGGAAGAGTGCTAGAATGTGTCGAGGACCATTGAGTATCGAATCCTTCCTGCCAGTCCTGTTGCTGACCTGAAGTAGCAGTTTCGGCGGCGATAGTCGCACGAGCTGCAGCAACCAAATCGTCGTCGAGTCGCTCCAGTTTCCGAGCCTTGCCTTCTACCTTCGCGCCGGGCACGGGGAATCGGCGAGCGTCGTTCGCAATTAAAAGAGCAGTCTCTTTAGCAATTAAAGCGGCAATGGGATCCGTTACATGCGATGCTCGCTCAATCAAGGCATCAATGTCCAGAACACTCGGCCGCGGCAATGATCGTTGGTATACTTGTGACTGGCGCTTCAATTCTGCTTGGGCTGCCTTCTCCTTCGCTTCCCTCTCTTTCCGGTCACGCTCGGCGGCATCTTCTTCCACGAACTCGCCTGCTGCTGTGGGTTCTGTCGATTCGGAAGGAAGCTCTTCCAGTTCCCACTCGGTTTCTTTGGGCTTCGGAAGGGCAGCAAGCTTGTTGCGGATGCTGTCGCGGGCAAGATTCTCCTGTATCTTGAGGTCTCGGGGTGTACTCGGCACAAGTTGTCCGCCTTCCATTTCCTTGTTCAAGGCAAAATGATCCCGAGGTGTTCGCAAGGGTGTGGCCCCAGGACCAACGCGCGGCGTGGCGCCAACACCTCCCCGCATGGGCGTTGCACCGACACCGTTGGCTTGACGGAACGGAGTTGCCATAGGGTTGGGGGTCACAATCTCTTGACGGCGAGGGGCGATGCCATCAAAGCCGGTGGAGGAACCACCTTCATGTAAGGGAGTGTTCTCGCCGCCCAGCAAGGATGATTGCGTTTCGGTGAGAGCTTTGATATTGCGGATTTCGTTGGCGATGTGATCTTCTTCTGGTGCAGCCCGAGGAGTTCTGATAGGCGTTCCTCCAACGATAGCCGAGTAGTTGCCAATGAGACCACGAGTGGTTTCTTCATCTCCAGTCATTTTGCTAGCCTTGTCGCCCGCCATTCCCATCTTAATTATGTCCTCCATTTCGCCTTCACTGACCTGCGGGCTAGGGAGAACGAGGGCGCGTCTTTTGCTACTTTGCTCCGCCTCACGGATTTTCTGCATCTGACCAGCGCGAGCAGCAGCGGCCGACGCAGCCGAGGTGCTGTTCTTGTCGTTCTTTCTCTTCTTTCGTTCGGCTTCGTCATCTTGATCGCCTTTCCGCTTGTTGGCAAGCTGTTGCTTACGGGGGTCAAACATCTCCCGTTGCCTCTCATTCCGGGTTTGCTCCTCCATTGTATCGTAGAATCCAGGCGCGGCCGGCTTTTCGAATGGAATGTCGGCGTTGTAGTCCATCTCGCCCTTCTTCCGCGTAACGACCTTGATGTTAATCCCGGCATTCTTGAGTTCACGACGTTTCTGAAGGACCGCAAGTCTCCGAGATTCTTCCAGCTGTCGTTCTCTGGCCTTGCGCTTCGCCTTCTTTCCTTGGGTGTTGGCCAGACGAGCACGGGCCTCGCTGAGCATTTCTTTTTCATCTTCGTCGAGATCGATCGTGTCGGGACGAGCGGGTTTCGATTCCGGATCGGGGTCGAGCTCACCGGGCCTGCAAAACGTTAGTGTCCATGAGAATTGACACCTAATGACTTTGTTCATGAACGTACCGTAGACGGCGCACATCGTCGGCACTCGGGGCCGCGGTCTCTTCGCCGGGACCTCCTAATCCCAGCTCATCATTCTCACGAGCTTCGGCTTCATCCAACAATTTCTGATAGCGCTCCAGACACTGCGTTGCCGTACGGCCGACAATAGGTGCGATTGTGCGCCACTGAGTCGGCATCAATTTCGCCAGATGCAGCAGCTTTTCATCCTCTTCCCTCGACCACTCGACCTTGCGGATACCGGGGTCCAGCCATTCGATCCATCGCGCCTTGCACTGCTTGGGAGTCTTTCGCGCGAGCAGCGAAGATACTCGCGCCCACTGGTTGAGACCGTACTTGGAGACCTGCAAGACATTCACAATCAGTATTTCATTCACCTGCGTCGCGTGTTCTGGCGTTTTGTTTCCGTCGATAGTCCGATGGCGAGATTTGACTTACAGCTGCCCGAAGCACCTCATCTTCGATATTCGTCCTTATGGAAAATTAGCAGATGGATCGTGCAAAGAGCTCGTTATAGCACTGGAATTCTTACCAGACACCTCCTTTGACGACCGGCATGGTGATGAAGGTTCAACACGTCGCTCTTGGTAAACTCTGCTCAATTGATAAATTTGTAATGTGATAAAGAAGGACCCAAAATCCCTTCACGACAATGAAATCCAGGGACTCCGGTGTCCTCGCTGGTCAAGGTTGATGCAGGAGCGACGCGGGAGAAAAGCGAGTTGAGACTGAACTGCTGATAGCCGCGCCGAGTCTTAGCGCGGCAACCGCACTAGCGTCGCCCCGCGGGTCATTAGGTAAGCGGGCCCAGATTTTCAGTTATCTCTCTCTACTAAAAAAAAAAAAAAAAGATAGACAAGAAGAATAAGCCTGCATTCATAATCCCATACCGGGTCATTCACAATGTCGACTACAATTGACGCACCGCGACAATACAGTCAGCCTTCTCGTAAAGGCAAGAAGGCCTGGAGAAAAAATGTGGACGTTACAGAGATCCAAGAAGGTCTCCGGGCGTTGAAAGAGGAAGAAATCAAAGGGTAACAGCAATCTGTATCCCTCACTGCGCAAAATTTATTTACTAATGTTTTCTCCCTCGATTATAGTGGTGTTCTGGCCGAGAAGCCGTCTGACGAACTTTTCACGATCGACACCACTGGTTCAGAAGAAATCCGCAAGGCGATCGAGAAGAAACACAAGCCACTCAAATCCGAAGAAATTATCGCTCAACGGTCCGCGATCCCGGCAGTAGATACTCGGAAGCGCCTGAGTTCGAAAGTTACAGATGGAGTCATTGAGCCGAAAACCAAGAAACAGAAGAGCGACTGGGTCAGTCGGAAGGATTGGTTGCGCCTCAAGCAGGTGGCCAAGGACAACAACCCAACCAACAAGGTCGAAACCGGCGCTAATTATGACCCTTGGGCCGATAACGAAGACCCAACTCCGCTTGACGATCCTCAGTTTGACTTCCTGGAAAAGCCGAAACCCAAGGTCGCTCCCGTTACGCTGAAGCACGCCCCGATTTCGCTTGCTGCGAATGGAAAGCCGATTCCTGCGGTCCGCGCCCCCAAGGCTGGTACGAGTTACAACCCGACGTTCGAGGAATGGGATCACTTGCTGCAGGAGCAGGGACAGCAACAGGTGGTTGTCGAGAAGAAGCGCTTGGAAGAGGAACAGAAGGAGCTGGAGAGGCAACGCTTGATCGACGAGGCCAAAGATGACGACGGAGAAGCGAAGTCGGATGACGAGAGCGCCTGGGAAGGGTTTGAAAGCGAATACGAAAAGCCGGACTGGCTGAAGAAGAAGCGACCTGAGCGGAAGACGAAGACCGAGAGGAACAAGGCCAAGAGACGCAAGGAAGCCGAGAGAAAGGCCAAGTGGGAGGCCAAACAGAAGGCTAAGGACGAACAGGTTGCACAGGCCAAGTCTCTCGCTCAACAACTAGAGGAGCAGGGCCTTGAAAAACAGGATTCCGATGCTGATTCTGACGAGGAGGGTGATGAGACTGTTTTACGACGGAGACCTTTAGGAAAGAACGCGTATGTCCCCTTGGCCCTACATGGTTTTCATACATTTGATATTAACCCAGCTACTAGGCCGCCCCAAAAGAACCTGGAGGTTGTCCTACCGGACGAATTGCAGGACTCCCTGCGTCTACTAAAACCCGAGGGCAATCTGCTCGACGATCGATTCCGCACGTTGATCGTCCAGGGCAAGCTGGAATCTCGCAAGCCAGTTTCGCAGCCCAAGAAGGCCAAGAGAAAGGTCACCGAGAAGTGGGCTTACAAGGACTTCAAGGTGCCGGGAGTGTAGATACGATTTCCTTCTTCACGTTTGCTCTTGTTTTGCTGTATAGATCTCAGTCGTATAATATCCACTTGAATATGAAAAGTTCTTGCTTGAGCGCAATTCGATTTATGGTGCATTTGAGCCGATAAGACTGCCACTATATCTGTATTATCTTTATCATCCTTATCCCAAGACTGTAGCAATCGTGTCGGCTGAGTAGTAGAAGCAGACTTCTCAGGTCCAGACTTGAAGTGGGCCCGCAAATGAACGTCCGAAATTTTTATGCTTTTAGCGCCAAAGCGGAATCGTCGATTCTCCGCATCGTTCGGTCTTCCCTTCTTTCCCTTTCCTTTTCTTGTGAACTTGATCTGGCCCACGCCAGAACACCATGCTGTGAATCTCCGATTGGTACAATTTGGAATGGACCTCAAAAACCTCTCCAGCAATTGGAAGAAACTCCAGGAGACGCTGAAAAAGGATCCCGTCTCCACCTCCACCAAGCGCAAGAATTCGGACCGCGACGTCCAACATGGTGTGGTGAAGAAACGGAAATCGGAGGTCGTCGACGGAAAAAAGAAATTCGAAACTACTCGCTTCTCGAAAAAGAGGAAAAGGATGGCCGACGGTTCCGACGGAGGCGAGAATGGGGTTCAAGAGACCGCGGGGAAATCGGCGTCGCGGAGGAATTCTACGGCCGCAGAATCGAGGATCGCAAAGGTCAATGAGGGCCGGTCACCAACGTGAGTCGACTTTGTCTGCGAAACTGCAATCTAAGAGACCTCTTGGCTAATGTGACGCAGTGCTGAACTAGGAAAATTCGTCGCGATGGACTGCGAAATGGTGGGAGTCGGCCCCAACCCCGATAACGACTCCGCTCTTGCCCGTGTCAGTATTGTCAACTTCAACGGCGATCAGGTCTACGACTCGTATGTGCGCCCGAAAGAGATGGTCACGGATTGGCGCACGCATGTCAGCGGCATTACCCCGAAGAACATGGTCGAGGCGCGTTCCCTCGAACAGGTGCAGAAAGATGTGACCAATATCCTGGACGGTCGAATACTTGTGGGACATGCATTGAGCAATGACTTCTACGCTCTACTTCTCAGCCACCCCAAGCGCGACGTCCGAGACACCAGCAAGCATCCCCCGTACCGCAAGCTGGCCGGAGGCGGTTCTCCCCGTTTGAAGATGTTGGCCTCGGAATATCTGGGATTGGACATTCAGAAGGGCGCACATTCTAGTGTGGAGGATGCTAGAGCGACGATGATGCTGTATCGACGGGATAAGGACGCATTTGAACGGGAACATCTGAAGAAGTGGCCGCTGCGAGTTGTGGCCGAGAAGGCCGACAAGCAAGACGGGGAGGAGCAGAAAAAGAAAAAGAAGAAGAAGAAGAAGACCCGCAAGAGGTGAAGGATTTGCAGTCATCATTATGTCTTAATATACCCCAGAATTCCTTCCAAGGTGATTACTAGTGCTTTCCGGCACTTTTCAATCATAGCATATAGACCGTTTGAATTAGAGACTTCCATGTCTTTACAAAAATGAACCAATAGATGTCAATAGATTCTGTGTTTAGGAACGTAAATTTAATAAAGGGTTTGAACTAAATAAATCAGAAAGAAGAAAGGCTTGAAGATCTGCGCTACATAAGATGGTGCTGATAATCGTATTTCCCGCTTCCACTTAACGCGATCCGCGCGTCGCGTCTCCAACCCTCTCCAGACATCACTCGATTCCTAGAGAGCACAACACCGAAACCCAACTTCTTCGGACTCAAACTACACATTCGAATCCGCGTCCTCAAATTCCTTCATACCTGAAATTCCCACATCACCAATTCAACCTGCGCCATGTTCGCCATCCAATCGCAACCGCGATCTGCTGGATCCGAAACCGAAGAGACCGCGAAAACCTGCACTCCCAATATTCTTCCATGTCGAATCCACCACGACGGTCCTGTCAAATCGCTGAAACGTTATTGGGAGCCCGTATCTGATGAGAAAGGTGATTCTAGACCAACAGCCTTCGAAGTGCGCATGCTCACAGGTCCCAGATGAGAACCTCCAAACTGCCTACTTTCGTGGTCGTAAATTGCGCGGTCGACGGGTTGCGATTCCAGAGGGCTACGAAGGTAACCTTTTCCTGCCTGCTCCAATGCGATCTTGGGTTTGATATCGCTAACTCTGAGCAGGTGTCGTGGCTATGCCCACCGAACGTGTCCTACCACCAACCCGCAAAGAGGTCGAGGACGAGGAAGCGGAGCCCGAAGAGCCGGTCAAAATCATTGAGAAACAAGCCACGTTTGATGAGTTTGTGGTCTGGGATCATGAGGTTGTGCCGGCGGCCGACGACACTTATGTCAAGGGAGTCGAAGAGTGGGTGAAGCTGGCTCAAGTGGTAAGTTGACCTGTTTATAATGTGCTTCGATGTTTCTTTATTTCTTTCTTATTTGGTTGGTGCTGATGATTATCTAGATGCATTCTACGCCTGAGAATGAAAAGAAGACTTCTACATGATCGCGCGACTACAATATCGGTGCAAGCCTACTATTTATGGCTGATGAAATATACCCCTTGGAAGGCTTGGGTTATCACCCTACTGTACATTTTATAGGGCAACCAATGCTCCGCAGAATACATTCTGAATGGTCCGAGGCACAGTCACCCACCACATCCAGCGGCGACCAAACACGGTACTCCCGCAGCCATCGCATGTCGGATCCAAGGGAGGATGTCAATGGGCTATCGCTTGTCACAACCGAGTGCCATGGTTGTTAACATGGAACCAAGAGATCTGGACCTGGAGCTTTCTCTTACCCAAAAAGCACTACTGCTTTCGATATACCATGATACTAAATACCAAATACCCATAATCTACCTTGTGAAACTGATCTTTATGAAACTACGATCTTCCTGATAAGCTCTGACCGCCCGCGATTCTGCCGTCCCCTCCTCTATTTATTGAGAACAGAGAAGAACGAAGAACTCTCCGTATACACACATCTGGGACAGAGTCAATTGAACTCGTATTATCATCATGTCTGCCATCGACCAGAAAGCCGCAACTGAGGCGCTTATCTCAAAGTTTGAGATCAGCAAGTTGCTTCGTCAAGGTTCGTTCCTTTCCCAAACTCAATTCATCCATAAATATCACCAAAAAAGTTGAGAGGTCGTGAATACTCACCTGTCTGATCTTCCTGAGCAGACCAGAATGGCCGTCGCATCGCCCTCCTCGGCTCCATCGACTCCCAGCCAGGAATCCTCATCGCCGAGCGCGCCGCCTTCGCCACCGAGTCCATCGAGGTCCTGAAGGCCTTCCACGCCGCCATCTCGCAGGTCACCAACCTCGGCGACAACGATATCTACCGGTGGTACATGGCCTCTTCCTCCGGGTCCCAGTCGCCTGGTGCCTCCGATCTCAAACTCAACCTCATCTGGCCCTGCACGGACCAGCATGTCAAGAAGTACTCGGACCAGCTCGTCCGCATGGTCACCGAGACGCCTCAGATCTACCGCGACCACGTGCGGCCGTACATGAGCGCTAAACGCGAGGAGGGCCGCCTGAACTGGGTGTTCAACATCCTGGAGGGCCGCACGGAGCAGGAGGACGTGATCCTCCGCGATGAGGGCCAGGGTCCCGATGATGGGTTCCTCATGCTGCCGGATCTGAACTGGGATCGGAAGACGATGAGCTCCCTGCATCTGCTGGCGCTGGTGCAGAGGCGCGATATCTGGAGTCTTCGCGATCTGAAAAAGAAGCATATCCCTTGGCTCCGGTACCTGTGGCAGCGCGTGCTGGAGGGCACCGTGAAGATGTATCCGGATCTCGAGATGGATCAGTTGAAGCTTTACGTGCATTGTAAGTCTCTCCTTCTCTTTGCTTCTTATCCAGATAGCTTGGATTAATCACTAGTTTATCTAATGGCTAATGGACATGTCACAGATCAACCCACGTATTATCACTTCCATGTCCATGTCGTTAACGTCATGCTCGAGGCCGGGGCTACCCAGGCTACGGGCAAGGCGTTCGGACTGGAGAACATCATCTCGCAGTTGGAGACAATGTCCGGAGATGAGGAGGCCAGCATGGCGGATGTTAGCCTCACCTACTACCTTGGAGAGGCGAGTGAGCTCTGGACGAACGTCTACGAACCGTTGAAGCGGGGAGAGAAACCCAGCCAATAATGGGTTCTATGAAACGGAATATTTCATATCTCATATGTCCATGATAACGAAGGGAACGAGTCAACGACAGTTTTGCAAATGTATCCTGAGTCCTAGAACGTAGTTGTGAAGAAGTAAATGCCATAGAATCTGCCATAGAAAGATGCCCGCATTCCCGCATTGGGTAATACCGAGGCGGAAGAGCCAAACGAATTCCTTCCCCCGCAACCCCTCATCCTCTTCTCGCCAACTTCTCCCTCTCTTTTCCCCAACTTTCCTACTTTATCTCAAACAATCCTCTGCCGCTCCATTTTTCGAACTGTATCATAATCTCATCTCTAGATCTTCTCTACAACCCTCCACACCGTATTTATCAAAATGGCCGACGCACCCAGCACAAACAAGGCCTTCGTGCCTCTAGGTATAAACAACACGCTCAAACCATCACAACCAAACCAACCACCCAAACTAACACATCTCCAAAAACAGAGAACAACCCAGAAGTCATGTCCCACCTAATCCACCAACTCGGACTTCCTCCCTCCGTCGGCTTCACAGACGTCTACTCGATCGACGAGCCGGACCTACTCGCCTTCGTACCCCGCCCCTCCTACGCCCTCCTCCTCGTCTTCCCCGTCTCCCCCACCTACGAAGCCTCCCGCACCACCGAAGACACGCCACTCCCCGAATACACAGGCTCCGGGGCCTCGGAACCCGTGATGTGGTTCAAGCAGACGATCCGGAACGCCTGCGGGCTCATCGGCCTCCTGCATGCCGTGTCGAACGGCGAGGCGAGGAAACACGTCCTCCCCGGTTCGGATCTGGAGGGTCTCCTGCGTGACGCGGAGCCGCTGGGCCCCGTGCAGCGGGCGGATCTGCTATACGAGAGCAAGGCGTTGGAGAGCGCGCATGCCGACGCGGCGAAGTTGGGGGATACCGCGGCGCCGGAGGCCGAGGATAATGTGGACTTGCACTTTGTGGCGTTCGTGAAGGGCGAGGATGGTCGGTTGTGGGAGCTGGATGGGCGTCGGAAGGGCCCGTTGGAGCGCGGTCAGTTGGCGGATGATGAGGATGCGTTGAGTGAGAAGGCGTTGGAGCTGGGTGTGCGTCGGTTCTTGGGCGTGGAGGCCGCTGGGGGGAACCCGGATTTGCGATTTAGTCTGGTGAGCTTGGGGCCGGTCTTTGAGTAGAGTTGTTTGGCCTTTTTGTTTTCTGTCCGAGGCTAGATAGACTGGATTTTGCCGATATCGGATTGGTCGTCTGTAACATTCTGGGTGTTTTTGGAGTGGGAATGGGTATCGTAGATTGTTCTGAGAAAATGGGGTATACGCCTCTGCTTGACTAGATCGGTGTTTCTTAAGCTCTTCAGGATGTAGACGATTCCGTCCACCATTCCTGTGCATTGAATTTCAAAACCTCATCCCCACACGCCCACCATCCAGCCGTCAGATTGCGCGCAAACACCTCCAGCGCAGCATATGAATGCCCCGCGCCGCTGAAAAACAGCCGCTCAAAGATCTCCTTCAAGTTCGGTTTCCGGGAATGGACATCCGGCACCGCAGCAATGACCCTTCTGACCGGGTCACGGCGTTGATTCCCACCCATCTTCTTCTCGCCAATGATCAGGATCTCATACGGTTTCCGCCAGAGACCGTCGACCGGCGTCACAGTCTCCCCCGAGGTGGTCACTTTAATCCACGCCCATTCCTCGCAGACGGAGAGACCTGCGCCCCGGAGCGCCTCGTAAGCAGTTCGCCGTGCTTTGGAGGAATTGGTGATCCAGATTGCTGCGATGGAGCGAGGCGCAACTTGGGGGTTCTCTGGTTGGCCATTCCCGGTTGCGGAGTCGTATAGGTGTAATTGCAGGACAGATCGGATGTACTGCGTGAGTTCGTGCCCTTCGGTGTAATGTTGCGTGTGGTAGTGTCCTCCCCGGCGGACAGACCGGTTGGTCCACGGCGGGTCGAGGAGGATCAGGTTGAATTTCTGGTCTCGTAGGATACCCGGGACCGGTCCGGTTGGACGCTGGTGTGAGGACTGTGTGATTGGTAATCTGCAGAGCACGAACACAGAGAGCGGAGGCACTGTGAACGCTTGATACTGATTTTGACGCTGGGGATCGATCTCGGCTGTGTGGGATATTACACCCTTCTCTTCTTCTTCCCCAAGACGGCGAATGCTCAGTTCAGCCGCGCCAGACGAGGTATTCTTGACTATAACATCACGGAGTTCAGCTCCAGACGCGAATGCATTCGTGCCAGATGCCGAGAGAATCAACGGGGGCTGCGAATCTTCATCAAGCTTTCGAGTTCCGGCATCAAAACAGCCATCGATAGAAGCTGATATTGCAGCGCCACTGCTGCTTGCACGTCTCCTCTTCCCAAGACGCATCTCGCTAGCCAGCCCACCATCAAAGACCTTCCGTACATGGCACCAGTCAACCCCACGCTCGAAGACCCCCTGCCTGATCACCTCCAGGCCATCGCGCACAAGAGGCTCGATGATCTCCGCATGGAAGACCCGTTCCGAGCGCGGGATCCTTTCCAGAACCTTTGCGCGAGCAGCATCGCTCTTAGGCTCCGTGGATGGCGGAAACGGTTCTGCCCGTGGTATCGACGAAAAGATCTGTCTCCGTCGTGGTCTAGGGCATTTTGGGCTCCCTGGCGACGAACTCTGTTGGGTCAGGGAAAGCTCCTGAGCCAGCGCAATGGACGTGGGTGTGTCTATCAAGAAAACGGTTTCCTCTGGGTTATGGTAGAGGATGGCAGACTGAGGCATGACATCTCATGCTAAGTCATTTGTTGGAATGGGGGTTGGCGCGTTAGAGATTGGATGCAGGCGGATGTTGTTTTCTCTCGGGAGCGGAACTTGGAACGGGAACTGGCAAGACTTTTTCTATACTTCGGCCCTGGATATTACGCTACAGCACAAACAATATATGGTGCTAAGCCCGAAAATTTTCAATTTGATCACTGGATTGAAAATTTTGTTTTTCTTTGATTTTCTTTCTGTTTTTTTCCTATTTAACAAAGCACAGAACCACGGCGCCGAAAGTCATAGCAGGAGACGGAAGAGACCACCTCGACTATATCCAAGGAAATTCGTCACATAGTAATAGATCTAACCTCACATGAGAAAGGCCTTAAAACACATGGAATACATAGAGCTCGACGTGCAACAACAGTAAAGAGTCAACAAGAATTGTCCTTGAATCCCACAGTGCCATGACGGCCATGGTTTAACCCCCACTGGAATGCTTATTGACAGAGAAGAAGAAAACACAACACCCCCATGATGCTCTGGCGCAATAACAAAACAAAAACAAAACAAAACAACACTTTTTTCCTCGGTTCATTTCTTCTTGTCCCTTTTCCCAAGACGATCCAGCGTCGTTCTAGGCGTTGTTAAGGGTCATTTCAGACATGTAGTCGTACTACTGTATCCTAGACAGATCAATAATGAAAAAAAAAAATAAAAAGATAACTTTATACACAAAGTCGAAGTCAAGTGCGAATTGAAATGTCACACATCCGGCTCACCGCTGGAAGCACACCCGCGTTAGCTTCAAATCTGAGTTATTCGGGTTGAAGGATTGAATTACTTACCCGTCCACGCCGTCCTCCGGCGGGCTGTCCCGGGGCTTGCTGCGCCTGGTAACCGAACTGTGGAGGATATTGATACATCTGGTTCCCTCCCATAACGGGACTGAATTGCTGAGGGGCAAAGCCCGGCTGGTTGAGCATGGAGCCGGGGGCAGCTCCGGACAGGGGAGCGCCTGGGGGTTGAATTCCCCGAAGAGTGTCAACGGAGGGCGATCCGCCGGGGTATCCAAAGCCGGAGTTGCCCAGGCTTGGGTACAGACCACCGGGAGAGACGCCTCGGGACTGCGCGGCCAGGTAAGCCTGGTATTGGGCCTGCTGCTGGGGCAACGACATCAGAGGATCCTGGGCGAAGCCAGTGCCATTCAGACCACCTAACCCATTGAGGGAGTTGAGACCATTCATTCCGCTGACGGAGTAAGAGTCAAAAGGCGAAGCGGTTTGCGGCTGCTCCGACGGAAGAGTCCTACCAGAATCCAAGTTCTGCGCAAGCATGCTGGGAGGGAATTGCCCGTTGAATTGCCTATCCATGGCTGGTTGCTGGGGGTAGTTGGAGGCTGCCTGTCGCGACGTAGGGCGATGCTGCTGCTTCTCCGCATTGGCGCCATGGTCCCGTCCATGGTGATTGTCCCGGGCACCTCCACGAGAGGAAAGACCAACTTCGTCCATCAGACGCTTGTAGCCTTGGCTGGGAGTGGCCTTCAACTTGGTAAGCACCTTCGAAACGTTCTTCACGACCTCCGCGCGCATAGACTCGTCGAAAAATGGCGTAGTCAGAACCTTGAAGATCAAAGTCGCTCCAGAGGTCTGGTCACTCAAGATCTTCTCCAAAACCTCGTCACCGGGACTGAAGAACAAGGCCTTCAGAACGACTTCGCGGGCCTCGGGTTCGTTGCGCTGGTTAATAACTTTGAGTACGGTCAAGTAAGCAACCTTGTGGGTGCAGAGATGCACCAAGTGAGGTACAAGCCTCGGCGCAAGTACGGTTCGACGTCGTGGGAACGTGCACGTATCCAGGAACCAGGTGAGCAGCAGAGCTCCATTGGCATTTGTTGCAAGCTGCACGCTGTGAAGAGCAATAGCAGCCGCGAGCATGCGCTGCTGATCTTTAGTAGCATGATGACTTTCCAAGCAGGCTCTCATCGCGCGAGCCCCGAATCGACCCTGGGCAACTTCCCACATTCGGCTCAACATGGTCTCGAAGATGAAATCGTTGAAGGAATGACCGAAACGCAGGCAGCACTGCAGAACATAGTTTCCGTACTGATCAAGGAACAGGGGAACGGTATAGGGGCGAAGAGCATCCACAATCATTTTCTTCTGAGTAGGCGTTTGAGCAACGTCGATGATCTTCTGAGCCGCCCAGGTGCCATTCTTATGAACGCCGATCTCAGCAAGATGAGGCACGATTGGCACAAGCATTTGTTCCTTTGTAGGCTCCGAGCAAAACTCGAAAAGTTTCTGAACGACAGTGTTTCCGAGGTAGTCTGAAGCGAGTTCCGCAATTTCAGGGAGCATCGCAACCGCGGTCTCCTCGATTTCTTGAGCGGAACACGCCCCGTTATCGATCCGCTTCCGGATATCACGAAGGCGGGGAGCGTCAAACATTCTGGTCTGGCTGGGCTCGGGGATAGGGGGGATTTCATCCTCAAAAGACTGGAAAGCGATTGCTTGTTGGATACTAGCGTTGATGTTCAGTGTATCTTCGTCGTTGGCGCCAAATTCCTTGACAATCTGCGTCATCTCGGGTTGAAGCTCAGGGAGCGGCGGGATATGAGGAACACTAGCCCCGTCATCAGTTCTTTCCAGTCCATCGGCGGCATTGAGTTTGGCGCTAGAGTCCGGAGTGGGAGAGGACTGAAGGCCGTTGGCTCCAGGGGTGCCAGTCGCGGAGGTGCCAGGAACCTTAGCGTAGCCGATTCGGACCGGTCCTGCGCCCGGGAAGATCTCGGTGCCGTTGAGCATCGATTTCGCTTGAACAGCGCTCTCGATGCGCTCGAAGTTGACGAAACCGCAGTTCTTGTGGGTCAACACTCGAGTGGACTCAATCTTGCCATATCGGCTGAAGATGGCTGCCAATGAGGTGATTGTAGTCGAGACAGGAATGCTACCAATCCAGAGAGCGCGGGTCGGTCCGTCCTGGTTGTTCTCATCCGTCACGTCCAGGCCCGGCCGAATTCCCAGGTTTCCGGCGCCACTTCCTCCCAGCTGCATCATTTGCACGGCTTCCGACAGCTCGTCATACTCTCCATTTTCTGCGATGTTAAGATCCGCAGCGCTGAAGCTGTTATCAAGGCGCGAGGGAGTCGCAAGGTAGTTGCGAATCGAAGATCGTTGAGGGGGTGCCTCCAAGATGCCAGCAGTCCGGGCCCGAGGTCGATTGACGGACGCGTGGTTTGCGAACGCCTGCACAGCGAGGTTGTGCTGGTGGATCTGAGCCTGGGTGGCAGCCAACTGGGCGGCCGTGGCAGCAGCAGACGGCGTGACGGCGCCCGAAGGAATCTGCGAGTAACGGTTTTCATATTCAAGATCCTCGTCATCGGCATATTTCTCCTTAGCGTTCACGGAATAGGATCGAATTCGGTTGTTGCTCTTCATCATGGCGAGTTCAGCCAATAGCGGGGGCAGAGAGGACGTTTGCTGCTGCTGCTGCTGCTGTTGTTGTTGCTGTTGTTGCTGTTGCTGTTGGAGAAGGACATCCACCGGTGGTCGCACAAGCGTGGCTCGTGCTTGCTGCGGGGTCTCGGCGAGACCCAGATAGTCCAGTGTCTTCACATCGGTGTCTGCAAGCCCATCTCTGGAGAAGGAGGACTGACTAGGAGAGGCGGGTCCTTCAGAAGAGCGGATGCTCGTCAGAGTGGTGGCTCGCTCGCGGCCAGTAGACCAGTTGGTAGAAAACAGAGAGGGGCCGAAAGGGCTGGAAGACCCCAAATAGTTAGTCCTCTGAGGCATGGATCCGGCTCGAAGACGTGATAAAGATCCAGTACCCCGTGGCCCGGCAGTGGCGGTTGCGGTCGCTGCGCCCGTGTCAACTCCGGAAACGCCGGTCGGGCGAAAAGGGCTCGTGGAGGGTGTGGGTCGGGAGGTCTGGGGCATGAAGGGCTGCTGGAGGTTCGCCTCGTTGAGCACACCAACGGGCGAGAATCTAGAGGGAACGGTGCCAGCTCGAGCTCTGCGGCCAGGGCTACTGACTGAGCCGCTGGTGGTGGGGACCAGGTCTGGAAAACCTTCTTGACTTGGTGATTCAGGAATGTTCTCGCGGAGCGGGGTGGAATGGCCACTGGTGGGAGGACCCCAGATACTAGGGGAGACGCCTTCTTCTGCTTGGATCTCTCGTGCCCTTCCGGTAATACAAGGTTAGGTACCATTCAGAACAAACAATGACGGGTGTGCGCGGCGACAAAGACACCTACCTCTTTGAGTACAGGCGAGCACCAAGGTCATGAGAAGGGGATCCAGCCCCTAGCCTCGCGCTTCCAATCGATCCTGCGGCGCCATTCAGTCCGTTGGAGGACCCAAACGGCGACTTCACGGCAGACGAGGACAGATCGCTCGGGGAACTGCGCCCCGTCGAAGTCCCCGACATGGACTGCGTGGTCGGGATGTAATTGAGGTTCATATGACCGTCCGGTCTTGAAACAGGCAGCATTATAAATTATATCCTTTTGCCTTCAAACAGGCAAACACCTAGTTTCCCAGATACAATTTGACACCAGAGAGGTGGGTTGATGGTAGGTCGGGACTCCGGTTCAGTCGGAGTTCGATACGATCATTCGTTGACGGGTAAAATGCTTCGGGAGAGGAATCGTCGACGATTCAATAATTGATTTGTGGGGATGGGAGTGGAACACCGCGATCCGCCAGAGTGCGAAAGATGTTCGTGGCGGGGTTGACCGGAGCTCGCAAAGGAATACGTAAGCTCGAACGGAAACCCGATCTCGAGGCAATGCGGACAGCTATCTCAAAGCCGGAGACGAATGTATGGGTTTTTGCATTGATGGCCGTCCCGGGAAGCAAGAGAGATGACCGTGATCAGGGTCCAAGGTCGATTGCCACGATCCACCGAGATATATTATCTTAATAAAGATTAACCACCGAAGCCAGTAAATCCGTCCTCAGTAAAAAGACCGTGAGGATTGGAAACAAGTCGACTTGGAGAGAATCGAGCGAGTCGACGAG